AGGAATTTGACATCATTCATAATTTCAACACGTCATCTTGTATACCACGTGGCGAGATCACTGCGGCTGCCGACAACAGACAGCCGCTCGGCGCACACTGCTAACTTGTGCCGCCATCTCTCCCCCCTTCCTTTTTTATATGCGCTCTCTATCATCTCTTCTTCTTTCCAGCTCCAAATTTCAGTCAATATTTTCCAAGAAAATCCCCCCCAAAAAGAAAAAAAAGGGAAAAAAAAATCCCCACTTAATCCTTTTCTCTGACCCAAAATTTTCTCTTCAATACATTTAGTTAATTTTGTTTACAAAATTCAGCCAAAAGATCCGTTACCAGATCACGACAATCTCTCATTTTTGGTAACTGGTGATTCTTGCAGATAAATCTCCCTCTACTCTCAACTCTAATCTCATTTTTTTTCTTTTGTTAATTAGTCAATCTTTATAGCATTCGTGTATTTATTTAGTTCTAAAGTTCCTGTTTTTTTTTTTTTTACTGGTATCTGTGGTCCAAGCGTAGGTCTTACTGTAGCTTTCCTTTAAAGCAGATGAATTGAGATTTAGGGTTTTGGGGCTGTAAAATTTTCACTTTTTCATTTTATAGTTTGAAATCAAGCGAGAAAGTTGGGCTTTTTTTTATGTGCGGATCTATTGATTAGCTTGTGATTGAACTGTGATGAGACGCCGCCCAGTGGCGTTGGTTCCTCTCGGAGCAATGGAGAAGGGTTCCCCTAAGAATCAACAGACCCGTCTTTGTTTCTTAGCTTCTTTATCAGCTTTTTTCTGGATTTTTCTTTTGTATTTTCATTTTGTAGTTCTAGGACGTAGCACTACAGTTGAGGAATCGATTGTAGTAGAACCAGTCAAATTAGAATCTCCTTTTGTTAATGTGGATTCCATCTCCTCTCGGGTGATTGATGTCCGCGTGGATAAGGAGAAACCACCACCTTCCCGTGTAGAGAAGCAGATACCAGCACCGGTGAAACCTGTTAGGAATACAGCTGGTGAAAGGGTGGTGGCTTACCCGTTTATGAGAGCTTTGAGGACGGTGGAAAACAAGAGTGATCCGTGTGGGGGAAGGTATATTTATGTGCATAATCTTCCTCCCAAGTTTAATGAGGATATGCTTAAGGAGTGTAAGAGTTTGAGTCTTTGGACTAATATGTGTAAGTTTACTAGTAATGAAGGGCTTGGTCCTCCTCTTGAGAATGTGGAAGGGGTGTTTGAGAATACTGGGTGGTACGCCACGAATCAGTTTGCGGTGGATGTGATATTCAATAATAGGATGAAGCAGTATGAGTGCCTGACCAATGATTCCTCGATTGCAGCTGCAATTTTTGTGCCGTTTTATGCAGGGTTTGATATTGCAAGGTATCTTTGGGGATATAATATCTCAAGGAGGGATGCTGCTTCGCTTGAATTGGTTGATTGGCTGATGAAGAGCCTGAGTGGGTATAATGGGAGGAAGGATCATTTTCTGGTGGCTGGGGAGGATTACATGGGATTTCAGGAGATTGACTGATGAGGAATCTGATTGGGTAATAAGCTTTCTGTTTTTACCTGCTGCAAGGAATATGTCCATGCTTGTGGTTGAGTCAAGCCCCTGGAATGCAAATGATTTTGGCATTCCGTATCCAACCTACTTCCATCCTGCAAAGGATGAAGAAGTGTTTGTCTGGCAAGACCGGATGAGAAACTTGGAGAGAAAGTGGCTATTTTCCTTTGCAGGTGCACCGCGTTCTGGTAACCCTAAGTCAATAAGAGGGCAGATTATTGATCAGTGTAGGAAGTCGAAGGTGTGCAAGTTGTTGGAATGTGATTTTGGGGAGAGCAAGTGTCATTCACCAAGCAGTATAATGCAGATGTTCCAGAGCTCCCTGTTCTGTCTACAACCTCAAGGAGATTCATACACACGGCGATCTGCTTTTGACTCAATGTTGGCTGGTTGTATTCCTGTCTTCTTCCATCCTGGCTCAGCGTACACGCAGTACACTTGGCATCTTCCCAAAAACTATACTACATATTCAGTTTTTATACCAGAGGATGATATCCGTAAAAGGAATGTTAGCATAGAGGAGAGGCTTAGTCAAATTTCTCCTGAGCAACTGAAGATCATGAGAGAGACGGTCATAAATCTCATTCCAAGGCTGATATATGCAGATCCTCGCTCTAAATTGGAGACACTTCGTGATGCTTTTGATGTTGCTGTACAGGCAGTCATTGACAAAGTTACAAGGTTGAGGAGGAACATTATCCAAGGTCGTACAGAATATGATAACTTTGTGGAGGAAAATAGTTGGAAATATGACTTGTTAGATGAAGGACAGCGTGAGGTTGGAGCTCATGAATGGGATCCTTTCTTCTCAAAACCAAAGGATGAGCAGAGAGATCAATCTGCAGAAGCTGCAAAAAATTCTTGGAAGAATGAGCAAAGAGCTCAATCATAACTTGATATTGATGAAGCAATATATAAGTTGAACTAAAGCTTTAATGCATTCTCCGAGTCTCAAAACAAGAGTTCCTGTTTTGAGTTGGATTTATAGCAGGTGTAACTTTGTAGGGGCCTTCTTTTGCATCAACTATAGATCTTGCCACCATGCATATCAGGTTCGACGCTTGTTTCAAACCAAAACAATACACATATTCTCTGCACCACAGTTCATATAGAATTTTCTCCTGAGCTACGAATTTACTTAGTGATTCTTTGTAATGTATTGTAGCTGAGAAAGTCTGTTTGTCTGTTTAATGTTCCTGTCTTATCAGTGCATACTATAAATAATAAGCAATAACCAGTTTTAATTCTGGGGATTTGAGAATCCGCATTATGTAATTTGAACCATTTTATCGAATTCGCTTTGCTGCAAAGCTATAAAAGTAAGCATTGGCTACACGACTTAATTGTCATAATCTTATAGTATTTGTTAACCTTTAATCTGTTGAAATATATAAAGTAAATCAGGGACAACTTCCATTTGGTTCTCACTTCTCATGGAGATTGTGGATAGTCTACAGTTGTTAGTTTTGAGCTTGGGATTCCACTGCGAAAGAGCTTTGCCTCAACAAGCATTCATCAAATGGCTATTTCTCTTACCTTGTGTTCGTCTGATTTGTGAGACATTTGAGGCTTGTTTAAGCGTTTAAACCCTAATAAAGGGGGAAAGAGGAACTGCCCAAATTTGTTGTTTGGACAGTACCTGTTGAGCTCTATGCCTCTATTATTATAAAATGTAGAACTAGCCATTTGGTTTTATTGTACCTTTTTGGTATTCTGTTTATTTTCATGTTGAAGGATCACAAGATTTGTTGTTTTTCCACCTGACTGGCTTTTGCTAGTTCCTAGTATTTGTTTAAGAAACATGTTAGAAATTTGGAAGAAGAACATTAAAATGCATATGGGTCTGAGCTTGATTGGCTTTAGATTAACAAATAATTGGAGCCACCAAATCCACCCCAAAATTTGGACTTGCTTGAGCCCTTTCCCTTCTTCTGAATAAGGAGTTTACTTGCTTAGCATCCTTGAAGGTTTTGTTGAGCTTCCCACCGAAAGAAGTGAAGAAAAAGGAAATTTACTTAAGCTGTGATTCAACTGTGGATAACACACTGCTGAAACCTCCTCGTTGTCTGTCACATTCACATACTTGGCCAGTATGTTTTTTTCTTTTTTTTTTTTCGCAGGTCAAGAACCGAAAATTATGTATTTTAGTGGTTTTCTATTTGAAGGTAGCAAATCTTAGGCTCCTTTGGATTTTCAATGCATTGAAAATAAAAATTTTAATAATTTATTTTTTTTCAATGTGATTTGTAATACATTTTAAAATTCACTTAATAGGAATTTTTTTAACCAAAAAGTATTAAATAAGTTACATAGATAAACCCATTTATCAGGCCGAAATATTCAATAATTTTTTAATTTTTTTTTAAACTATTGTTATCTGAAAACACTCTTTTATTAACTGTAAAAGTAAAATTTTAAAAAGATAAATCTTTAAAATCCAATATTTTATTATTGTCAAACAATAGTTTTATATTCGGCATTTAGTTTTTATAATTTAAATTAAATATTTATTAAATTCATTACTTAATTTTTCAGGGATTAATTTTTCTATTTATCAAATAAAACCTTAATATTAGAATTTTAAGTATAGTAAATTAGTAATCAAGTACTAAAATAAAATAAAATAAAAAGAAATAAATACAATGGACAAGAAGTTAAGAATTTCCGGGCAAAAAGGAGGGAGCAATAGCATCGAAGGAGTCTGCATTAATGCACTTGAGCTTAGCATTTAATGGCGCTACACGTGCATTGCACATGGGTAATATAAATATAATAGGTCAATATCATTATTTAAAATGAAACTGTTATTAAAATAATGAAATTTTTACTTTTTGAATGATAAAAGTAATAGTAAAGTTTTTAATGTAAATCATGATTATTATATCGAATTATAAAATTAATTTAGTTTATTTAAATGATTCGTATTTACGTATATAATTTTAGGATAAGTCAATATAAGAAATTGACATTTAAGAAATTTAGTGCATTTAAATGAAAAGTTTTAAGAAAAAAAATCATTTATTTAACAAAATAAAATTTAAAATTATCGAAAAATTTTGAAAAAAATAAAATTTTAAAAGGTTCAAAATTTCTTTTCACCTCAAGATATAAAATTTAAGAAATTTCTTGACTTTTAATAAGATATCAACAGTTATTATTTTTTACAATTTTTTTATTCTCTTCACTTCTAATTACAAAAACTCATTTCAAATTTTATTATTTTATATTATTAATAATATCTGTATACTTTTACAAATCAAATGACAGCCATATTTTCTCAATTTTTTTATTTTATCTTTAATATCACTAACTAAAAATAAAACAATTACTTTTATTTAACAAATATAAAATATTAACTAAGAACAAGACATTTAATTTAATAAATTATCGTTCGTCCTATTAGATATTGATATTTTGCCATTCAAGAAGGCTAACAGCCTAACGTGCTGATGGAATGATGTTGAAGAGAATTGAAATGATTCATAGTTTTAGAAACTAACGGCTGCATATGTAATGTATTAAAATCAAGCATAACATCTCGTGAGGCCGAGAGCTGGGCCTTCGGCTCCCTCAAGAACACCCACAGTCCTCTCTTCCTTCCAGAACAAGGGATCCTCGTGATGCAGAGCTCTTATATTTCACGAGTTTCATATTCTTACCCAGACCTCAAACATGTCTTGCAAACCAGGTTTGAACTCTCTTCTTCTCCTTCAAATATCCCCCACTTCCGCTGCAAGATCCTTCATCGGATTCCAACTATCATCGTCTCAACTTCTCCATGGAAACAAAAATTCACCTTTTCTTTTCAACACTTTTTCTCTACTTGGTTTCTGTCCATGCAGACACTCTTCAGACTTACATAGTTCAGTTGCATCCACAAGGTGTAACCAGCTCATTGTTTCCTACTAAGCTTCATTGGCATCTCTCATTTCTTGAGCAAACTGTTTCCTCTGAGGAAGACCCTTCTTATCGTCTTCTCTACTCTTATGCTTCTGCCATGGAAGGTTTTGCTGCTCAGCTGAGTGAAAATGAGCTAGAGCTATTGCGAAGTTTGCCTGATGTTGTTGCAATCAGACCTGACCGGGTGCTTCAGGTTCACACTACTTACTCTTACAAGTTCTTGGGACTTAGTTCGACTAGAGATGGTGCTTGGATTAAATCTGGATTCGGTCGTGGAACAATTATTGGAGTGCTTGACACAGGAGTTTGGCCTGAGAGTCCTAGTTTCAGTGATCAGGGAATGCCACCTGTTCCCAAGAAATGGAGAGGGATTTGCCAAAAAGGGCAAAGTTTCAATGCCACGAATTGTAACAGGAAACTTATTGGTGCTAGGTTCTTTATAAAAGGCCATCATGTTTCCTCAGTGCCACCATCAGCAAACATGATTGAGGAGTATATATCACCCAGGGATTCCTCTGGACATGGAACTCATACGTCATCCACAGCTGCAGGAGTTCCTGTTCCAATGGCAAGTGTCCTTGGTAATGGTGCTGGTGTGGCCTGTGGAATGGCCCCTGGAGCCCACATTGCTGTGTACAAAGTATGCTGGTTCAATGGCTGTTACAGCTCCGATATCCTAGCTGCAATGGATGTTGCAATTGCGGATGGAGTGGATGTGCTTTCACTCTCTCTAGGTGGCTTCCCATTGCCACTTTTTGATGATAGCATAGCCATTGGCAGTTTTCGAGCAGTTGAGCATGGAATATCAGTAATCTGTGCTGCAGGAAACAATGGCCCACTTGAAAGCTCAGTTGCCAATATAGCTCCTTGGATTGCTACCATTGGTGCTAGCACACTTGACCGGAAGTTTCCAGCCATAGTTAGGATGGGAAATGGAGAATTTGTTTATGGAGAGTCTTTGTTCCCAGGAAAATGGTTAGCAAGCGCCAAAAAAGAACTTGAACTGGTCTATGTCACCGGTGGGAACAGCGGAAGTGAATTTTGCTTCAGAGGGTCTCTCCCCGGGGCAAAAGTACGAGGCAAAATGGTTGTATGTGACAGAGGTGTGAATGGAAGGGCAGAAAAAGGTATAGCTGTCAAAGAAGCCGGTGGTGCTGCCATGATATTAGCAAATACAGATAAAAACCTCGAGGAAAACTCAGTAGATGCCCATGTTTTGCCAGCAACTGAGATTGGTTATGACGAGACAGTACGCCTAAAGACTTACATGAACGCTACCAGTCGTCCTAGAGCTCGAATCATATTTGGTGGAACTGTTATTGGAAGGTCACGAGCACCAGCCGTAGCACAGTTTTCAGCCAGAGGGCCTAATCTAGATGATGCTTCAATCCTCAAACCCGATGTGATTGCTCCCGGGGTTAATATCATTGCTGCTTGGCCTCAAAATTTAGGTCCCACTGGCCTTCCAGAAGATGCTAGAAGAGTTAATTTCACTGTCATGTCTGGTACTTCCATGGCATGTCCTCATGTCAGTGGAATTGCAGCTTTGGTTCACTCAGCACACCCGGGATGGACCCCAGCCGCTATTAAATCTGCAATAATGACATCTGCTGATGCCAGTGACCATAAGGGAAAACCAATAATGGATGGAAATAAACAGGCTGCTATTTTTGCTATCGGAGCTGGACATGTAAACCCTGATAGGGCCATCGATCCAGGGTTGATATATGATATCAGGCCAGATGAATATGTCATTCATCTTTGCACCCTTGGATATACAAGATCAGATATTTTTGCAATCACACACAGGAACGTGAGTTGCAATGAGATTTTACGGATGAACAGGGGTTTCAGCCTCAATTACCCCTCCATTTCTGTAGCTTTCAAGCAGGGAATGAAGCGTAAAATGATCACAAGGCGACTGACAAATGTGGGAAGTCCTAATTCTGTCTATTCAGTGGAAGTGAAGGCTCCTGAGGGAGTCAAAGTAAGAGTTAAACCTCGAAGGTTAATATTCAAGCATATCAATCAAAGTTTGAGTTATAGAATATGGGTCATATCAAGGATGAAAACAGAAACAAAGAGGATAAGCTTTGCAGACGGGCAATTGACATGGGTGAATGCTCACAATAACTTCTACAGGGTTCGAAGTCCCATTTCAGTCACTTGGAAGCAGTAGCAGCTCAGCACCTGCTTTTACTAGTCCTTATTTTAATTTCTCATTTAATTAATGCTTTATCAATGTCTGACTTGAGCATATACCAAGTTTAAGTGGGCAGAGATTCAGAAAATGTTGGCAAAAGATGAAGCGTCTCTTCACCATCAAAATGAAGAGTAATTTATAATTACTGCATAAAACCTACAAGGGAGCTAACCCAAGCATCACATTATACCTTAACAAAACTTACATAAAACCAATAAGGAAACGAGGGTCAAGAGAAGAATATACATTGCCTCATTTTTTGATGAACTGCAAGCCGTTTTCATTAGAATATCGCTCCATGAATCTCATGAACCTGTCCCACTCTCGGGGAGAGCGCATTATATACTTTGCTTCAATTCCAGCAGGCTTTCCATTTACAAATTTCGCGTTCACATCAACTGACTGAAGAACTCCTTCCTCATCAATCATGTAAAAGCCAGTGATTTCACCAACTTCACCTGATGAGTCAAAAACGGATGGTTGCTCAAATCTGAAGATAGCAACACCATTCGTACCATCTCTTGACTTGGTTAGCCTCACATCTGGTATTGTCTGTTCATCAGTCCCTTGAATGAACTGAATTTTTGGTTTGACCATCATTGTTATGGGTCCAGATTTCTTGGAGTTCCATCTTGTTGGAGATAGCCATGAACGAGCCACATGTAAAGATTGCCCATTGAATAGTGAATTCGAGCTCCGGCGAACAACCCAAGATGGTAATATTACTGCAAACACCAAAAGACACTACAGAATTTATGCTTAATTCATTAAGCTTCATGGTCATACACAGCTTCTACTATTTATTACCAGCAGGCATGTTTAAGAATCTCAGTACATACCCTAAAAGGAATTAAATCTTATTACCAAATCGACTTTAATCAATCCTAGCACACGTAACCCTTTTCCCTACCCCCTATCCCCACGTTAGGGCTCATTATGTACCAAAAAAATCCAAATATCCTCCCCTGCCACACTACTTCCTTTATCTGAACATGGGTAAACACTGAATTAATTTGGAATGGCCTAATACTTGTCATTTTCCTAATGAATCATCTCTCCAAGCTTCAACTCTATTAGTTCAGCAAATAATGTTACCAATTGTAAATGATGTTGGAAACTTATTCATAAACATAAAACAAATAAATCAGTAAATCAAATTGACTGGCAAAAAATAAAAGATTAAAGATAGCAGTTGAACTGAAAGAATGTAGCGTCAAAATTTGTAATTGAAAGACAAACTATCCTTAAATACTCAAGCAATCAAATGCTAAGTTATCATTCTTTGCATTCGGGAAAGCAGTTCTCTACACTGTTGTTTTCTCCAAATAGAAGCCGATAGTAAATACCTGAGAGAGAGCGTGGCTGCTTGAGAAAAGAGTGAGAGACAGGAGAGGCCAATGCCAGAGACTGAAGAGTTGCCATTGTGGAATAGGGAAGGGAGAGGGAAAGAGGGCTTTAGAAGATATGTAGTTAAAGACGATACTAGTCGGTGTGGTGAATGGAGAGTGATGGTGTGTAACCAGGACAGCCATTCACTTTGAGATTTTGGATTAGTGGAAGAGAGATAAGGCATTGCCTGTTGGCTGTTGTTGTTGTATTGTTTGTGCCGTAATCTTGCGCCATGCAGACCCTGGGGGAAAATATATATTTATATCACAGTGCCGCAGAGCATAGCCATTAGCCAACTATTGGAAATGAATGGGCAGGGATTTGGCAATTACCAACAAAGCCCATTATTATTTGCAACAGTAACAAAGCAAAGCCTCCAAATTGTACGCCTCACAGCCACTGTAGTATGACAGCTTGATCATTCGTGTCCCTTGTCTATGACATAGGACGGCATGTTTCATGCTAGTACATTGTATCTTGAACCATATTAAACAAATAAATAAAAGTTATAATAATAATATTTTTAAAATTTAAAATTTTATTTAAATAAATTTTTATATTTTATAATATTCAAATAAACATTTAATTTTTAAATTTATAATCAGATAAATCTTTAAACTTTAAGTTTATTAAAATAAACCTTTGATATTTAATTGCATTAAATAAATTTTTTTAAAATAAAAATTTATTTAAATACAAATTAAAAAATAAAAAAAATTAAACTTATTTAGAATAAAATAATTTTAAATTTTTTTAATATTTTAATTCATAAATAAATTATTAACTATTAATCAAGCATGAACTCAAATCAATCACACTCATTATTTAGATACAATAATCTAACTCAAACAAATATATATTATATCAGCTTTTCTTTCTGAAAAAACAAATATAGAAAAAATTGAGTTTTCCATTAATTTAATTAATTAATAAATATTTGGTGCTGTTAATAAAGCAAAACAAGTCATAGAATCAATGAAGAAAAAGGTCAAAAGACCTTTCCTTTCCGTCGTGCCAAACAAGGATGCTCCCGCATTCCCCACACATTTCTTTTTCAATTTAAAGATGCCGGGACCAAATTTTATCCTACGTGTCATTAATTAATTGCCGACGTGGCACTCTTTACTTCTTTTCTCCCGTCCCTTCCAAGGAAACGAAGAAGAAACGAGAGAAAAGAAAGAACAGATGAGACTCATTCTTTTTTTATTTCTCTCTCTCACGAGAACTCGAAGCTTCCTGCCAGTTGACTGCCGGCCTCTAATCAAATTCTCCTCTTTCAAACTTTTTCTTTTTCTAAAACAAATAGTGTATTAAAAAGAAAATCAAACGTATAAATTAATCCATGAACCAACTCTCTTTTTTCATTTTTTTTGGTATCTATTTGTTGCTCAGTCGAAATCTACGAAACATCTTTCCCTTCAATTTCTTTGCTTCAAAACCATCTCTTCCGATCCGATCATCCATATTTTATCGAAACGACGGCGTGGCGGAAGGAGGAATGGGAGAGATGGACGTTGAAGGAGGAATCGCGATGAAGTTATGGAGCAAATTTAGGAGCGAATCGGTTTTTGTTAATTACACTCCTTTCTTCGTTTGCTTGGCCGCCGGAAACCTAAACGGCGACGTTTTTCTGCAGTATATCTCTCAACATGTTCATTTACTTAATGCCTTTGCTCACGCGTGAGAATCCTTCGATTCAGTCTTTTCCTATTTCCAAATAGCTTTATCAGTAAGCTAAATATTTTTGGACTTTTTTTTTACTAATTATTTATTTATTTGAGAATTTTCAGGTATGAATTAGCGGAGGAGTGTGCAGATGTTGAGGAAGACAAGAAGGCAATACGAAAGTTAAGGAATTATGTTCAGAACAAGCTTAAATCACACGACTCTCTTGTCCGAGTAATCTCTATTTTCTTCTCTTCTTTATTATTAGTATTGTGTGTGTGTATATATATATATATATGTAAAACTAAATACGCATTATTAACGTAATAATTTTTTTAAAAATTTTGATCCTTATAATTAGCGCAGCTCATGATCATTATTAGTGTTTCCGTTGGATATAAACTAGCAAAAAAAAAAACCAGCAACATGAATGAGATATTAATTAGTGTTTGTGACAAAAAAAAAAACACTTTCCTTGTCTCCAATTGATTACTAATTTGTTGTTTTTATATAATTTTTTTAAAAAATCTTCGAATATCATGCCAATGGAAGATTCTTAGGTTTATTAGTTGTATTTGATGCTACTTATTCATGACCTGCTATATTAGCCAAATGTCATTGAAGGCAAATTTTTAACTTGCTTAAAGATTATTACCTTATGCATCGATGGTGAAATAAGTGGGTCTGATTAATTGCCACATTTTCTTGAATTAGATATGCAAATTTAAGTAGTTCAATCTTGACTTCCTTATTTATGGTTTAATGGACATGTTGCAGGCATAGAAATTCGCTTATGGAGGGTTTTTTTTGTGTGTGTGGATGCTTGTGCAGTTTTTAAACTCTAGAACTGGTGTATAAGATAATAATCCTCTGCCTAAATTCCAGACTGTCACAGATGAGATCCTTCAATATAGGATTTAGTAATATAAGAATAGATTTTGAACTGGCATATTCTTATTCAGCCTGGCAACCATTTGGTCTAGACAGATATGTAACTGCAATGTCTGTGTCGTCTTTCTTTATTTTGTGCACATAATGGCGGTTGCTTTAATGTATCGCTTCTGATGAATACCTGTACTGCAGGAATGGGGCTTTGAACTCCCAGAACAGAGCACCTTGACAAATGGTACAGTCAAGTATATGGAATTTTTGTTGGCAACAGCCTCAGGTAGAATTGATGGCGCAAGAGTTCCCAGCAAACTTGCAACCCCTTTTGAGAAGACAAAAGTTGCTGCTTATACACTTGGCGCCATTGCCCCTTGCATGAGGCTCTTTGCCTTTATAAATAAAGCAATCCAAGCTCTTCTAGATCCTAATGATAGCAGTCACATTTACAAGAAGTGGATTGATCATTATTGCTCTCAAAATTTTGAGGTTCATCAGATTAATGATTACCAAGTTTCTTCTGTGGTGTTTTATTGATTCTTTTGCTGATCAAACAAGACTATCTGTTTGGGTTATTACGAAAAGAATTTCACTTTGCTTAATTATGATTTCAGGCTTATGCTTTTCAAATTGAAGAGTTGCTGGATACGCTAAGCGTATCTTTGACAGGTGAAGAGCTGGATGTCATAGAAAAGGTCTACTATCAATCTATGAGACTGGAACTAGACTTCTTCTCTTCTCAACCGATTATGCAGGAAGCAGTGGTCCCTTTGTCTCAGATGCTAGACCCTGCTGTGGGTGGCCAACTGACCATATTTTGTGACTTTGACTTGACATGCACTGCTTTTGATTCCTCTGCTATTTTAGCCGAGATTGCAATCATAACAATGCAGAAGGCAGACCTTGACGGACCTGAAACCCAATTTGCTTGGATGTCATCAGCTGACTTGAGGAGCACATGGGATGCTCTTTCTACCCAGTATACTGAAGAATTTGTACGGTGTGTAGACAGCATCATTCCAACTGAGACAGGTTTGATAAAGGATTTGCAGTTTTCTTGATTTTTATGTTAGCCTAGGAATGGTTGTGGCAAGAATTGTTAATGACTCAATGCTATTGAGAGGAAATATTGCTAAAAGTAATGCACCTTTTTGTCTTCCCTACTTGTGCAGTGAAAAGTTTCAGTTATGAAAGTCTCTATGAAGCCCTAGAGCAATTTGCAAATTTTGAGAAGAAGGCAAATTCAAGAGTGGTTCAGTCAGGTGTACTTAAGGGTTTAAATCAAGAGGATATAAAAAAGGCAGGCCAAGGTCTGATCCTTCCAGATGGTTGTAAAGGTTTTTTTCAGAAAGTAATGAAAAATGAAAATCTCGCCACTGCTGTACATATACTTTCTTATTGTTGGTGTGGGGATCTCATTCGTTCTGCTTTTTTGTCAGGTAATCCCTGGATCACAGACAACCCATGCTGTTATATACGTACAAACATGCATGTATATATACACACACCTAATAAATTTAATAATTTGTATTAATTTGGCGAGGTGGGTAAAAGATCCAGACATAACATTAAGGATTACTGGATCTGATCTTCACCCAATTGTTAGAGGAATTTATATTAGAAGCCAAATTGGGATTTTGGACATTGTAGCATATAATGCAATGTCATTTATTTGGAATTATATCCAAAGTATGCTAATTGTTTATTTTGCACCCATGCTATCTATAATAGTTAGGACATTGGATTAGTTCAATACAAAGACCATCAGTTGCTAAAGAAATGTTTGTTCAAAAATTAATGCTTTTGCTGCCTCCTATTTCACTTAGCAGGAGATCTAAAAGCTTTGAATGTGCACTCCAATGAGTTAGCTTGTGAAGAGTCTATCACCACGGGAGAGATCATTAAGAAGTTTGAGTCTCCCATGGAAAAGCTTCAAGCATTCAATAACATATTAAACGACAAAGGCAAAGATTGCCAGCACCTGACAGTTTATATTGGCGGTTCAGTTGGTGACTTACTCTGCCTGCTTGAAGCAGACATAGGTATTGTGATGGGATCAAGTCCCACCCTAAGAAGATTGGGAGAACAGTTTGGCGTTTCTTTTATGCCATTATTCTCTGGTTTGGTAATGAAACAGAGGGAAGTGGTTGAAGTTGGGTCTTCTAAGTGGAAAAAGCTTTCTGGCACTTTATATACTGTTTCTAGCTGGGATGAGATACATGCATTCATTCTGGGTTCATGATCACGAAACCCTCTCTCTGCTTCTGCTGGTGATTAAGGGAAGCAATTTACTAGGATATATAGAATCTCAAATGTGGCTAATTTTTCTCAAGGGCCACAGGTCAGCCTTGATTCTTTTTTTCTTTCTTTAGGGACTGCCATGCAGAAATATAATATCAGGGCCTGCTATCACAGGTACAATTGTGTAGTTACTGAAACAAGTGGGGTATCAAGTGTTTTCGCCCCTAGCTCCACTTTTAGTTTTTCCTTGGGATTGCATTTAAGCAAAAATAGTTTCAAATTTGTTGTAATATCAACATAAATTTCCTTAAAACAGTCAACGGGAATGAATGATTTTATTATGCTATCAGTTCCTTTTGTCGTTGGTTTGCATATTTAGTGTCAAACATAAATGATACACATACATATGTTTATATTTTTCAAATATAAATGTTGATTTTTTTTTCCTATATTAGGAGTGAAGGTTGGGTTGCTTGAACCCAAATCCAAATCTTAGAACACTTCAACAAGTCCCTTAGCCACTCGGTCAAGAGATTGTTGGCAACATAAATGTTGAAGCTATCACTCTAATTAACATCTTTAATATTCTATAAGATACTTCAATAAATTAATAATAAATTATATATATTTTTGAGAGAAAGAGAAATTTTTATATTTTGAAAATTATCAAACAACTAAACAATAAAGAAAATCCACTCTTCTTTTGTATAGAATTTATATGAAGTTTTATAAGTGAAGTTTATGAAATTTTTTATTAGAAATGAGTAAATAAAAATTTTAATAAAAAATTTAAATTGATAAATTGATAGAGTTATATATGAAAATCAATAATATGTAAAAAAAATTAAAAATTTTATTTATAATTCAAATTTAATCGATACTTATTTAATAATAAAAATTTTATCAATATTTTTACTAAAAATATATATTTAATAAATATATCAATATTTATTAAAATTTATTAAATTTTGTACACTTGACCTATGAGATAAGATTTTTTAATCTATCGGTTTTAATTTTTATTTACTTGTTTATAACTTCAAGAACTTCACTTAAAAAAAATTCATAGAAGTCTTTTCTCCCTTCTCCATCCCCTCTTTCCTTCTCTTTCTTGCATTGTTTACTCTGTTTTATTAATTTGGCACAACTTTCTCAAGCAAGTAGCTAGAAGTAGAACTACATATGCAACATTAGAGCAATAAGATCTGTAAGTAGTTTAATTTGAAGTCATACTGCAATACAAGTGAAGCATGTGACCACATGTGTAATCACAAACTTGAATAGACTGAGCCATGCTTTTTCTCTCCAATCTAATTCCCTGGTTTGGGTGTAGTTTCCACGTGAGTAGCACGTCAGCTTTCATTTCCTTCATGAATTCCCAAGTACCCTTTCCTCACAAACTTACATTTCATTCAACATCTTTGATCAATTATATTATATAGTGTAGAATAGTATTTATATAATTCATTCTCTCTATTCTCTCTCTAATTATAGGAAGGGAACTAAGGAAGGAAAGAAGTACTTGTTCTCCCCAGGAAGCTGCTGCAGCTGCCTGCTGGTTCACATGGCATCCATATCTGCTTTAACAATCTCTAATAGGAAATGCACCGTTTCACCTTTTATGAAAACCAAAAAAAAAGAAATCAACCCACATGTTGGCATGTGGGGGATTAGTTTTTTTCTTTTTTTGATCGATTGTTTTAATGCTATTTATCTCAAGAAGAAATGGCGGTTGGTGGACTGAGAGTCCTCAGAACATGATCATGATGTGCATCACTTCTACCCATTTTCTTTTGCTTCCCCTTATTTTCTTTAATAACGCAACTGGGAGCTTCCTCTTTCTAAAAGGACAAATCTGTCCTCATGCATATTTCTCTCCAATAATCTCTTTTCATCATAAAATGAAAAAGAGATACTACTGCTGCTGCCTTTTATGGATGCAAAAGCATTTCCCATTACTCTTTAAAGTTTAATCTTCATCTGCTTAGGATACTCTATTAGGCAAAGCTTCTTTTTTAGTCTTCTTAAATCTATGATTTTTAGGTGCTTTAACACTTTAATTTGAGATGATGATCAAATGGCCAAATGTTGTTAGTTTTGATCATGGAAGGGTAAATTTGATTTTTCATTGCCATTGTCTAGAACAACACTTGGTGTTCAAAGAAGAAAGGATAACCAAAATGAGAAGAGAATAAAAATGCAAAAACAAAAAACTTGGCCATTTTAATTTTTGTCTTTCTTTTTCTGTTTAGTTATCCTATAACATGGAAAGATTCCTTCCTATTCAATCATAACGAACAACTAACCCACTCACATTGTTTAATTTATTAGGACATGATGGGGCTGATCTGTATGACTATTAAAAAAAAAAAAAACCCAAAAACAATTTGGATTTTTAGATCAAATGAAGTTTACCATTATTGATGTTTTTCCTTGGATTCAATCAGAGCTTAATCACACAAGAGTGAGGGTACTGTTTTTTTACTATTAAAATATTGAAGTACAAATTCCCACTATCATTTTGGTTTGATGCTGGGAAGAGTCACATGTACATCAATATTATGATTCCAAAATCCTTGTCATACTTAGAAGTTACCTTACCCATTCTTCACCCTCACCTGAAATGATTTGAGCGTATGCAGCTTTTCATTTACTTCTTTTTGCAGTTACCAAGGATTGTTTTTTATCTTTTAAAATAAGAGTTCATTACTCTGTCGATATATCACACGACTGTCTTACGGTAGAAAGAAGATTTCGTCAGAATACTTACTTAAATGTAATTGGTAAACACTTTTGGGTTCTTTGCAGAAGGAAATAGTATCCCAAATGCCCTCTGGAATGGTGCATAATCTACAGCCTAACAATATATTTTCCAAGATCTCAAATCTCAAACTGCTTGTTTATTTGGGTCTAGCCTATACTAATAGTGGTGTTTGATTCTTAGAAAAATTTTTGATGGTTGAGATAGAGAATTTGACCTTGACACCTCCTATTGATTGGAGAAGTGTGATTACCAATTCGGTTATGTTTGGAACAAACAAGTTGTATTGGCATATGGTATGGGATTTTAGCAGAGTTTTGCTACAAAGCATAGAGATAGAATTCTATTCCTGTTTTATTATATTTTTTTTTCTACTGCAAAGACAATTGTGCAGAGAGAAATGCGGTTTTTCCAAGAATGCATTGAAAACATGCTGTCTTAACAGTTGAATCGTGTACTCAGCTGTAATTTTCTTGACATATAAGAATATGACATGAAATATCAATCATTACTTGCCTAAGTTGACTATCAAATAGAAGAAAGAAACACATTCTTTCCCCATGTTTAATGTTGGAGAAACTTCCAATAAGTCCAAAAGCTTCCCCGTCACTACTTGTTGATTAACAGCTGTTGCAAAACCCAAGATCTCACGAGTTCCCCAAAAATTAAACTAATCAACATTTCTTTAATATTTATATTCCAAAACTTATACATCAAGCCAGTCTTCTTTCCCATCACTTCTCATCAAAGTTCAAAACAAATAAACAAGTTTGCTCCATACTAACCAGCCCACTTTGCCCAACTTCTCCCGGCTAGTAGTTCCTGAATGTGAACATGATCTACTAAGAAATTGATGGCAGTTAAGAAGAAAAATATGCAGTTGGAAATCCATTTCTTGTTGTTCTTCTGCTACTGCTTTGGTTCTTGTTCTTTTGGTCTTGCTGCAAAGGTGGCTGAAACAACCAAGTTGAATGAGGAAGCATCGGCTTTACTATCGATAAAGGCTAGTCTTATTGATCCATTTAATAGCCTTCACGATTGGAAATTGCCAGACAATGTGGACCTGAAGTATTCAGCTCACTGTAACTGGACTGGAGTATGGTGCAATTCTGATGGGGCAGTTGAAAAGCTTGATCTCTCGAATATGAATCTCAGTGGGCGAGTTTCAGATGATATCCAACGGCTGAAAAGCCTTAGTTCTCTCAACTTGTGCTGCAATGAACTGTCATCAACTTTACCAAAAACCGTATCCAATCTCACATTACTCAACAGCATTGATGTGAGCCAAAATTTATTCACTGGCAGCTTTCCTGTGGGTTTTGGAAGGGCTTCAGGACTAACTTTGCTGAATGCTTCCAGCAATAATTTCTCAGGAGTTCTCCCAAAGGATCTTGGCAATGCAACTTCATTGGATACTCTAGACCTAAGAGGAAGTTTCTTCCAGGGTTCAGTTCCAAAGTCTTTCAAGAACTTGCAGAAGTTGAAATTTCTTGGCCTTTCTGGAAATAATCTCACTGGCCAGATACCAGGAGAGCTCGGGCAGCTTTCATCACTGGAGACTATAATTCTGGGGTACAATGAATTTGAAGGTGGAATACCGGTTGAGTTTGGGAACCTCTCTAGTCTAAAGTACCTTGATTTGGCAGTTGGCAATCTTAGTGGAGAGATTCCAGCTGAACTAGGGAGGCTCAAGCTACTAGAAACAGTTTTGTTGTACAAGAACAGCTTTGAAGGCAAGATTCCATCATCAATTGGCAACATCACTTCCTTGCAGTTGCTGGATTTGTCTGACAATAATTTATCTGGAGAAATTCCTGCTGAGATCTCCGAGCTTAAGAACTTACAACTCTTGAACTTAATGTGCAATCGGTTATCAGGCTTAGTTCCCGTTGGGCTTGGAGGTTTGACACAATTGCAAGTGCTTGAGTTGTGGAACAATTCCTTGTCAGGATCACTTCCAATTGATCTTGGCAAGAATTCAGCATTGCAGTGGTTGGACATATCGTCCAATTCGTTCTCTGGTGAAATCCCAGGAACCTTGTGCAATGGAGGCAATCTTACCAAGCTCATTCTATTCAACAATGCTTTCTCAGGTCCAGTGCCAGTCAGCTTATCAAATTGTCCATCACTTGTTCGTGTTAGAGTGCAGAATAATCTTCTATCCGGGGCAATTCCAGTTGGACTTGGCAAACTTGGGAGGCTTCAGAGGTTAGAATTGGCTAAAAACAGTCTCACTGGGAAAATCCCGGATGATATTGCTTCTTCTACATCACTTTCTTTCATTGATCTTTCTAGTAATGACCTTCGATCTTCTCTCCCTTCTGCCATTCTTTCAATCCCAAGTCTGCAAACATTTATTGCCTCAAACAATAACTTGGGTGGTGAAATCCCAGATCAGTTTCAAGATTGTCCTTCACTTTCTGTGCTTGATCTGTCAACAAACCATTTTACAGGAAGTATTCCAGCTAGCATTGCTTCCTGTGAGAAATTAGTTACTTTGAATCTGAGGAATAACCAATTGACTGGAGATATTCCGAAATCAATTGCTATGATGCCCACTTTGGCTGTTGTTGATTTATCGAACAACTCTTTAACAGGTGGGATACCTGATAATTTTGGAACTTCACCAGCTTTAGAAATGCTCAATGTTTCATATAACAAACTAGAGGGTCCAGTTCCAGCAAATGGTGTGCTAAGAACAATCAATCCAGAGGACCTTATGGGCAATGCTGGTCTCTGTGGTGGTGTTCTCCCTCCATGTAACCAATATTCACCAACTTCATCAGGGCAGAGAAGCTTGCGAGCAAAGCATATTGTTGCTGGCTGGCTCATTGGGATTTCATCAATTTTAGCAGCTGGAATCTTACTTATCGGGGGGCTATTGCTATATAAAAAGTGGTATTCAAATGGTGGTTGCTTCGAAGAAAGGTTTGAAGAAGGCAATGGAGAATGGCCATGGAGATTAATAGCATTCCAAAGACTTGGTTTCACAGCTGCTGACATCCTAGCCTGTATTAAAGAGTCAAACGTGATCGGAATGGGAGCCACTGGGGTTGTATACAAGGCTGAGATTCCACAGTCAAATGCAATCGTGGCAGTTAAAAAGTTGTGGAGATCAGGAACTGATATTGAAACAGGAACCAGTGGGGATTTTGTTGGAGAGGTGAATCTCCTTGGGAAGCTAAGGCATCGAAATATAGTTCGGTTATTAGGATTTCTTCATAATGATACTAGCATGATGATAGTATATGAGTTTATGCAAAATGGTAGCTTAGGAGAAGCCTTAAATGGCAAACAAGCAGGTAGGTTGTTGGTAGATTGGGTTTCCAGGTATAACATAGCACTTGGAGTTGCACAAGGGCTTGCTTATCTCCACCATGATTGTCATCCACCTGTTATACATCGAGACATCAAGTCAAATAACATACTGCTTGATGCGAATCTTGAGGCAAGAATTGCTGATTTTGGTTTGGCAAGGATGATGGTCAGAAAGAACGAAACAGTCTCAATGGTAGCAGGGTCTTACGGGTACATAGCTCCTGGTAAGTTACCAATTAACATCTCACTTCGATGGATTCGATTCTCTGTTTATATGATAATCCTAATTTATTTATTGTGGCTCATGTTATTTCTTAATGACCCTGTGACAGAGTATGGTTACACCTTGAAGGTTGATGAAAAGATCGACATTTACAGCTTTGGAGTGGTTTTACTGGAACTTCTAACCGGAAAGCGGCCTTTAGATCCCCAGTTTGGAGAATCTGTAGACATTGTTGAATGGATTAGGAGAAAGGTTGGAGACAACAAAGCTTTAGAAGAGGCATTGGATCCCAATTTAGGAAACTGCAAGCATATTCGAGAAGAGATGCTCTTAGTTGTCAGGATAGCACTTCTTTGCACTGCCAAGCTCCCCAAGGACAGACCATCCATGAGGGATGTGATTACGATGCTTGGTGAGGCAAAGCCTCGGAGGAAAAGCAGTAGCAATGATGGAAATGCATCAATCAAAGAGAAGCCAGTCTTTAGCACATCACCTGTAAATGGCCTCATGTAGGAGCAGAATCACGCTCCGTTTCTGCCCCCCCACCCCTCTTTTTTTGGGCAAAACTATATTCTTCTTTGTATGTAGCATTTAGTTGTTAATGCTTGTCCAGGTATATCAAGCTGGCTTTCTCCTTAAAATAAAGTTTCATTTTCGTGCAGGAGTCATGCAAGAAGATAATTCCATTGTACCTGAAATTGTTAATTCTCATTGCCAATGTATTTGTTATAGTACAGATCTACAGATCAATTCTTGGAAAATCTATCTTCTTTTGTTATTAGAAATTATACTTCAGCCAAACATGTTCTGAAATTGGTAACTTACCTATAGTTCTATAGTTCTAAAGTACTTTGGATTATTTGTCTCATTAAAGGGTGAAAATTGGAAATGATAAAGTTTTATTATTGTCCTAGAGACTAATTTTTAGGGGAAATTCTGCCCAGAACTTTAGAAGTTATCAAGGAAGAGCAAGTCATCTCTACTGAGTTTCAACTTTCCTGCTGCAAGCATACTTATAACAAGTTATGATAATACAATGACCAATCCTGGTAAAGAATAAACTTGTTCAGCAGAGTAATTAAGCTTTATCTTTAAAAACTATTCAGAAATCACTTCACATAGATGAGCTATCATGCCATAGAAACCCTTATGTAAGATACAAAAGAGGACTTCCCTGATGAGCAGAGTTCTCAATCATGCTCCAAATTAGCATAGTTCTTATGGTATAAAATGGATGAACTTTCAGTTTTGGAAAAAGAAGAATATGCTAACAGAAAACAAAAAAGGGCAGAAATTAAAGGAAAAAACAACAAACTTGCCATTGATAAGGAAAAACAATCTCATTCTGAGGTCCCAAAAATTATTAAAAAAAAAAAAAAAACAGTGAAATGGCTCTGTTATTTACTGCAACAAAAAAAATAACAGTTAGTGGATACTTTTGTATATATTACAACTAAGATATTTGTGCCTTTCAAAAATTATGGTGACCATTCCTCAAGACTGTAATTGAGATTGAAGAAAACATGTAAACAAAATAATACAGCAACTGGAAACAAACGGAGAGCCACAGAGGTTCAAACTTTACTGAGTCAAAATGCTTTAACTATTCTGTATTTCTTTTTGCTTTGTGTGTTACTAGCTGCCCTATTCATCTTATGGCAGGTGAGAGAATAATATTCTAGATGGACTTGCTTCTTTGTCACTGGTTCCTTTCTTGTAATCTTGGAGCTGTAAATTACGAATTGAAGTAACCTTAGATATGAATGGGAAAGCAACGTAAACAAAGATCATAGGAGAATATGAATCTGCGTACCCAATCCAGTAGCCTCAGTTGTCCTCATGATTCTAAGCCTCTTCACTGAACTAAGGAACATCCTGAATAAAACCAGAGAACATTCACAATGAGATTTAAGAGAAACCAACTTTCAATTCATAATACATCTTCTGTACATCTAGTTCTTTACTACTCCGCAAATCAGTTTAGCTTTAGCCTCTTCATGTTCACTTTATTGTTGTGAATTTCAAAGTCAATCCCCTTCCCTTTATATTTATAACAGACACATACACATAGATCAAGTTGTCAATAGATAGCAATATATTATGGTGTCCCTAACTGAAGCTCTCCCTTACAAACCAGGCAAGATGACCAGCAAGATATATTCATCAATTCTTCAGGGGCACTAGAAGAAAAGGAATACACATGAAGATTTTAAGCTTCTCCTTTAACTCTCCCCAGCTTCTATTATGAACTAATTGACAGTTTTTGTGCAAAAACTTCATTAATAATAGCAACATACATCTTATAAATGCAACTACATATAAGGCTATTACGAGAACGTGCACTTTGATAGTTCATAAAAAATTATATACATATATACACAGTCAAACTCCGGGAGGATATGCATTTTGGGTTTCGGTCCAGGAAATAAAAACAGAAGTTCATTTTAAAAATGTCATGTGAGTGAGGCCATAGAAAAAATTAAAACATAAAGTGAGAGGTATAATTGAATTATACATACTCCCAAGGAACATCTCCAACAAGCATCCAGTCACCCTCCTTGTCCTCATAAGTAAGCACAAAATCAGATGATCCATCCAGCAGTTTTGAAGGTCTTATTGGTTCGTTCATCATACCATGCTCCAGCACCCTTGATCCTAATCACGAAAATCATGACAACATTCATAAAAAAGAAGCTTCACTGATCTTCTAATAGAAAAACGTCTTTTTCCTTGTTTGAATTAGGACATTCTTTGCAGTGGAATCAAAGGCTTTCAATCTCAGCATCTTGTATAATTCCTTTAGGTTTAACATTTCTTTACTTAAAGATGTCTAAATGTTTCCAGTCTAACATTCTCTATTTTTACACAATGCTTGAAAAAAAATAAATAAATAAAAGGCAATGCTTGTCAAATTTGCTTGGCATGACAACTCATGTCCACATTCTGGTTTCCGTATACAGTGAAAGACTTAAAGCATACACAATAATTTTGTTAAAATTCCATATACCAGTTAAGAATAGGCCATCATATAGCTCGTGACATCCCTGTGACCAATACTTAAATGGGCACTTAACTCATCTTTTGAAACTTGAAACAAAACAAATTAAGAAACTAACCTACTGGATTGACATTTGGGGTGTTTCTGAGAAACATATCTTCTAAAGTTTTTGCCAACTTTTCATAGGATTCATGGGCATTTAGATCAACCTTCCTTCCAATTAGAATTCCATCCATCTTCACCTTCACATACAGAGATTTTCTGATCTTAGCATTACCACCATTCATGTAGCTGCCAATGGCACTCCTCTCAATCATAGAGGTCTCATTTTTATGGTTCTCCATTGTTGAGTTAAATCCTTCAGTGGCCAGTGCTTTTGGTTGGTTTACCATACTATTCATTCTATGAGTTCCTATAGGAGGCCACCCCACCACTTGACTGTTTCGAAAATCAAGGAAAATAAGAGATGTTAACAGGGGGAAAAATCAGCAAAGAAAAGAGGTTCACAAGCTACCAATAAGCAAATTAACACCCAACAACCACAACCAAATAGTACCATAACAGAAAGAAATGTTATCAGCCACTCATAAAGTACCAAAAAGGTTACACCAAAAGAATAATTGTACACATTAAAACTGTCTTGGTTGCATGGATTGTGCCTCGACTCAGATGGAGCCTATTTAATAAGGCACCACCCATAAAGGTTTCCACATAAACTGGTGAATTATTAGTTCCTGGTATCGTGTCACCTTGGCCTAATAACTTCCAACATTTTGGTTGGGAAAGTTTCCAGCATAAGACTTGGTTCAAGAACTCTGAAATTTGGTCAATTATATAATACAGGGACAATCACCTATATTCTGTTCTGTCTAGTTAGCAGAACGACAGAGAGAGATAACCAATCATCTGATCCAAAGCTAATTATTAATATTAACAAGCAAACAGGAACATATATTGAATTGGAATTGGAGATCAGGACTGCCTGATCTAAAGGCGTTTATATCTTGAAAATAAGCAGGCACCAACTAGACCCATCTTAACGAGACTGGAAGCATCCTAAATCCATACCCAATCCTCAACAACCTAACAATAAAGTTGTCTCCCTTGCCAACCCCTTTCTGAATGAATAATCATTCAGGAAGATCTATGCAATTGCAGTTTATCTGACAATATAAGTACTTTGCTTCCTATAATGTTTTCTTTCGTGTCTAATTAGAGGATTCTAGTTTTCTTTTCTTCTTAATTATCTTTCTCCTGATCTTGTATTTATAGTACCAAAGTTCTGTAATTGATGAGACACATATCTTATGAAGGTAACTAAGTGTTATAACAGAATTAGAGAAAGCAGATAAATTCAGAAAAATACCAACTAAGTCCAAGAACATAAGCATATTCAGGACACGAAATTTATGCAAGGGACATGATAACGTAATTAAATGGAATCAGAAATCAGGCTGAAACTAGAGCATACCTAGAGCCATTAGCAGCAGCCACAGAATCAGCAGTCCTCTTGGTCCCAGCTGTGACATTAGCTCTACTTAAAGAAGATGAAGAAGATGATGATGAAGATGATGGAGGAGGATATGAAGAAGCTGCAGCAGAAACCACAGAAGGGAAATTCTTAGCAGTCAAAATCCTAATATATTGACCACCCCTTGAAACTTGATGCGACTTAAAACCACCACAACCACCACCAAGGCTCAAGCCAAGACCCAACTCCAACTCAGACTCATCTGGACACGAAGAATCCTCTGAGGACATCACCATGTTATCCTCCCTTGACACTGTAGACATTGAACCACTTTCAGAACTACCACCACCAACAATAACAACAACTCCTGGCATTGAAAATTAAGACCTCCTTGATTCAACCAAAGTTTCAAACTTTATAACTAGAATAGAAGAGAAGATGTTTATTACAAGTGAAGTTTATAACTTTGCAGGCAGAGAGAAATGGGTAAAAAGCAAAGAAAGAAAGGGAACAAAGACGAAGATTTTGAGAAGGTGTTAAGCGAAAGTTCGGTGGGCATAGGAAACTGGGAAAGAAAGGAAATTTTAAAACATTAATAATAATAAACACTACTAGAAAAGAAGGAGAAAATTGAAGGTTGGGTTGGGAAGGATGATGGGAATGGTGGTGGTCGTGCTGGTGTTTGTAGTGATGACTTGGGCCCCTACCTTGTCGGGTTTTATGCCCCTCCATCAATGTTTTTACTTTTCTTTCTAAAATCTAAACCTTCTTTCTTTAGTTTTTTTTTTTTTTCACTTTTCACTTTTGATTTGTGCCCTTTTCCTCTGCTTTGCTTTCCTCGCTTTCTAGACCTTGTTTTTACATTATTTTTCTTCTCTCTTTATATATATATATATATATATATATATATCTTCAATTACCGGCAAGCGAAAACAAAAAAAGAAAGACATGATTTGGATTTCTTTATAGGAATTTATCTCCTAAAAGAATTTCCTTTACCAAAGAAAAAATACAACACACATGAAAACAAAATGCTAATAAATGATTCTACCCATGTTGGTTTGTTATTTTTGTGATGATCTTATTGGGAAATGGGAGTCTGTCCATGCTGTCTGTATACAAATAAATGTTTGGATAAGTTTGGCAAAATGCCAAAACTAACTAATTAAAAAATTTATCATCTTTCCTTTTCCCTCTTCTAATTTGAACTAAAAGTTTTTTCTTCTTTAAAAACTTCAGAAAAATGGTCAGAAATTGACCTTGCTTACCCTAAAATGGCCGTAGAACATAATAGCTAAACATTATCACCCAACAATTTCACAGGAATTTTGGCTATTTGAGTCAAATTACCTAAACTATTAAAACATCTATTCCACTTTATAAAAATTACAACAAATATAGCATTTATTTTCATGTAAAATAAGAAAAAAAATATAGCATTTTGAGTAACAGGTGAATATTTAAGTGAATAAATATATTTTCTGTTGAAAGAATTGGGCTTGCTTAATTTTTTTCTTGATAAAAAAAATTAATATTTTATGATTTATAAAATAAAATTTTAGATATTTAAAAAAAAAACTTTACATATTAGTATTTTATTATTAAAATACTAAAAAATTACCTGAGCCCAATTGACCCAAGATCTTCTTCTCTGTATCGCGAGAAATGAGGAGAAATTGTAGAGAAGAGTCCATGGATGGGCATCAAGAAGATGGGCCCATTTCCGTCAAGCATCCAACGACAACCCGACAAGAGTGGGCCCAAACATAACAAGGCTCGACACGTAGGAGTCAGGGACCCACCTCAAAAACCTGAAAACCCAAACTCAAAGCAAAGCACACGGCACACGGATTTTGAATGTAACGAAATCAAGAAAATGGAAAACATTGACAGCTCAACAAGACAGAGACATTATTAACATGGAGACCACATCGACCGTTGGTTCCCATTTTGCTTTTTTTTTTTATAAACGTGGTTTCAGTTCCGATTAATTGAAAGTTTTCAGGTCCGACATAAAAGAAAAATCAAACGCACAATTGGAAACACAGTTGCTTTTCTTTACTCTTTCGTTTGATTTGAGGGATCGAGACATTAGTTTCTGTCTGATTTCGACGGCTTACGGTTCTGTCTTCGGGCCAGGAGACCGACAGAGTCCAAGTCTTGAATATAATTTTTAGTTTCCACGGTTGAAGTGTGGGATGGGACCCAAGGAGGAGAGCGTTAAGGCTTGATTAGATACAACTGAATCATTACGTGTTTCCACGCCTATCTGATAGTTGGCTGACACGTGAGTGCTTTAACTTCTGATTGTGACACCTGTTTTCTCAATTTTCTCCCATCCATCCAATGGGGTTGGTATTTGTGGCCATCACACTTAATTAGCTGTTGGAGTCTTGCTGAAGGCAGTTTTCTGCCATCATGAAAATGATGTCAATTTCTGAAAGGTCTTAAATGGTTCAGTTATGTTCACAATAGGTTTTCATGGTTGATAAATTTAAGAAAAAAAAATAGTACCGTATAACATAATAAAAAAAATTAAATAGATAATACAATAAAAATAGTATGATTTAAAATTATAATAAAATCTATACATAAATTTAATAAAAACAAAAAATATATATTATGTTTGATATATATTACATGTGTCATTTCGATACATATTTTATATGTATTTAATAAGAAATAAATAAATACGGATAAATAGCCTGAAACTTGATCAACCAAACCAGTATAAAAAATGTTTGATTCCTCACAAAGAATGTTATTTGGATTCTAGCCGCCTACAAATGGCAATATATATGGTATTTACCATATTTTAAGCTACAAAAGATAGAAAAATTTTCCCAAAATTGGTCTTTTCAGGGACACATCAGATTTGGAGGTGTGTCTTGCTTATTTCATAATAAATACTAAAATGAGAATTGGATCGGAACTCCAAAGGAAAGAAAAAAATTCACTTTCCTTCCTAAAGATTGTCGTTTCTTCTCTAAAAATTGTCATTTCTTCTCTTGATTCTCAGCTTGCTGAGGCCTGCATTCAGTGCATGCCATGCAAGCCGGAGGAGGGGGCACGTTTTCTAGGAGACTGATTCGCAATGCTCGCCGCTTATCTTCGTTCCCAGGAACATGTAGAAGGGCCTCCATGATTAGGATTTCCCAGTTTCGAGGAAGGAGATATGAATACCAATCATCATCTATAAAAGAAACCCATTTCAGAATGGCATCAGGTTGAAACAGAAATACAACAACTTATTAATGATTTGGAATAAGTCGGTTTAACACTGACAATTGCTCAATGAATGATTTGGAATAAGACAGAATGACAAATGACAATTGCTCAAAAAAATACAAACTGCTAATAAAGCACTTTCCAGATGGAAGCTATTTACAAAAAAGGCTTAGCTCTAACAATTGAGTAATGAAAATTAGAGATTTGCATGACAACCGATAAATGATACATCAAAGGTAGAGTGATTTTTGAGATTATGCTTTTGGGCATGTAATTAATGAGTGGGATCTGAGAGCTTCAACAAGAAAAAAGACAGAAGATGTAAACAAGAACTTAAGCAGATGTTACTAACCTCCATTACGAACTGCCTTCACTTGTAATACTCCATCTCCTTGAGGTCCAGACACGGGAAATGTGCAAGATACAGAACGCCTCTTGTGAGCAACAGCAAGAGAAGCATTGTACCATGGTCCCTGCTTAACCGGTCCCCCAATAGCATCTATAATTGCTTGATTCTTACCGGCTTTCTCCATGGCCTTGCTGAAAAATTGTTAGGCCACTTATAAGGATATTGTATATCATTGCAAATGGAAAGTGGAGAATGAGATGAAAATACATGAAAACTTAGAGGTTGCTAAAAAAAAGACAAAGAGGTGCCATACTTGGGAAAAGGACTTTTATTTACTACTAAAAGAAAATGGAATACAGTTGCTATTTCCATTAGAAACTAGAAATAATAAGACCGTAAAATCTATCCCTTTGCCCAATTTCAGTGAAACAATATTTTATGCCTACAAACCTATGTTGCAGGGGTTCAAGTACAACACTGTGCATAAGGAGATGGTATAACAATAACACAAGTCATAATACTATTGAATTCAAATATTCCACAGATGCTATGTTCTGCAAAATAAAGTAATATAATTATATGCAGGTATCTCTATCCCTAAATTCAAGACATACAAAGCATTCAAGCACTGCCAATTAAGTCTATACTTTCTAAGTTCTAAAAGATATCCAAGGTACCCTTCATTTTGCAGGTGGACCGTTGACACTTCCGGTCATATTATAAATTCTGTGTGACAAGAAGCAAATGAATTTCCTTTCTTCTGTTTTGATCCAGAAGAGAATCGAAAGTTAGCATGTTGAACACACATAGTCCAATCCTACGCTGTAAGTGCATTAGACATTTCTAATCCTCAATGCATTTTGAAATAAATAAAACCATTATTATACATCTCATGTTGTTTAACTTAATTCCAGTAACAAATTGGACTCAGAAATTTGGCGATTTTCATTATCACGCAGCTGTAATATGCTAGTCTCAAGAAAAAAATTCTGTTTGAACCTAATACAAGTCTATTGCTGCAACTCAAGGTTCACAACCAATGTTTGGTATGGGAGCTCAGAATCTAAATGAGAAGACAATTGAAAGAAAACTTGAAAGAAATCTTAAGATATATCTCAATTCATATCAACTAATATTCTGCCACAAATGACTCCACAGGGTATTATGTTATCCAAGGTTCACAAACTATCTTCAGGGTGGGAGTTGAGAACCTAAATCAGAAGATAATTGAAAGAAAACTTATGATATGCCTCCATCTATATCAACCGATTCTCTGCTACAAATGACTCAACAGAGTATCATGTTATCCAAAACAACACTATATTTTAGAACTTCGTACGAAAAAAGGTTCAGTAAAACCAAGTCAGCAATAGTGAAAAAATAACAAGGCATAACAAGAATTACAGAAGTTGTATAAGGCTAAGTGTTGCTGTAACAGCAATCACTGTAAACAATGATTTTTACAACCATGCTGTCCTAAGTATTTAACAATGAATTAATGTAAATGAATAGCTAGAGAAAGTGTGTAGGCCGTAGGGCCAGTATATTCATAACTACACAAATACACACACACCAGCCACCAGCACAAATCATGTGAGTTACGACCCAGTTTTACAGTTTTCACAACAGAAATCGTATCAAGGGAGAAAACAAAAGGCAAAATGGAAAAACAAATGCAGTAACATCTCATTATAGCCCCTAAAAGCTAACTGATAGTTTTCGCAAGGATCAACTAACTTACTAAGCTATATGATTAAAACTACCACAAATACAGTAAGCACTAACTGAGAAAACATGGTAAAATAACATTGTTTCATGCCCGGCCAAATTCAATAATCTCATTTTGCAACTATGGAAAAGCAAAGTCCTTATATTAATAAAACTCAATAGCAGTTCCAGATGCAATGAAACATACCTGGTACAACTATGGTAGATAGCAAAGTCATCAACAGCACTCAAGGCAACACCACCCTTACAGTGATCAAGACAAAAGACACTGCTTTATGAGCAAATGACTTGCTTTTTTCTTCATTCACAGAATTTCCAGTGCTGCACAATACAATCAAATAAGTAAAAAAATGATCAAGTTTAACTTATCTTTTGGAGAAGCCTAAATGCACAACAATAAAAATTACGGGTACTGGAAAAAAATTGTTTAGACAAAAAACCAAATTGACAACTCAAAAGGAGCTATCTGAACATTGAGTTTCTAATTCTCTGTCTGGGATTTGAGACTGAGCCTAAAAAGCAACTTGGGCAAGCTTTTCAATTTTTCATGGCTAAAATGCTCAATTAAGAATCTAACGTTTGGATTTTTTTTAATTAAAGATATCAACTTTAATTTAATCAATGTTTGGATCTAACGTTTGGATGTTTTCTCAATTAAGGATATCAACTTCAATTCTCTGTCTGGGATTTGACACTGAGCCTAAAGAGCAACTTGGGCAAGCTTTTCAATTTTTCATGGCTAAAAGTTTCTTTGAGGTTTTGACCTTTAAGAAAAAGTTGGCTTGAGTAATTTAGGTTGGTGTTTTTTTGTGGATTGTGGTTTGATAAAACTGAGTTTTCAAGGTTCGATAAAAACTGGGTTTTCATGGTTTGATAAAACTGAGGTTTCATTTTAAGTTTAGAAAAAATCTGTTGTGAGGCCTGGTATATTGCCATAAACACGGGGTTTTTGAGTTTTCAATTTTGATTTAGGGTTAACGGATTTGTTTTCAGGATTTTGGAGTATTATGTTAGGAGTTTTTTTTAGCTTTTCAATTTAATTTTTTAAGAGTTCAAGTATTAAGATTAAAAAAACTTAAAACCCAGTTATGAATTCATTTAAAATATTCTTTTTTTACTATTTCAATTACCAATTTTAAAATTTATAGCGCTGGTGAAAAAAATTGAAGAAAAATACAATTTAATCTTATTTTCCTACCTAAACTATTTCAACGCGCGTGACTTACACTTCCGTAACTGAATCCTTATTTGAACCAATCCGAAAACATTTAGTTTTACATTGATCCAAATTAAAGTTGACATCCTTAATTGAGAAAACACCTACCCTAACTGAATCCTTATTTGAATCAATCCGAATACGATTAGTCTTACATCTTCATATTAAAGTTGATATCCTTAATTGAGAAAATGCCTAAATGTTATATCCTTAATTGAGCATTTAGCCATTTTTCATCAACAAACCAAAGTGTCTTACATTGATCCAAATTAAAGTTGACATCCTTAATTGAGAAAACACCTACCATAACTGAATCCTTATTTGAATCAATCCGAAAACGATTAGTCTTACAACTTCATATTAAAGTTGATATCCTTAACTGAGAAAACGCCTAAATGTTATATCCTTAATTGAGCATTTAGTCATTTTCATCAACAAACCAAAGTGTAAATAAATCGAAGTCCTACGATTTTTCCCGTTGTGGGTACTAACTCACTTTCAATATCTCACGAAAATCAGATGAATATTTACGGGAACTTAACATCAATGGCTAATTCAATCCCAAAAAACGAAATGCTAAAACATGAACTCAAGAAAGAAAGAAAAGTGAGTGAAAAAGCGGAGGCAAAAAGTGTACCTGTAAACCTTTGAAGATGGAGAACTCTTGAAGAAAGAAACCAACCTTCTCGCTAACATATCCTTCCTTGTTTTCAAAGCTTTCCTTCGTTTCTTCTTCTCTTTTCGGGGTGTGACGGCATGAAATGTACACTACTGTCGCTTGGAGTAAACTACTTTTGCTTGACCTGCTTGGAACTAAGAAAAGGCTTGGGCTTCCAACTCATCTGTTTTTCTAAATGGGCTAATGGAACAAGATGATTTGAAGGCCCAATTATTTTTTTTGACTAAATTTTTAAGGGTTTTTTTTTTTTTAGTTTCCACTCAAAGTCTCATTTACAAAGGGGTAAAAAGTAAGATTTTATTTTTATTAATAATAACATTTACTATTCTAATTTCAGTAATTTGTCAATTTAGTAGTTTAGGGATGTTTTAAGGTTGTAGCTATTCCAGCATAGGCATCCCCACTGTGAACAGATATGAGATAACAAAAATAACTTCTGCTGCAGTGTAAAAAGACCAGTATTATTAACACGTGATTGAGAAAATCACTTGCGTCAATGGCAGCAATCCTGTAGAATTTTGAGTCTATACATACAGACACACATTCTTTTCTTAGGCATAGTTTAGCTGTCGTACAACAGTTGGCAATAGATTTGCTTTTCCAGTTTCGACACACCTTAAAGGCAGAATAGTATGTGACATTCTGATCATTCTGCTCCTATATGATTTGAACAAGATCTCCATAACTCCAACACATGTTCATCATACTCAAATAAGGAAATCCGCAGCAACCTGCAGCCTCCATCTCTCTTTCTTCCATCTGGGTTACTGGTATTCGAAGAGAATTCCTAGACTATCATCACAAATATTTTTGTAAGAATGACGAGTATACAAAATCATAATACCTGCTCTATCAACTTATAATTCACTATTTGTTGCTGAATGAACACAACGACAGCAGATGAGCAACACAACAACATTCCATCGTGATTGGAAGGCTACCATAAAACTAGCCTCTTTCATCGCCTACCCAATTGTTCTTCTCCTTAGGTCCGGTAGGACCTTCCTCACCATACAGCTCAACTGGAAGCTTATAAAAAATGTTCTGCACTGAATATCGAAGCATCATAGGCAAAATGTTAATAAATTTATCCAACTCAGTTCTAGAATCATAGACAATAGTTGGACCCCATTTTCTCATAAACTGCAACCAGCCAGGCTCAGCAACAACCCCATCTCCAAGATACTCAGCTGCAACAAGTTCGTAATGAGTACTAGAATCTACATAAAAATTACTACTAGAAGCATCATTTCTAATTCCAATTCCTAGTTTCGCAGAACCCTGAATGTAAGTCCCAGGGTGAGGAAAGCTAGCATGTCCACTTTTTGATGAGTAAACAATAGCTTTATTCCCTTGTATGAAATCCAAATCATAAGCATTCACCCATACACCACCACTGTGCTGAGAGAAGTATATGCTCCAGAGCTCTCCAGTAAAGTTGCATATACGGAGAGTAAAATGCTCCCAATCACCTACATGCTGTCCAATCTTGCTAAGTGCAATATTCATATAACCAACTTTAAGAGTTGCAGGCCCATTAAAGGGGCAGAAAATCCACATAGCAATATCATTGAAAGTCCCACCAAGTGCTGGTTTGACGTGTACATAAAGCTTAGCACTTCCGATATTTCCTAGTTTGACGCTATTTCTTCGATCACCAGTTGGCAAGTCTGTCCAAAATTCCCCATCATTTCTTCCGCCACTTGGTAGATTTGAGCCATCAATATCAATGGGCTCACCCACCAAGTCCCCCTTTTTGAACAGGAGTGCTCCATTCTTGAAAAACCATGAAACAGAAGAAGGCAAGTATATCTCGTCAGGATGAAAGAAGACAGTAGGTCCATAGTGGTTTATTAGTGCATGAATCTGGTCACAGTTTGGCATTGCATGTAGTGTAGGATCTAAATTCTTCAAGCATGCAATAGGCAGTTCTTGTCCAGGCGTCCAACAGCTATTGCAAGAAAAAGTCCCAACAGAAACACCTTTCCCCAGCATCCCTCGATGATAAGGTCTTGTGCTCCAAACCTGAAATGGAAATTCTGAAAATCTAGTACTTACATTAAGTATTACTTGATAATTTTCACATCTATCTGTCAAGTCAGCTCGAACACATCTCACTTTATCTAATTTGGGTTTTTTAGGAGAGTGAGTGACCAAATAACCCATGGACTTATAACCCTTGGGGGCCTGAGGCAACCAGAAGAAACCACACCCTTCAGGAGATTCCTCATTCCTATCATTTGAACACCAAACTAAAGTATAATCAAGAGGCTCTCTAAGGGCTGGTGAGGCAACATGAATAGAGAAATGAGCAGCTTCAGATTCAGAAGGTATTTCCCGCACAACAAGAACAAAACCTCTGAAAGGCTGGTCATTAGATTGACAATAGTGCCCAAGTTTATAAAATCCATCAGGTATTCCAACTGGCTTATAAAAAGTGACACCTTTTTTCTCATCCTGTAAGTTGGTGCTCCAGATGAACTTAAATCTTGAGATTTTAACGACTTCAAGTTCTCCAAGATTTATTTTTCCAGAAGCAAATCCTTGACCTGAAAATGGAGGCAGGCAATTAAGAAATTTACATGATAGCACAAGACTGAAACACATCACCCCAAGTGAACTTTTGACTTGAATAGCAAAAGCCATCTCACATGTTATTTTATCAGCCTCTACTCTGGACCGTGCAGCATTTATACATCAAGTCAACACAGAAGTTTCAATAGTGGACACCACAAATATATGTAGATGACATGGAAAAGAAAGAGAGTTAAGAATGATGAAATAAAGAAATGCTGCTCAAACGTTAGAGGAAAGTTCAAAAATAATTATGGAAAAACAAGTTTATGTATCATATTTGTTTACTTTGAAAGTAATAGAAAAAAGAGAAGCCACTAGAGTAACAATCACACAGTGACAAATAATCTTTTAAAAAGAAAATGAAGAAGCTCATGAATCTGGATTGCAAAAGCCAATGATATTTCATGAGCACACACAATTCATTCAAGCTTACCCTATTAAAATTTAAAAAAAAAAAAAAGAAGCAACAAATAAAGACAAGAATAACAAATGAAACAGATCTAGGAAAGTAGGAAATTAGATTTGCTATTGTCATGAAAGAATAATCAGAGTACACTACTGGTCCTGTCAGCATAAGCAACAAAGATTTAATTGCCGCAAACACATTTGTTTCCAGCACCAAATTATCAAACATTTTATTACTTCTTGGACAACTGTATTACCATAATAGACAAATTTCCTACACCACGGGTTTTATCTCTGGGTTGTTTCTGTCACTATCACTGCTTACTTTATCTGCAGCAATTCTAAAGAGACTAGGGATCATTTATGCTTTTCCTGCCCTTGCCCAAAAGACGTATAATTAGGACTATTTCAGCATCTCAGATACAAAGATTGGTAGGGGGTTGGGATGCAGAGTTCTGCGGGGTAAAACTCTTTCAAAAGGAAGATCTTTCAAAGCAGTGATGCTCAAGATTTCTTGGTCTCGAAACTTATATCATTTGAAAGGAGAACTGAAGAAGCATAAGAAAATATGCCTGTATGGCAAGACCAAAACTCCACATTAAGATTCAACTGTCTTTCATTCCATCACTGAAACCATTAGAGCAAAAGTCAATTCCCTTTGAAATGTAGCCTATAAACAGACTCCTTTGGTAGAGCTTGATCCTAAATGAAGATGTCTTAGCGTGCCTTCTTTTTCTTTTTTTTTTTAGAGAAGTTTCTCTATGTCATTTGTTTAGGCATTTCAATCTTGTTCTTAAAAGTAATATTCTAGTTTCTGTTCCTATTTTTGCCGCTCCTTTTACTTACTACAGCAAAGTTTCTCCGGCATTCTTTTAAATGAATCAAATCATTCAAACATTTAAAAATAAAAAAGAAAAAACTTGTAATTGATCGCCACCGAATTATGCATATTCATTCTATAAGGGAAAACATATTCCCAACTTTGCAGCTCCCAACTGATCAAGTAATGCCATCTACTCACATAAATTGGCAACTTTTCCAAAATAAGTATAAGGGCCTTGTTGCATGTCAAGGTTTCTTTTTCTTTTTTAAATTTAATAATTTCTTCATTCTGATAATAGGTAAAATATCAGCGCATGAATCACCCATCAATCGGAACAAAAAAAAAAATTGCAGTCAACCGAAAGGACAAACTTGAGCCCAGAAATCCCATCAACCAAAAAGAAAAAAAAAAGATGCAAACCAATTAACAGAAAACACGAAACGAAGAAAACGCAAAATTTTTAAAATGCAATCTTTTTTGTTGTTTTTGGAAATCAAAATTGCAGTACCTTGAGGCAGTTGAGGAAGCGGGGCTGGAAGCGAGTAGGTTTCAGGCTCTGAAGGTGCCAAAAGGTCCCTCTTTTTCCAGTAGAAACATTGGCATCCAAACATTTCCCTTCTGATCTCAACAACCTATGCATCAAACAGAAAAATTTGATGATAATACGCTGTTGCTGCTGCTAATGATGATGATCTCCAACTCGTGGGCATTATTTGATATTCCCAATTTCTTCAAGCAGAAGCATCGAATGTCAAATGTCGTGGTTCCCTTTTTTATGGTTTACGACGCAATCCATTTTTTTGCATTATTTTGGAAAATAAAATAATTAGAATTTGAACATGTGTCGGACTCTGTTCGATTCAAACAGAAAATCTGTCTCTTCACAGTCTTAAAGCTCTGACCTCTCTAGACCCAGCCCATTATTCCTTTTTATTTGAAGTTTAATTGAAAAGCATGACTTAAGATTTGTACTTTATTCTTGCAAAAAATAACCAAAAAAAATTATGAGTAATTTGATGTATTTATTTTTTATATGATGAAAACAAATTTTTTTATATATAAAATATCATATTTTTTAAAAAATTTATAATTTAAAAATAAAATAATAAAATTTTAAATTTATTAATTATCATTCAAATTAAATTTTTTTATTATCAAACATTTATTTAAGTACTAAAAATTAATATATATGAATTAAAGATGATAATAAATTGGATCGAATTGAAATATATTTATTTAAAACTTAATTTTATTTTTATTTTAATTTTGATTTATTTAGAATCGAAACCAACTTTAAAAAAAAATTATAAAATTAAATCAAATCAAAATTTGACGAATTCGGATATATTTGTTAGCTCAAACAACATCGATACCAGGTAGCCGAAGAATAAATTGATTCAAGTTCAAGGCAAGCCCAACCCATGGATGAGAGCTGAGACACCGCGGGTCCTGCTTTTCGTTGAATGATGTATTCTTTTCCTCTACAGCAATGAAGCCTCCTTGGGTCCTCTATTATTTTTGGCAAATTTAAAAAAGTTGACAAGCCAAATTTTCTTGTCCAGAAAGAAATTACTACTATTAGAGTTCTTTGATCATCACTAGTTTAACGTAAGATATTGTCAAAGGTTTTGTCATCACCAGTTATATTTTTGTTTTGTGAACAATTCTTTTACTCATTTTAAATGTATAATTAAGACCCCAAACCTACCATTTAAAACAAAAATTAATGAAAAATTATTGGCTTTGAGAGGATACATTTAGTATAGATACTTTCGTGACAAAATGAAAATCTGGTTTCGTCAGAAGGAAGATTGAAGAAATTGTCCAAAATTGGAAAAATCCAAATTCGTAACTGGCTAGCTGTTGAGCTGCTTTTCATTATTGTAACAATGCAGAGCACGATTAGCTGTCCGACTGCAGAATGTTCCAAACAGGACAATTTCTGCAACGTGTGGAGTAATGAATCCGAGTAAAGACTTGAAACAAGAACCCCACGTTTCCAAAGTTGTAAATGTGGTCATTAAGGATAAAAAAAGAAAGAAAAAATACATATGGAAATACAACTTGGATTTTGGCCTTGGGGTGGTTTCAACCACTGAAATTTTCGAAGTGGAAGTATTAGATTTAGGATCAAGAGTGGCATAGGCCATTTCTGTTTTTATTTTGACAGTTTCGATGACTTAAAAAAGAGAACAACTTGATATTTTTCTCCTCTATCAGATAAAACCTCATGAATTTTCTAGGGAAAAAATATAAATATTCATCGGATTCTGTTTTAATCAAACAGGAAAGTGCATGTTCATTTTCTATTTTTGCTTCTCTCTTATAAAAGGAGCCAATAATAACCAACTCAAATTCTTCATATTTTTGCATATCTATATATATATATATATGCCATTTTTTGGTTCATTGTGTGGGAAAAGCTTTTTCTTTCCTCAACTGGTATTAGCCTGTTAGGGGAATCTTTCTTGCAATTCAAAAGGGTATGTTTCTTTTCCATTTTTAACTGCATTATCATATGCTTTTTTTTTCTGTAGATTTTTTAAGCAAGAAAATGAGGCCCTTTAATTCCTAAGATTTATTGCATTTTTAATTACAAAGTTTCAGTATCAGCTGATAAATAGCCTATGGGAGATTGATTGTCTGAATAGATGCAACTTCTGATCAAAAGTAAGAGATTTGAAATGGGGTACTCCTTCCTCGTATATGTAATTATGTACCTTTCTGAATCAGAACCAGCTATCAATGTTTGAATCAATCAAAAGTTCTCTCCATATTTCACATTCTGTTCTTTGATGTGTTTCTATTCGATGTATATTTGGGCTGGCCTTTTGGTTTCTGTTGAAAAATTATTATTCCAATTTTTCTTTCTTCACACAAAAAAAAAACAACATTTTCCTATCTCTTCTTATTGTTATTGGAGCAAAATTTTCCTTTTTTCCATTAAGGAAAAGGTGAAATTAAGAAACAACAAGAGTATAGATCCAAACAAGAATCTTGCTTATTAGGAATTTAGTTTCCTCAATAATGGGGGCTAATGCAAAAGGTTTTCATTAGATTTATCTTTTATAAACATCATTCCAATGACTAAAGATATTAATAGGCGATTCATTTTGGCTTGTTCTTAGAGAAGATATTTGAGTTGCTCATCGATTGCCTCTTTAATTTGTTCACAGAATTTTATATCCCAAACCAGCGACCACCACCACAAACACACCATCACCAGGAAGGAACCAGAGAAAAGCAGCAAAACACGAAAAAAATGCTGCTAAAAAGCTCTTCAACTCCAGTTCTTGGATCACTCCTCTCTTCCATAGCTGCTGATAGTCCTAATAACAACAATCACTATGAAACCAGCACCCCCTTTAAGCATCATCCATTGACCTCCTTTATCGACAACCACAACAGACTCTCATTTCATCCCTCTCCAGGCTCTGTCCACCTCTCTACCACAGTTTCTTGTGGCTCCTCTCCTAAATCTCCCTCTGTTGTTGACCAATTCTCTGATTTTAACCTTAAAGGCTTTCGCCGGGTTCATTCTGCTGGAAACTTGGAAGGGCTTGTCCATGCTGCTTGCGATAGCAATGAACAATTGTACAATCAGAACCAACCCAAGAAGCTTTCTTTAAGGCACAAGTGCTTAAAGTTGGAAAGCATCCCTTCCTTTTCCTTTTATAATTCAAGGGCGAGGTGTGAGGAAGAAGAAGACGAGAGTTTTTTAGAAGAGGAGGAAGAAGAGTTGAAGGAAAATGAAAAACTATCCGATGGTAGTGAAGAGAAGGTAATGGCTGTGAGTGGTAGTCATGAATTCAACCCAATCAGCATGAAGAATATGTTGCTGAAAGAGGAGGTGAAAGTTACTGATAAAATTTGGAATGTTGGTTTGGAATATGAGCGAGGGTTGGTCGGGCAAGAAATGTTTCTTGCGAAAGGGCTTGGCTTGACCACGGATGGTGGTAGCAGGGGTGGTTTTAGAGGCGGCAGCGGTGGGGGTGGTGAGTTTAACCCATCAGGCTCTAGCGGAAATGGTGGTGGTGACAACCATGAAGTGGAGGAGTATTACAAGAGGATGGTAGAGGAAAATCCTGGCAACCCCTTGTTTTTGGGGAACTATGCTCAATTTTTGTATCAGGTGAGTGTTCATTGCTAGTCGATTTCACTACTGTAATCCAACCTTTTTTTTTTTTTCATTTTATGGTAATAGTCATGTTGTTTTGACAGTCAAAGAGAGACGTTCAAGGAGCAGAAGAGTATTACTCTCGAGCCATTCTGGCAGATCCCAAAGACGGTGAAACTCTGTCACAATATGCTAAGTTAGTGTGGGAGCTATATCATGATGAAGAAAGAGCTTCAAGCTACTTTGAACGAGCAATTCAAGCGTCTCCGCAAGATAAGTATGTGCTTCTCTCTGGAGACCGTCTTCCTCGTATAATTTTATGCTGTATGCTATGAACTTAATTGTTTTTCTTTTTTGCAGCCTTGTTCATGCAGCTTATGCTAGTTTCCTCTGGGAAACAGAGGAAGATGGAGAAGAATATGCGGCGCCTAGGGGTATTGATTCCATTCCCGCACAATTTCATGAAGGATCCTTGGCCAGGCTTAAGCAGCTATAGCTTGGCGGGTGGAGACATTGCTGCAGTGCACAATAATGGAACATTCCTATATGTATTAGAAAAATAAATGTGCTTACTAATATACCTAACCAACCTCGTACACCACTTCATAAGGAAAACAGGAAGCTTATTCCTGTGATGGGTTTGCTCATTGCTGTCACAATTTCAAATATTTCTGATAAGATATACATATAGATAGGTTGAATTCGAGCTGCAATAGAGTTCAAACCATTGTTTAAAGTCAAGGTCGACTGTATAATTGATTTACTAATGATGATTTCCTACTGATAAGCTTGATTTCGAACAAAAGGCGTATTATAATATAATATAAAAAATAAAAACTAGATGTAATTATTATTTCTACAAAATCAATTATGTTTTCCAAGTCCTTTGATTTGAGTTTACTTATGACAGGGTTAAAGCTGTGCAACGAATATCCAAAAGCAAAGAAAATATGAGGATTTCAATTAAAATTGCTTCCATCTCAGAATCATAAAAGCAGCCATCATCACATTGCCTCAGTAGTCATAAAACAAATCAAAAACATTAAAAAAAAAAAAAAATCTCCACTTGAGCTGCGTAATAAAAAGCAATTCAAGAGGAGAAACATATACCTATCAAAGGAAATAAAAGTAAAAATGTCCGCCAACATTCCTTTATGTGGATTAACACACTCTGAAAAAGTACAAGCATATTTTCTGAAGTCACCGATACCAACCCTCAAATCACCCCCAAGATTCAAGAAAACCCAGTGTGCCAGAAGTTGAAAAGTTCAACCAACTTGTATTCGATTTCGCAAGATGCTGTCTTATCTAGAACCTCGCTGATAGAAACCATTGCCTCTTGATCTGTGGTCACCAGATTCTTGGCTGTTTCCCCTACCCAGACTACGAGAACCAAAGCGACCTCTTGAGGCCTCAGATGGATAACTACCCCTGCCTCTTCCCCTTCCTGATCAATTTGAATGGCAGAATCATGTCAACACAACAAAACTCCAGCAAATCCATTTCAATAAAGAGAAAGTTGACTATCATGCCATGCCATTTTGAATTGAACAGTAACATATCAATGCAAATAAAGTGCACTATAATACACCCAAAAACGTTCAGTTAAATTAAAAAACATAAACTGAATCATTACTTAATGTTCATCAAGGTTGTCACTTTTATATGAAGTTGCCCAAAAAGCACATTAAAAACAAAATTGGAACAGTTCCACATGTAAACACAAACAAACTGCCTAACAGTGTGTTTGTATCATGTAAGGATTACCCAATGCAAACATCAGCTACATCTGTTACTGCCCAGCACTAATCAGTGCAAACAAAATAGATCTAAAACCAAGCATCAGAATTAAGAGTTTATCTTGGAAGCCGTTTACCAGCCAATTGTGTTAGGAGATCTACCCAGAGGATTATCTTAGACATGCAAAATTTTAAAGCAACATGTCAACTGGAGCACAAGAATTTAGCAACTCAAAAAAGTTTGTAAACAGTTCGTTTTTCCCAGGATAAATGTAAAGTGTGCTTTAGTAGATATTGTGGATGTTCTGAAGATAACCAAAAGCAGCAACAATGAAAGCATTTTATTGAAAAAACAGAAGGAAATTCTGGCATGCATAAAACATGACAGAGGTGTGTATTAAGGCACATACTTCCTCCCCGAGTAGTGCTGCTATTTGGTCTGCGCTCCTCTATGTAGACTTGCCTTCCTGCCAACTGTATAGGAGATGCCTACAGAAGGAACTAAACCTGGTCAGTATTAGTGTCAAAAATATACACAGAAGCCAGAAGAAAACCAATAAACGGTTCAGGATTACAGTAAATATTCATATTAGCCACAAAAGTAAATGATTGTCACTCTTCAAAGCTCCACCTGGACCTTCTACAGTATATATGCATATAAATTATAAAGCGTCCTTATGCAATGAAAAACTCTAAAGCTTTCTTTAATTCTGATTTTTTTTTTAAATGGACAGCAGGTTTATTTCCTTCAATCTCGGCTCTCAAAATCCCCTCATTTTTCCTGTATTTCACTCAAGAAGCTCTTGTTAGCCATCTCCATCTCATCCATCATAAGCAACAGAGTAAAAGCATCACAAATTTATACAGATGAAGCTTAAATTGATCCAACAATATAAACAACTATGAAGGATAAAACTAGAATGTAATGAAAATGGTATAATGTTAAAGAGAATTGGTGTCTTTTAACTAGCAGATTAATTCAGTCTCTCTATCATGTTAGTATACATGTGAATTGAATAATTTAGAATTCTAATGAAGATAGTTCAAAATGATATGAACTTGTGCAAAAGGATAAGGACTAATTTGGATTCTATACGTTGTTAATATATATAGTTAAATCTTTTCTAGCTTGCAAGTTAAAGCTCTTTCTGTAGTAAATTCAACATCACAGACAAACACAACAAGCCAAACAAGTAGTTACAATAAATAATTCAACATGGAGCTATTAGCAAGGAAAGTGAGAAAGTGTTCAGCTTTGAAGTTCTCAAAGAAAGTGAAATAAGCTAGATTCAATAACAAGCTAAAAGCTACCATCGAGAGGGAAGTGCACAAGTATCAACAAAAATTCATACCTTTATTGCATTTTGAACAGCAAGAATGTCTTCAAACTCAACAAAAGCATAGCAAACACCAACAACATCCTGCATTGCATCTAACACTAATTTAGTTTCTTTAAGGTTATATACCAAAGATACTCAAAAAGGGAAGAAAAAGAAATTACTTTGCGGTTCCGGATAAACACGCCATCAGGCGTGATTCTGCCAAAATTCCTAAACTCCTGCTCAATTTCAGTGGCAGTAACAGTAGAGGGCAAGTTTCTCACATAGACAGATTTGTATTCACCAGTATATTCACCTAAAAGGATGAAGATCAGTAATTAGATTGCAACTCCCAAGTACTAAAAGAATTTATATGAACTGCAACCAGTAAATTTTCTCTCAACTCTAAGCATGCATGAAGGTATTTCCAAAATGGAATGATAAAATCATCCAGCCTATGAAACTTTAACTACTCAATGTAGAAACGAAATTTTGATGCTCAGTGGCTCACATTATATGCCCAGATGGTCCATTTAAGAAATGCCTTTCCCAGAAACCAATGCAAATGCTTGAGAAGGGCAAAACGCCAAATCACAATAGTGAATCAAAAGCTATGACATTGTAAGTCCTAATACAAAACAACACACACCGAAGTAACTAACCTTCCTCAGAGACCAAGCCTTCCTCCACTGCCGTCTCTGCTGCAGATTCGGGAGCATCTGACCAAGCAGGACGTGACTGCTGACTCGTGGGTTCTGGTGTATAATCCCAATCTGAAGTATACTGGGGAAGATTATTATAAGAAGGTTGAACTTGAACAGATGAAGCAGATTGCTCCTTTGGAACACGCAACTACACCATTTATAACAACAGGTAATGTTGGTCAACTAATCAGAGTTTTTGAACTTTCAACAAATTAAACACCAGTAATCTGTGTGAGTATTAAATAGAAATAGAATTTGTTGAGGAAAAGGCCTCTCAGGCTTAACTCCCATTTGATAACTCATGGCAAGTACCCATAATTTTTTTCTCAGTCACATGCATGGCTCTGTTTACTTAATTTATTAATCCTTATATTTTTACTGCATTCTTTAAGTGCATGGACTTGTTTCAGCAATGTAAGGCCGGATGTTATGTATGCCACAAGCTTGATAGAATTCACTGGATATTTTGGTTGCATTAAGGTTAAAACAAATATGGGCTTTTTTAGATAAAATGATAGCTGATTCAACAAGTAAAGAATAGGCAACAAGTAAGAAACCTTCAATAAGTCAGGGTCACAAACACATGCTCATATGCAAACAGAATGCTTACATAAAAAGCAACAGAGGAGTGCTTACAATAGAGGCGTATGTTCTCTTTGGAGGCTCCCCAACAGGTTCCTCCAAAGGCATAGCTGGAGGTACTTGCACAGTGTTTACCATGCTGTGATGTGAAGCAAGAGTTTCCTCAGCAGGAGATTCCTCCACTACAACTTCAGCATCATCATCTTCTTCATGTGGTTGCTCCGGGAGACTATATTTGTCAACTGGATCATCTTCTATATGAACAGAGCTGACATACTCTCTGGCCTCTTCCTCCAAAATGTAGTCAGAAACTGCTAAATCCAACAAGTTAGACAAAAAACCAACAAGGCAAAATTTCTACCATCAGAAGATAGTAAATAAAAAAATACGAGTGAAAAGAAAGATTATTTCCTAGGGGGAAAAAAAGAGGCTCTTCCAACCAATAGTTTTTAAGTAAAGATTTAACACGTCAAAATATATTAACCAAAAAAAGAAAATACAATTTGACGTCTAAGGTTTCAGTTTCACAACTAGTAATAAGCAAACAATTTAAGGTCAAAAGAAGCCGTGAAGGTCTTATTATCCTTCAAACTCTGTATAAGATGCAAATTTTGACATTGAATATGAAGATATTGAATTGATTCTACCATCTGTGTCTAGAAGACACCAAAACATCAACTATAGTACCTTTCCAGGAAAAGGTCATTTTTTAAGTTGGGGGGACACAGTCGAAGGCTCCAATTCATATTGTCTACATTTTGCATGTAGATACAGAGACCAGAAAATGCCAAAGCTTGAAATAGAAGTTACAGATTAAGGTTAGAAACATGCTGCCCACAGTACCTAGTGGCTCTGCAACAGGGCTTGACACATTTAGTTGAGCATCAAACTTGTTTTCTTGTAATGTGGAAGCTGGATGTTGGTGAATCATTCCATCATCAACAAACTGAAAGATATCATTGAGAACAAAGTAACCCTTATCTTGAGGGGCAAGGAAAAAGGTTTGCACAAATTTCCTTCTGCCATTAAAATCCTTGATTTTAACAGAACCAGAAACCATCACCAAAACACCTCCATTCCAAGAATCAAGAGAATTAATCGTCTTGATCTGAATTGCAGTAAAATTTAGTGACATGACCAAGGTATGAATTTCCTGCACAGAGAGATTAAAAAAAGAACCCAATAAATTACAAACTAAGCAAGCTTGCTGTAAAATAAAAGGATAAGACAAGTGCATTCCAGTTAAAGGACTTCAAGGAGAGAGAGAGACCCTGTAATAATTATAAAAAGCAGAACAACGTACATAACACAAATTTACAAGAACAAAATCATTTGCTAATAATTATCAAAAGGCTTTAAGTTGTAACACCTAAAAGGAGATCCATTTCCTACAATGATAACTTGCCCAAGCTAAGAAAGGGCCTTTTAGAGCAAAAAACCCTATCTCCTCATAACTTAGGTTTTCCTTGCCCAAATAATAGATATCATTCTCTAGAAAATTATTACCTTAAAATTATGTGGTAGCAATTATAAAGGCGTGCACTTGAAGGTACAACAACCAAGAACATCAAAAGAAAGAATAGTCCGGAGAAAACAATATGCCATTTATCAGATAAAAGAAGAGAATATATATCAATCAAATTTTCATGAATTGAAAAAGAATACATTGTATTTGGAACATGTTCGTGCTTAGGCAAATTCATATGAAGACATATATAAAAAAAAAAAAAAACAAGAACATAAAATTACAAGCATTGCAGAAGCAGATTCAGAGGAATCTCCATTGACCCGAATCATGGTACTGCCATCTGAGTAAAACTGATGAACCAGATCAGGTTGCTGTTGTAGCACCTGATAGTATTGTCCCACAAAGTACGAACCAACCTGAAATTTAAAAATAACATTGATTGATAAAACAAGAAGGAAAAAACAAGAAACCCATATAGAAATAAAATAGAAAAAAATCACCTGAACGGGTCCTGGGTAGGAAGTAGCCATAGTGATGAATTAAAAGACCTCAAAACAGAAGCATGCAACGAAGAATCTAAAAGAGAAAAAGAAGTCTGATGTTATAACTCTTGAAACAGTGATAAACCCACAGATCCAAAGATTTTGACTTAAGTATCTGAAACCCTTTTTTTTTTTTTTGTAAAAAAGACTAGGGTTTAGAGGGAAAAGCCCTTGACGATTTTCCTTTTTTTTGATGGGATTGTTTTGGAGTTAACAAAAACAAACGTTAATGAAGTTAGGCTATAGTTGGAGATGTTTGATTGATGGAAATTATAAAAGAAGAAGAAAAAGATTAAACGAGATTGTTAGGTTGAAACTAAAGACTCCATAAAATCTTTTTCACGAATCTATCTAAAAACAAAAAGAAAAACAGGGAGAGCGAGAGAGAAGTTGCTTAGATCTGTGGGCAGAGAGAGAGAGAGAGTGAAAAGAGAGGGCTTAATTGACTCCAAACACATAGGTTTTTGGTTATGCGCTGTTACTTTCATCAAATTCCTTGAATATTGTATTAATATCATAATTTGATCATCGCCCAAAATCACAACCGTCCCTTTTAGTGGAGGCCCTTGTTCAAACCAACGCTTATAACCATAAATGCGTGTCAATTAGGAGCCATACCGTTTAATCTAACGGCTCTGATGGTTTTTCCCTCGTTTTTTCTGGGTCGATTTTTGTAATCAAAATTTAATTAAAATTACAGCCGGATAATAATAATAACCGTAAAATAAATTGACTAATGTCATGGATAGTCTTTTATAAAGTATTTAATAAGTTATTTTGAATTTTAAAAATTTTTAGTATGATATTTAAATTATAAATTTATTAATTAAGAAAATATTTATTTTTAATATGATTAATTTTAAATGAAAATATATAATAAATAAATATTTTTTAAAATATTACATTAATTAATTAATTTTTAATTTAAATAAAAAAAAAAAAATTTATATCTAAATATTATATTAAATATTTTATTATGATTTAAAAACAATTTATGACATTCACTTCAAGGATTCATCATGGCAGATCTTTACATTTATTTTTGAAGGGCCAGTTATATTATACTCTCTTTTTTTATAAAAAATTTATATCACACGTATATACAAAACACATAAAACATAATCAAGCACATGAAATATACTAATAAAACCAAGCATACAAATGGTGCAATAAAAATATTTCTACGATAGCATTAAAAATTTTAGGAATAGAATTACAAAGTATATAGTCTTTCAATGACTTATAGAAATTTTATAGAATTTTTATAATTTAAAATTAAAATAAAAGAGTATAATAAATTAATCATTAAATAAACATTTTTATCAAAAACAAGAAAAATAAATAGAAATTTAAAAGAATGAAGTTGAAATTTTAAAATTACAAGATGTGATTTTTTTCTATTATTTTAGAAAAGATTAGAATTTGATTTAAAAAAAAAAAGATTTTAAGATAGTATTAGATAGAAATCGAAAGTGAAAACTAAAAGAAAGAAATTAAAATCATATGAAAACGAAAATTAAAGCAAGCTAAAAATAAATAGAAAACATATAATTATTATCTTGTTGGAAATTAATCCTATTGAGAAATTAACTTGAATTTTGTTAAGTTCATGTAATTGTGATTTAAAATTTATAATAAATCTCTTGATTTGAAATATTTAAAGTAATTATTAATTGATTGGTACAATATATAAACAAATACTAAAATGATTTTAGCCCCTCTTTAATATTAATAATACATAAAAATTAGATTACAAAATCATAAAAATAATAATTTTAATTTGAGGAACTAACATATGCACGTGCCAGAACTTTAGAACTTTAGAGGAAGCCAATACATCCTCAAGCGGTAATAACATAAACCCTCTCAATATATACGGTAAAGGTGTTTAAAAACTTTTAGGGCCCTTCAAGAAGGAGCCGCCGCTTTTTTACTGTGCTTACTACCACATGCAGTAGGGCATAAAAGGTCAAAACAGTATGACAGGAGCACAAATGCTACAGAAATAAGAAGTCGACTTGGGCAACAAGTTTTTAAGTGCAAGATATCCACATTTGGAAATCTGATAAAGAGTTAAAACTCTTTCAAGGGATTCGATTTTTCAAATAATACATAAAATTATAATTTTTTAAAATATAATCTAAATTCAAATTAAATTTTCATAAAATTTAATCTAAATTAACTTTACCGGCTCAATTCTATTCAATTTATTATTTTTTAAATTTTAAAATTTTATTTTCATATATTATTTTAATAAATTTTAATAAATTAAAATATAAAAAATTATTTTTTCTTAAAAAAAAATTAAAAAATATAATTCAATTTAATTTTTTTTTTATTTTTTACTTTTCGATCTAAACCTAATATGTACATTTAAAATTTAAATTTAATCCAAACTTAATAAAAAACAATTCAATCCAAATCGATTTCCAATAAATTTTCCGTTTTTTCACCTCTTTTCTCTTCTGCTCTGGCCTTAGGTGCAAGCACACTGAGGTCCATTCACAATATCTGGCGCAAGTAATACCAATGTAAGAAATTAACCCTATAACAAAAGAGAAAACAAAGGTGCAAAAGGTATTGATGGATCATGGTCACGGATAAGATCATCCCAATCGTTGTGCAGTCCGAATCAAAAACATGCTGGCTTCCACTGACGTCCGAGTGAGGCAGGCAGCTGAGACCGACCTACCCACATATCGGAAACTACCATTTCCTTTTCGGGCCTAACAAATTCATAAAAACTATAGGCTTTGGCCTTTTTGCGCTCCGAAATAATGAAACATATCTATCTAAATAGAAACACGGACTCCTGTAACCTCTAATTTGAGAAAATAAAACTTCTTCTTGCTTTCCTTTCCTTTTCTTTCTTTTGGTCTGCCAATTAGAAGCCCGACTACAGATAACATAAATCACTAACATTTGTACAAGTTCCACAAAGATATCTAAAATTCGAAAAACAAAAAAAACAAAAACAAAAACAAGAAAAAACTCACAATACCTAAACAATTTACCATTGTCGCCGAAAAAAGTTTACTGTTCTCAACATCCCTCAGTCCCCAACAGCATCACCCCGCCCAAAAACCTAAAATGTCCACCTTAGCCAACTGCTAAGCAGTCTTATGTTAGAAAGATCAAGTACAGGTCTTAAGTTAAAAAGAGAAAGCACAGGTCAGGTTAGGCGCACAGATGATCAATAAGACAAAATTAGAGACAGCAAAGAAAATGGTAGTCATATTACTGCAGTCTCAATAGTATGTCCCATAGTAAGTCTGAGGAACTGCTGCAGCAGGTTGCTGAGCTGGGGTTAATGCCGTCGCAACAGTTGGTTGAGCATAACTTTGTTGAGGAAAGGTCTGCAGAAGATCACAGCAAAACATTAGAGCTCCAAACTAGGAAAAATTCAAACTTAAATGAGAAGAAAAGTAAATTTATACGAACATCATTCCAAAAACATTTGCTATTAAGTAAATTTAGTGCATGCTGCAGTGCAGATTACTACCCTCTGATATCAAGTGGGTCCAATGAGGAGGCCAACTTTCTTGTTACAAACATTCATGGCATATGGCACTGTTAAGTGCCATGAATAATTCAAAAGTTTGTAATTATTAACAAGAGAAGCTTACATTATCTATAATTAAAATTCTTCAAACGTTTGGTGTTAGCCGACCAAAAGTTATCAGATATAAAGCTTAGTTTGTTGTTGTTGTTTTTCAACTGTTTGATGTTGAAGAAAGTGAGGAGTAGCATGCGGGATGATATCCCTGTTTCATTTAACGAAATTGGTCTTGGTACATCAAAGTGATAGTTGTGTTACTGGTCTTTGAATTTGAAGTTCTAGTTTTCCAAATAACTATCAAACAAATCAGAAGCAATCAGATAGAAAACTTCATACCTGAACAGGATACGTAGTGGGATAAGCACCATAACCGACACTTTGTGGAACTGATGTAGGTACTTGTGGAATTGCATAATTGCTACCATAACTACTATATGCACCATAAGCAGCCTATAAATAAAAAAATTTATGAAACTGTCAACCAAACATGACAATGACAGCAAGAAGCATAATACAAAACCATATAATAAAACCATTGACAATCAACCAGGAAATTTATTGGCAGCCATAAATTGCATGCTAGCATTTCAGCTAGTTTGCCCTTCACAAAAAGTGCAACATAATCCAACATGTAACCAAATAAATTAACAATACTAACATAAAAAAAAGCCACACGACTGACAAACTAAGCCTTTTACCTCTACATAGTCTGCTATATATAAGTCATATGGTGCTATAGTGCTCTATTTAAGGTATCCTCAGTAAGATAAGTTTAACAGAAAGGCAATGCGTTACAGTTCCCATCCATTTCCTCCTTTTGTCATGCATATCCATTACATCACACTTCATCGCTAAAGCATTCTTATTGCATCCTCTTTCCATGTCCAAACTAATGTCAGTATGTTGCCATATATATTTATTCTATACACATATTCATCATCTTGTCTTTCCTTACGTTGCCACAAATCCAATGTAACATCCTCATCTCAGTAACAATATGAAATGTAGATAATATTTGTTTAAAACCTGCACAACATTAGTAATCTGGTTGGCACCCTAACAATATTTCCTTCAAGTTCCAGCGGAATTTTTATGATCAAACAAGATTCCCAATCCACTTCTCCATTTCATCTACCCCACTGAAATCCTATGAGAAACTTATCTCGCAAACAAATAAAAAATAAGTACAAGCCAAAGATCATCACAGCCATTGAGGGTGAATCTATAATAACCAGAAAAGGATCAATCTCAATCCTTTTTTTATATACTAAAGGAAGAGTAGAAAGAAACCGGAACTGAGAACATTTTCCACTATACTATGCTCAAAGAGCAAATGTCAAAATATGTTAATAATGAACATCATACTGTATTGATCAAATATAAAGTAGCCTTTTTGAACATGTCACAGAATATGAAGTACTTCTAACAGCAGATACAAATTGAAGGCACTGAATTGTGTAAGTCTGGATGATCACCACTAAAAGTAACATTATTTCCTTCCAATATCAAACATACTCACAGCTAGAATAAGCCACGAAAATAAGACAAGGTATACAATTGTAAGATATACCTGTTGGCTGTAGCCAGGAGTCCATGGTTGTGCCAGTGCCTGTGCCTGTGCCTGTGCCTGTGCCTGTGCCTGTGTAGTGGGCGGCCAAGTTTGAGGCTGTGCACCATAACCAGCAGGCCACTGGTTTTGAGCATTTGGATAGGCACCCATCAAAGACTGGCCAGGTGAAGGGGCACCAGAGTATGATTTTGCCAGCTTTGTCTTATCTGAAGACAAAAAATCTTCAGCATGACGTTTTCTTAATTCCGACATGGGTCTATCAGGTAGAAAGAGCTTCGCATGTCGATCTTCTGCCTTTTTAATAGACTGTACATCTCCAAAGAGACTCAAGAACTGCACAATTATTTTCTACGGTGAGCTACCAGTAAAAGTTTTCTTACAATATTTAAGCATAAACGCATTTTTTCGAAGTAAAACACCAATTTAAACAATCAGAACCCTGAATACGGAATTTCAAACAGTATTCAATCTTGATAGAAAAGTCTTCAAACAAACTCAATATAGTCTTAACAGAAAAGGGGCCAAACTTAAGGTTATACACGATTTCCATTTTCCAGCCAAACTCAAACCTCTACTCATGACTCATGACTTGATCCATAACAAAAATCATGTAAAGAAGCTTAAGCTACATTTTTATTCACTTAGCACTCAATGCACATGTAGGCAATTACATACGATTCAAGTCAATAAGCCAGGTCAAATGCAAGTACTTTTTGCACAAAAATTATTACCTCCAAAAATATGCTAGATAGATCTTCTCTCTCTGCAGCAGTGCCATCTGAGTTCGGGGCTATAAACTTGTTAACCAACAATTCTAAATAATCAATCTGCCTTGGTGGTGGCAAAATTGTTTCAAAATGTATTAATGCCTACATGTACAACAAAAGTAATATCAGAAATTATGAGGAATTGTTTAGGGAGAGAGAGATTAGGGGGGTTGTGTGTGTCTCAGAGAAAGAGAACCTCAAGGAATGGTTTAGACAGTTGAACTTGGTCAAATGCTCCAGTTAGAATTTCCCTAGCCTTCTCTGCATTTCCAGAAACCTACAAACAAATCCAAGGGAATAAGAAAGATATCTGGCCATTAGTGAAAGAATTTAGCAATGACAATAAGCACTTGGAACTAAAATGGCAATCAAACAAAATGATAAACAGACAACCAAAGCCTCGTATAAATTCTATCAGCAAAATTTCCTATAACCATAGCACGGACCTAATAACATATAAAACCTCCTTAAATACTATAGGGTGTAACAGGAGTATGCTTTATTTTATTTTTTAAAGAATTTAAGACACAAGTCCGGCTTCTGACATGGAATCAATGGCGAAGTATGAACGCCAGTTCAACATTAATTTTTACACAAGCCATATGCACACGCTTGTAAAGAAAACACAAATGCTCATATGATAATGGCAGCAGAGAAATGCTGGGATATAGAAGATTAGTATTAGTATAAAATTAACAAAGTAAAGAACATATTAAGACACAGGTGGAACCAATAGTGATGTATAAAATTTCATTCTTCAAAAATGATCAATAATATTGACATTGATTCCTGAATCAAAGAAAAAGGGATTTTTCTTTTCACATGAATCATATCATAATAAAGAAAAGAAACTAGCCATCAGAAGCATGAACACCTACCAAGTACAAAAATCTAGAGTACTGTGCATACAGCATTGGTAATGTTTGAGAATGCTCTTTGCCTTTTTCAATTGCAATAACTTGCTCATATAAAGAGAAAGCATCTTCAAGTTTCCCCTGCAGAATCGGGATAAACAACCCATTTGAAACAGGTAATCACATTAAAACCAGATAGGCATGCTAGCATAATCTTACCAGACGGCGTTCCATATTTGCATGCTTAATAATTGCCTCAATTAGACCAGGTGAAATTTCACTGTGAACAAGTTGATAAGCAGCTCGAGCACCTGATATGTCCCCATTCTGCTCCTTAAATCGGGCAGCAAAAAGGTGGATCTCTGGTTGCCTCTGTCAAATATTGGTAACAAAGAAAATACTAGTAAAATATAAAACAATGGAATTGTTGCAACTAGCATGAAGTCCCCATTTAAGTCTCCACAGGAACACCAACCCATTATACTCCTTTTGCACATTGATGATAAAAGTTTAAACAATTATAATCAAGACTCAAGAGTAAATATCAGACTGGCTATGCAAGATGGTAAAAACTATATACTAACTCACAAGCTGAAACAGTTTCCCTAAACCACGAAAAGAAAATAAACAAAGGAAAGACAGTGTTCATTCTTCAATTGTCTCAGTCAAGATCATGGAAGTAGGAGGTGTATGTATAAGGGGGAAGGGCAATTTTCTAGCAAATAATTTCTTTGTGACAACAGGTTACAAATTTCCTTAACTGGACCATCTTTAAACAAGATATGCAATGATTTTCTATCTGTTAATAACAATAGGTGAAAAGTTACAAGATTGACTGGAAACCATACTGCTCCCTCTATCCCATTAATTCTTAGTTCGAATTTTTTAGGTCAAAATTTTTCGACTTTGACTTTTTTTTTTTTAAAGATATTACTGATTAAAATATACAAAAACAAAGCCAGAAAACTTCCATTGGTTTGCTTCCAAACGTTTTTTCAAAATTTTAAATTTTAAATATTTAGATGACATAAGTCAAAGTCGAAAATGGTTTAATTATTGGAACCGAAACTCGAACAACTATTTATGAAAGCAAGAAAAAATTCATCCTAGTAACATTTTTTAACCAACCCAAATTGTCACTTCATACCTTGACAAAGACTTGCGTAGCACGGGCAAGTGTGTTATCAGCAAGATCCATGCTTCCACTGGCTTCCATATATAAAACATATCGTATCCAGTACTCGGGATAATTGGCACAGGCTATTAGGCACCTTTCATATAATTTGACCACCTGATTCACAAATGAATACATAAAAGATTATAAAGATATTCTGCTGCAGAAGGACATTAAACCTGGAATGATACAAAGCACAAGGAGAAATGCATAAGAAATACTCCATCGTTGGAACAGAGAGGCCCCTCAAATATGATGGGACCCTCCTTGCCTGACAGATAAATGGTTAGGAAGACAAGAACACACCTGCAGGCATAACATCGGAACTTTAAAAAATATAAAATGAATTCACTATTCAATACATTACAAACCTAAAATGTCCACTGACAAATAAGGGTTTGAAGTACTTAGCCTCAAAGAATCAAATCGAAGGTCCATGCTTTAGTCTCAGTACATTTCCCGTTTAAAAAAGTTGCTTCACCCAACGATTTAGCCAATAAAGCAAATGATGCAGCAGTTGTTATTTAACTGTAAGTCAATATATAACAAACAGGACAACTGAACACTACAAACCATAGCTTAACTGAAAGATGGATAAAACAAACTCAAATACCTTATTGATGTCACCCTCTCTTTCGATAAAGTCCAGGTAGTTGTGCCAATTTTCAAGCTCAGAAACATTGAGAGGCCGCACATGAAAGTAAGGCCTTCTAATAGCTGTTTCAAAACCAATAATCTTAGAGTCGAACTCTTTAGCTTTCTTATACAGCTCTTCTCTAACAGCAACATACTTCTCCAACTCTTCTGCTTCTGTTGAGCTAGCACTTACAGGATTAGGAGTTTGTTCTGCAGCATCAGGATGAACCTCTCCATCATTTACTTGTCCATCAGCCTCTGAAACTACACCTGATGCATTGGCAGCAGCTTCCTCAGCAGTTCTTAATTCTGACAAAGGTCGACTTCCAGCCAGCTCTTTAAAACTGCAATAGCATTAGCATCGGGGAATAATCAAGTTACAAGAACTACAAGCAAAATAACACAATGCACTATGTACATTATTATCCACAGAATCACTATTTTTTATAAGTAATGCGAAATGCATTGTATTTTGAATTATCCAATGAGAGGCAGCTCTCCCATCCCATAAACCTCATCCTCCCTCTGTCCCCAATATTCGAGCTTGAGACTTACAAGCACAAAAATCATCAAACATTAACATTTAAACAATAAAAACATCACACTTTAGATGGGCATGATGTGACCTTGAAACAATTCTGAGCAGTTGGTGGTAAGATTAAACAAAAAGACAAAACAACTTAAGAAAAAAAAAAAAACTACTACTTCAAATTCAATTAGTAAATAGGGAATATTTCTCCTTGGACCCCATCTAATATCTACTTTTGCTACTTCTGGAAGCAAAAAGAAATTATTTTCAGATATAAAAACAAAATTGCATTAATGGATTAAATACAAGTTTTGCATTCATTGATAAAAAGTAAAAAGCTAAATGATCATACTTTTATATGCAACCAAAAAAACAAGAATTATTATTACTTATTAGCTATTTCCTTATTTTTCCTTCATAGCAAAGTTCAAGAAGCAAAAAGCAAAAGCAAAGCAAAACACAAAAAGCAAAGAGCAATAAGAAAGAGTAACAACCAAACAAAACCATTATAGCATTACATTTGGCCAATCTAATTAGAAAATATCAGACACAAGTGGCAATATGGTAACCTAATGTACATAAACAATTAGATATGAAGAAACACCAAAAGAGTTTACCTGTTGAAATACCTATCTAGCTGTTGATTAGGATTCTCTAATACTCTAGTATAGATAGCAGCAAGGCGACTCCATTCCTGGTGCATGTATTCATATTCAATGTATTTATCCCAAAGAGGGAAAGATAGATAATCAGTTCCAACATATGCTAATCCTCGTTCAAAAAGCCTGAAACACCATGCAACAAAATTGTTAGTACATATATAATAATAAACATCCAGGCAATGCAGAGACATCCACAGACAGAAGACAGTGGGACCAATGTTGAAGCTGAAGGAACAATTCACTCTAGACACGTCCAAACGCTGCATTTACCTTCTTGACAAAAATCAAACTATGTCCAAAATGGAGTAGCGGAGGACATCTAGCCCTTCACTGGATGAGATCTTCCCAGCAGCATTTTGCATATTGATGCACCTCAAAGTGTCAAGGTTAAAGTAATAATTCATAGATAACTACATGACTATGACGCAGGCTTCAAAGAGGATGACGGGAGTAGGAAGTGCAAAGAGCTCAGGAACGTAGTCAATATCCTAAAATAGTTTCAACTGCTACAAGTACAGTAGCCTCAAAATCAAGGAAATAAACATCAGAAAATAAAGCATTTCTAAAGTGCACCCTCATCAAACCCTTCTGCCATAAATGCGGTGAGTTGCTGTTGCAGGTATACCAAAATGTTAGAAAGCAACAAACATCACCAGATCCTCACAATTAAGAAAAGCACAATCATAATCCTCTAATGCATACCCGAAACAACAATGGGTAAACTAACAATTATTACCTTCGGATGGTTTCCAGATCTCCATATGTTTCTATGGCAAATGCACCATATAGCACCCAGATGTCCACAGAATAAGTCACTCCCTGAACTGCTCTTTCATAAACCTCCACAACTTTGTCCACAGAGCCTATGCGTGCTTCATGATCCGCATACTTTTTCCAGTAACCATAACACAAAGGAAACTCAGCCAAAAAAGCATCATAAACTTTTCGAATTTTCATTATATTGTTCTGCATACAAGGTGTAGAGAAAAACATCAATTGGCAGAAAGATACACAAACTTAGATAGAGAAATAAAGAGAATGAGGAGAGTTCGTGAACGAGGAACTCAAATAAACACACAAACCACCAACTTTGGGGAGATTATTAGAAGCAAATAGGAAGAACAGTAGAAAATGACAAAATAACTGTATGATAGGTGGCACTCTTGGCCCCAACCCACTCAAGAAAGTTTTTAACATAATTACTTATGACTTTAGTCACTTTTCTCAAATTTATTAAGGTGGCCCTCTAGTTCCCCCCAGAGTTATTAATTCTAAGCATGGAGCCTCCTCCACTGCATACTGGTATTCAAACTTATAAAACGGTCTCCACTAACCCATGCCAAATAAAGAAGGAAAAGCAAAGATTAGAAATTAGCGAGGCAACAGACACCTAGCTAACAAAATTTCCAACAGGCAAAAAACCAGAGTCTGTTTACTTATTCCCTTCCAATACATATTCATGCCCACATACCTCTGAAACCTTCTCTGTCTCCTCAATCAATGTAGTCCAAGCATTAAAATCCAAAGAATTAGCTCTCACAATACTCCACAAACGATCCTCTTCACCAGACATATGTGTAACTAGAACTCAAAAAATAAAAATAAAAAAATGCAAATGAGTTTCACCTTTTCTAAATTTTAAAACTAAAAATAACAATAACGAAAAACAGAGACATAATGTTGATCGCTATCTCCAGCATCATGTTGATCACGAAAAATGCTCCATGGCAGATTGCCAGTGGATAAAGTTTGTTTTGGTGCTCAACTATTAGAGCTTTTAGCCATTATGGCATATCTCTGGGGTGGCTAGTCTCAGATATAAAATAGCAGAAAAATGAAATTGCAATATACAAATCATTTGATAGGACCAATTATTTTTTCCAAATGACATGAACTTAGATTAAAAATGATAGGAGAGTTTTATTTACTTTAGAATTATGCAGGCAGCTAAAGTTTATTACTAACAACAATTCTTCTTCTAAATCCTCAGGTAGCAAAAGATCTAACATTACATTATCTAGCAGGTTTGCAAATCATATTACATCAAGCAACATTCAACACAAACAGAAATCAATAAAAAGTGCCTTGAGCATAACAGATGCTTGTAACAAACGTGCCAAAGAAAAACATACCAGAACCATCCACAAACTCTGGTGCGGCAGAAGCTCCACTTACGTTATCAAAAACATTTCCATTCTCAACTGTTGCAACATTTTCGGCTTCATTTACAACACTGCCAGTTAAAGATGAATAATAACCAGCAGTTTTATATGCATCCGCTGCTGTATTTCCATCATTGGCAGCATTCTCATCAGTTGATCCACCAGCTGGCTTACTGTCATACATTGCACTGATTTGACTATCTTGACCGGCTGAATTTGGGTCACCATCAGATGCAACATAAGTTCCATATGCTGGTGCACCAGCAGCAGTAGGATCTCCAATAGCTACAGAAGGGTAAGCACCAGAACCAGTAGAATTATAGGCTGCTGATGTATTATCCATAATTGCTGTTGAGTCGGTGACTACTGACTCACCGTCTCCCATTCCAGGATGGTACGAACTAAAACTAACAACCAAGAAAAGAATTTAATATCATTATTTTACTTTACATGAAAATAATATCAAACCAAAAATTCAATAACATTTTTTCTCCACTAAAATTATAGTAGATAAGCACAAAACTAACACCATTTCAAAATACAATAACAAAAAATTATCTAGAAGCTTCTTTTTCACTCCCAAAATCCCTAATTATTAGTTTTTTCTTCAGAAAATTCTAGAGAATAACATTTACTCAGAAATACCAACAAAAATACGGAAAAATCAAAATGAGAAAATTTGTAAGAACTGTAAAGAAATAACCAATATTCTCCATTAAATTAAATTAAATAAATTCATAATTAACAATATTGTGGGGCGGAAAAACAGTTAATTTGGAAGATGGACAAGAAAGACCAGTAAATGTAAAGGCTGTTCAAAAGAATAAAGTAAAGCTATTCAATCTAGAAACCCTAAAACTTCAATATAAAACCCTAATCCAACCCGAAAACTTTTGGCAAAACCAAAACCCTAAATTGGAGAAAACGATACTAAGAACAAAAAAGAAATTGACGGTGACGTACCGCAAGAATGAGAAGATGTCGTCGTTTGTGGAAAGAGTAGTAAAACGGAAAGGCGGTTTATAAGAATAAAGTAAAACAATCCAATCTAGAAACTCCAAAACTTCGATACAGAACCCTAATCTAACCTGAAATGTTTTTTTTTGGCAAAACCAAAACCCTAAATTGGAGAAAATCATACCGAGAACAAAAAAGATATGGCTGGAGACGTACCGGAAGAAGGAGAAGACGTCGCCGTTATCAGGGAGTTCTGGATTTAACAATTTGAAATGTTTTAGGTTAGAAAATTTGAGAACGTTTTTAGAAAGTTCGTTGGAGTTTCACTCTTTTTTTTTTTTTTTCACTGAAACAGATACCGAGAAGAAAGACATGGAGTGAAACGGAGAGGAGAAGGTAGATCAACTGAACCGCAACCTTATGCGGGTAGCGTTTTTACTGTTTGGGTTAAGTCGGTCGAACTGCAGGTGAATCTGGGCCGTATATCTTTGGATGATGGTTCTAATCTAGGCCGTTGGGTTTTATTGAAGGGCATGGCTAGTGGCTACAACGAGTGCCAGGTGCCGGGAATTTAGGAAGGTATGCTACTGGGCCTTCCTTCTACATTGAGGCCTGAACAATATGGGCTTATATAGTGCCTTGCTACAACATTGTTTTTTAATAAATTATATAAACTTATTAATCATTATTTCATACAATATAAATTATATCAAAATCAAATTTCCAAATATTTTTGGTTTAATGAACTCATTAAAATTAAAAAATGGGACGGTTGGTGCAATTGTCTCTACTCAAATAGCTGAGTTCAAATTCTCCTTTCCTCAAATAAAAAAATAAATGTGACTCAATTTAGATAAATATTGTAAATTAAAAGTTTAATTATTTTTTCATTTAAATTTAGATAAATACGCTATTTGAATGTTAAGATAAGTTGATCTAACCTCCAATTCCAGTATCCCACCAATTTCCTTTGCAACTTTTTTTTTTTTTTTTATGTTTTGTCATTGATTTGGCCATTATGATATTTTCAGAATTAATTCCGAGTAAAAATATCCTTAACAAGATGGACAAAGTGAAAGAAAATCAGAAGAAATTCACTAGGCTCGCCAGTTCTTCCTTTTCATGCTAATTGATGGAAGCAATAAGGCGGAATACAACTGGAACAGGAAGGATGAGGCACCTAATCTTTGCATGTATACAATCAAGTAATACTCGTTAGGATTCACGAAGCAAACCAATTTACATTCCAGAAATAGCAGCAAGAACATGACCGTACAATTGTTAACTTCCAAGAGAGCTTGATTTTCCATCCCCAGTATGTGCTTTCTGCCTTGGGACTACTGGCTTCAAAGGGTCCTTCCGCATCCTTCCAGCAAGACTACCATATTCACTCTTGGGCCCTTTCCTAATGTTGGGAGAACTTTGTGTTACATTTGGACTCCGGTTAAGATTTTTGTAGGTTTGGCGGCCGGCTGGCTTTATCTGTTCAGGTGGACGCTTTTTCGAAGCTGAAGATCTTGCATAATTTAACTTGTTTCTGCTTCCAATTATCCCATCATTATCTGAAACCAAAGATCAAGAGTAAAGAAGAGATTTGAAGTCCTTAAGACAGCAAGATGACTAAGATGTTAGATTGAAAAACAACAGACCATGAAGGAAATAGAAAAATCAGATTACCAGGACTGGACAACACAGCTCGAGGAGGTGGAATTGAATTAGCTTTTGCATTTGATTTGGTATCCTTGCCAATCTGCTTGTTGCGCTTAACTGCTCCAGCATCTGAGATATGATAAGTGGAGACACTGTCTGATAAATATGAGAAGAAATGTATTGCCACAAAATCATGCCAAAGCAAAACTACTATATAAAATCAACCTTCGGATGCAGATAACGATGTTGTAGCTGGACTGGTGACAAAAGCCTTCGTGATTCTGGCAATTGAAGGTGGGGAATCGATTTGGTTCTCCTTTTCTGCAAAAATCAATTGATGCAAAATGGATTCAAAATACTTGGAACAAGTAGACAACTGGGTAACAGTAAACGGCTGCTACGGTGCTACCTTGTTTAGATAGAGATTCGATGAGCCTCAAAAACAGAGAGGATTGACAGTCGTTTGGGGGTGGGAAATGATCATCATCTTCTTCTTGTGCCCTCACTGTCACCCTTGGGTACACTTCATATAAATCAACCAGTATTCACATTAGAAAATTTACTATTACTACAAACATCAAAAGTAAGGAAAAAAAAAGTAAAGAACTCAACGAAGAAGCAGAAGATGCAGAGGACAGAACAGAACAGAATAGAACAGAGATCAATATGGTCACGCTGGGTAAAAACAGAACTTTTTCGACAACTACCAACTTGATAAATTCATAAAACTAGTACGAATTATTGAAATAGAAACTTCAAAAAACTTGCACAGAAGAGAGATTTCCATAAAAAAAACTTGGAAATAATGGTAGTACACATGAGATAAACAAGCATTAAGTAAATAAATGGAAGAAAATTTGGGAGGAAAAGAGAAAAAAAACCGAAAGTAGAAAAAGGAGGGAGGAACAAAAACCCATGTGAGAAATCTCACTTTTGTCTTTACTTGTTTTCAAATTCAAATGGTTGGCTTGGCTCTATCTGTTCCCTGTTTCGATTGTGGAAACCGAGTTCAAATAAATAGAATAGCCGAATAACAACTTTGGTATAGGCATGGTAGAAGGAACTGTAAATGTGAAGCAGAGGCCTAACGGCTACCTTGTGGGACTAAAAAGGTGGGTCATTTTCATTTTCTTGGCTTGAAAACCAAGGACTCTGATTCTTGACCTGACATTTGGCTTCGGGCCTCCACGTGACAACTGAGGCGTGGGTGGAGTATGTGGGTGGGTCTCTCATTTTTTAATCATGTTGGCGTCTCAGGGAGGAAAGCAAGGCAGAGCAATTGCTAGAGAAAAAAATTTGAAATTGTAATATATGGTTTGGTTTAAATTTATTTTTTTATTTGATTTGGATCACTTTTGGGTATTAAATATATATTTTAAACTTAAATTAAAAGATAAAAAATTTAAAATATATATATCAAATTTAATTATATATTTTTTTAATTTTTATAAAATAAACATAATAATTTTGTATCAAAATTTATATAAATATATTAAAATTTTATATTAAAATAATATATAAAAAATTAATTAATTAAATTAATAAAATTTAATTCAATTTAATTCAAATTAAATAAAATTTAATTTAAATTTAAATTAATTTTTAAAATTTTATAATATTATATAATATTTAAAAAAATTAAATTAAATTCGATTCAAATCAAACCGAGCCGAGCCCTGAGCGTTGAGTTACTTCAATCTTGTCATATTAGACAACTATGAAAAAGATAAGGTCAGCTCTGAATCATGTTTGGTTGGATCCACAAAATAAGCCCCAAACACAAACCGATTATAATGCCTAGCCCACACACATATGAATTTCCTTCATGTTATTGTGCGGGACCAGGCCCAAGTTTGAGTTGATCCTTCTCGTTGGGAAACGCGCTGGCTAGCGGTAAATGGTCGAGGAGATTTTGAGGAACAAGTTCTCAAAGTGGTAATATTAATATTATTTTTTTCGATTTTTTTAATTTTAAATTGAACGTTCACTTTTTAAATGATACAAAGTTTTAAATTTTCGGTATTTGTCTCATATTTTATAAATTTCACCTTTATTAAAGTTATATAAAAATTAAGCTTACCGAAATCATTGAACAAATGGTAAAAAAAAATTAATAGTACAAATCAAAATGAAACTTAAATAATTTTATGTAAAATTAATAGTTCAATTAAAGATGATTTATTTTCGTCATTTGATATGTTAATAAGATGATGAACTTTTAATTTTTATAACTGTAAATATAAATATAAAAAAGATAAAAATGATATTTTGAAAGTGTTCCAATTTTTAAAACATGAATAATCAATTTCAAACATAAAAATTAATATAAAATCGTATCAAGAGCATTTTTGTTTTTTTTTTATCTATTTTTAGATTATGCTTACCTCAAAATTAAGTTTTAAAATATTAGGTTAAAAATGTTAGTTTCATTTTTTGTTAAATATATTAGATCGCAACATTTTTTTATACCATCATTTGCATCTAAATATTTTCTAAGCATTTGTTAAAATACACATTTAACAAAAATATATAAATAATATTAGGATAAAATCAATAATTGAATAAAAAAATAATTTTTATGTTAATAACCGTAGATGTCATCGTATAGCGCCTAGTTTTCTAGTAATATATATATAAAAAATACTTGTTCCCTTGGTACCGTAGTTTATGGGACCTATAAAAGTGGCACAAATAGTCATTGTTTCTCCTTCTATTGTTTCACGTGATAATAGAAAACCCTCCTAAGAAAACCCTATCACTCCTCCTATTAAGCCATGGCTGCTCAACCCAGACGAGGCGGAATTTCCCTACCCGAGAGACGATCTGCCTCCAAACCCGACTCCAGCATTATCGCCAGGATCACTTCCTCCCCTATTGTATCCCGTGGTAAGCAAGCGGCGTGCGACGCCGCTTTCGTCTCTAAGAAACTCCTCCGCAGCACTGGCAAAGCCGCGTGGATCGCCGGAACAACCTTCTTGATCTTAGTTGTCCCTTTGATCATCGAGATGGACCGCGAGCAGCAGTTCACTGAGCTCGAGCTCCAGCAAGCTAGTCTTCTCGGTGCGCCGCCCACTGCACCCGCCCACCCATAAGTAATCGGGACTGGTCATATCGGGTCAGAGCTAGTTTATCAAAATTGTGGCTGTTTTGTGGTTATTGTAGTAAAACCTTTTAGATTTAGTTTTAGGATTTTTTTTTAATTTAAATAAGATTTTACTTTTTTGGTGTTTAAGTCTTAATTATTTGTCGGAATGTTGTTATTGGACTTCGTTTTATCAAGTTTATGCCTATGAAATTTAGGTGAAACTGCGTTGTGTTTGACATTGTTGTGATAAAGTAAAATTGAACATTGAGAGTGTTCATTTGAGTACTTTTGAATGAAATTAAATGGTTGGGGAATGAATTTTTTAAGTGTTTGATTGCAAATAGTGATAGGGGGATTCATTGTGATAGCAGGGATGAATTGCTCTAGTTTGTATGTTACATGAAAACTACTCCTTCATCATCAGTTTGGAAATATATAGAATGAATGAACCATAGTTCTAAGGGGTAAGAACTATGTTTTATGGTTGTATTTTGATGTACCAAAGATGTAAGCAAATGCATTTACTTAATCACTTTGCCTTTGATCTGCGAATGCAGATTATTTTGTAGCATTTGAGTGTACATGATATACATAGATATGTGAAGAGTTTCTGCTTTCTGTCTAGGAAGTCTTATATTTCAGTATTAGTCCTTTTCATTAATTGCATTCCGGTGCTTCCTATTCACATTGGTGATGAATAGTTTGGATTGGGAGTTGGAGGAGGGTTATTTATTATTGTAAGTTCCCCAGTTCCTTTATTTGGTAGTTCTCCAAATGGTTCTGATTTGCTTAGACTAGATCTAGAATGTTGAGAACCATGAACTCCTGGGATATGGGAGTCCCCCCCCCCCCCCAAGGTAGTCCGGGTTTTATCTTTCTCATGGCTGTGTGTGATAGCATGAAAATTAAAAGACTTGAGTTCTTTTTACTTTCAATTTCATGGCCCAGCTTCCTGATATATCACCAAGCAATGTGGGATATATTAAATTCTTGAGGGATTTTAGTTGTTAGATTCATGGTTGAACTAATTATTCTAGGAGGATTTGAGGCTGTTTCTTTTTCAGTTGAATTGGTGGTTGAATCTAAGATCAGAAAGCTCGATATCTGCTATCATAGGTAAGGATGAGGAGAATGTAGTCTGTATTGAACTTAAGGTCTGTGATGCCTTTTTTCTTAAAACTTTTTGTTTAAAGGTTGGGTTGTGGGGAGGAGGGTAATATAAGATTTTCTGAGAACTAGAACCACTTTGTTCAATCTTTGCTATGTAGAGATCAGGATCAAGACACAAATTATATGTTGTCCAGGAGCACCGGTAACATTTTGTTTAATAAGCTAAATCCATCTGCCAAGGATGCATGTATTGCTCCAATGATTGATATCGTATAATTCCTATCTTTGGCATCTACTTCACGGAGTGGAATATTTGGTACCTACATATAGCTTTCAACATTCTTTTGGTGATTTCGCTTATACCCATGTGGAAATGCAATTTTGGGGATCAAATGATCAAGGAAGTGAAAATGATTGAACATACTTTGCCCTGGTGAGGGATATTTAGAAGAAGATTTATTTTCTAGCCACACAAATTATTTATTTCTATCACAAGTTCACAACAGCTATATTACGATCCGTACAATAACCCTCCTAGTTGAAGCTATACCATATTAATAATCCTTTAAGCAGGCGGGAAAAAAACTTGTAAGCTCTTGATGCTCTTCTCGTTGCCAAGGCATCTGCCTCTTGGTTAGCTTCCCTGTAACAAGAAGTAAGGCAAACCGATTTATAACTAGGCAATAGGCAGCAGTAGGGGCTGCTGAAGCAGCATCTGCAGATGAGGATGGATGGTAAATGCAAAATGGTAAAGAAACAAAGCAAAGAATCAGTTTGACACGGATGCTAGGAACTAGTATTTTCTTTGTATGGATAGTCGTGACTCAGAATGAGGCAATCTGATTTCATAGGTCACTAGCCAAACTGAATGTTAAAAAATATCCTGGTTGATAGAGAATTAGAGAGGTCGGGCCCTAAAGCAGACTAGTGAACATTATTAATCTGCTTTTAAGATTGGTGGGGAAGAATTATTTGACATTGTCGAACTTGAAGACATTGATGGGGCCAGAGGGAGAAGAAAACAACCTCCTCCCTGATGCACTAGCTCTAGTTGACGCTTGGTGAAATTGGTGTGGCCCTTTGAGACGAGAAAATCAGAAAAGAATTGTGCAGGCCCTGGTAATTTTCTGGGACTTTGATTAACAGCGCGGCTCTTCGACGGATAACAAAGATACAACAGCTAGTTGGGACTAGGCATGGCAATCGGCTAGAGTCGTTGCCTTAACAACGAAGATACAGTCCAATTTTGGTTGCCGTACGTGTCCCTTTGCCGGTGCATACTGTTTTTATGATTGCGACTTAAAGGGAGCTAGAATTTCGGCAACGTTATTCAGTTGATTAAGTGGCTAAAAGTCTAAAAGGCCAAAAACAATCAAAGAAAAAAGAAAGTTTCACTAACTTTATGTTTGGTTTGGTAGGAAGGACACTGGACAGAAAAGAAGAAAAGTGAGTAAAGTTAAAATGAATGAGGGAAGGAAGTTGTTTCTTTTATTCATCTATTTATACGAAAGATGAAAAATAAAAAAGAAGAGTAAAATTATAAATAAAATATTTAATTTAAATAAAAATAATAGTTTTAGACTTAATTTAGAAGAATTAAATTTAGAGGGTATAAATTCATTTATTTTTTATTTTTCTTTGACCAAACAAAAGAAATGAAAGAAAGAAATATATTTTTGTTTATGATTTTCCTTTTTTCTCTACGCACCACCTTTTGATTCAGTGGTTAATGCAAAACTGTGTGACTTGTTGTAAGATTTGGACTCAAGTTCAAACAATTTTAATATCCACTGTAGCAAGCGAAAGGCAAATCAAACAAAGAGTTGGACGATTGATAAATTTAATCCAAGATGTAAAATGGAATTACTGTTTACTAATTTGCTTTTTATTAATTAATGGTAGGTACCTAGAAAAGCAGTTATATATTGGAATGTTACTTTTCCAATCATTTTCACAGTGAGATTGTAAAGTCATATACAGCTATTAACATGTATTGTAAAGTCATAGATTGTAAAGTACTAATCAAAGTTGAGCAATTGCTTAAAAATACTAACCAAATGCCTCTTTCTTAGACGGCTATTAACATGTAATGAGACAGAAACAATGAATAAACAAATGAGTCGTCTCCCAAAGTTCTCCTACCCAGATTGCAACAGGACTTGAAAGTCATATAATCAAGACAATTTTGAAAAACAAACAGCTAAGGGAATAAAAAATTTATGCACTTCGTAAATAGTTAGGTAAACATTCTTGTCCAGTGGCATTAACCCAATATTCTGTATACTTACAAGCAGAAAGCAGAGGACTCTACAGGATTGAAATTTGAAGGTGAATGGGGAGAAATTTTTTTTTAATCACTATCAGCCTCTATTGTTGGGATGTTGGTATTTGATCAGTATCTGTGGAGACTCTTTGTTTATCTTCTTTTTCTCGTATCAAAAGCTTCTCTTTTTCTAGCATTTTAGACCCATCAATCTCCCTTTTAGGGAGCTCATCCTTTCAATAAGCTGCACATGATCATGTGAAATGATGTAATTTCCAAATGTTGATAAATTGATGATTGAAAAACCTGTACAAATAAATGTTCAAGAGATCAGTAAAATATAACTTGGTGTTATGACCCAACCTTCATGTTTAGTTCTTCGTTTCTTCAACACTGATTTCAGAAACATCAGACAGACAACAATAAACCCCAAAGCTGCTACTCCACCAACTGCGATTGCCACCGTCTTCTGAGTCCGCTGCCTCGTCCCTGTCCCTACAGCAATCAAAACCCTTCTCAGCAGCATATTGAATTGCAAGAGGAAGAGAGAAAGGGAAAATGGGGCTACTAACGCTATTAAGGACACTCAAGAAAAAAAAAATTGATCTCTATACGGCTAAGCCCACAGGGACTAGAAACTTTTTGACTAGCACAAAAAACTAGGAAATCCAATTGTCTTCTTCATACAAAGAGGCCAGTCTCTTTTTCTCTCTCCACCATCCACATCCTGATATTTAAGTCATTTATTCTATCTTTAGAGAAAAAAACAAGAATTGGGAGGCCCAAGTAGAGACGTGGCCTGAGAATTGAAGATTGAAAATGATCTTGAGGCTTTCATCAAGTGATAGACAATATAAAAAAAATAATGGATATATTGGTGCAAGAAACCAAATTTGCCGAATATATTAATGTGAAAGATGATTTCTTTTTCCTTTCATTTCTCTCCAGCTTTACCTGAAGGTGAGGATATGGCCGGAACTCCATTGGGGTAGTAGCTATAACTAATGTAGCACTTGTGTAGATAAACCTGCCCTGAAATTGAGTCACCACAATCATCTTTTGCCGTTTGAAAAGCACTCTTCGCACAATCCCCACAGTCGCTTGTCGCCAAATCACCCTCACACTGTCCCAAAACATAAACAGATTGATAATCTCCAGTGTAAAACAACCCGCTACCACTTTTCACACCATCTTCTGCCATGCCGAAAGCGGTGTCTCTTCTGCTCTCAAAGTCAGTTCCACTTGCCTGAGATGACCCACAAACCTTGTACAAGAGCTCAGTTTCTGGAACCTGTTTGAACCCAACAATCTCGTACCTCAGATAACAGCCACTCAGCTGAACCCTGGCAGCTACAGCTTTGCCACAAAGTTTATCACTTATTTCCGGGATCTTGCTGACACAGCTGTAACACTGGCTTGTTGTTAGGTCTCCTCTGCATTGGTAAAGGCCCGTGATTGCATTAGGATCCTGGCCAGTGGTGGTGGAGGAGAAAGTTTTCTGTGACGATTGTGAAACCAAAGTTGACATAAGGTTTTTGAGGTTTTGTAAGTAAACTTCAGATGGATCTTGAAATTTCTGGTCTGCACAGCCCTTAAAGACCAAGGTAGTATAATCTGCAGCTATTGCAACAAAAGTAAAGGACCCCAAAAAGATTGTGACCGAAAACAAAGAAACTGATAGCAAAGAGAGCGTTTTTCCATGCAAACCCATTTGAGAACTGGATTGTTTTATTTTCAGTTTTTCTTGTTTGTCACAACATGGAAGGTTGGTTTAAAGAGGGTTTCTATGGGAGCTTCTAGACATGGGTTTTAGCTGGAAACAAGAGTTTTATTGCTATGTATGGTCTGAAGTATGAATTGTCCGTAAAGGATCTTGTACCTTTTTTTGGGGGTTGCTTTTCTGTTTGTAATTTTCTTGCTTGCTTGTTTCTTTCTTAAAATTCAAGTGCTTAGCTTTAAAGTTAGAAGATGATTAATAATTGTTTGAAAGAGACAGTTGACATTGAATTTTGCCCTTAATCTTCATAAACACAGTATTATATCAAATTAAAGTCATCAGATTAAATAATTTTCTGGGGATGGCCTGGTGCAATGAAAGTGATTATGATCAGATTTTATTCTGTTGCAGGGTTTTGACTTGGGACTATTCGACCAACATCTCTCATGTTTTGACTAGAATAAATTAGCTAGAAATATGCTTTCACATGAAGTTTGTGTCTGTCTGTGCACTGTGCTACTGAGATATATATAGCATTCAAACTTGTTTGAAAAGCACATGGGCTCTGAGGACACAGAGGAAGGGATTGTAAAAAAAAAAAAAATTGAAATGAAAAATTTCCTGCATAAGCCTTGGATTGGATACCGCTTGTAAGGAAACTGAACTTTTAAATAACTTGTCTTTGTTGAAAAAAAAAAAAGCAAGATGTGGCTTTACTCTTTACAATATAATTAAGCAAAGCACACATTTTTCTGCTTTGTTATACTACAAAATATGTGCTGAAACAACTAAAAAAGCAAGTAATGAAAAGTAAGCTTAATAACTTTTTGCTTTGATTTTTAAACGTTCATGAATTTTTTAGTACCATTTCTTTGATTGGTTAGGTTTCACCAAGCTTTGTTAATAAGACCCGGAAAGAGCAAGGAGTTGTTACCTCAATGGAATTATATATATAGTCCACTCCAAAACTGAAAATCTCAAATTTGAACTTTATTTATAGCACCAAAAAAATATATATATACATATATTTGCGTATGTCAATAATATGCCGGTGTGATGAGCTGCTTTATATATGCACTACACCAACCCTTCAACTTTGAGGTAAACATTCACTCTAATTCAATGCAATTCCTTAGAATTTTCTATTTATGAATTGTTTTCTCTTTTTTTCTTTATTCATTTTAATTATTTTGCATTGTGAACACTATTCAATTATTTTTAAATTCTTTCTTAAACTAAAGTCATTTTTTATTAGAATTGGTAATCTAATCTAATTCATATCCGTTGGTTTTTATTATAAGATTATTTTTTTAAGTCAAATTTCGGGTTGAGTCGAATTTTAGACAAAAAAATTGAAATTGAATTTTAAGCAAATCCGAAATGATGTATATATAAATTTTGTTTATTATTTATTTAATTATATATTTTTAATACTTTTTTATTTATATAATTTTATATTTATATTCATAATAATATTTTATTAATTCATGTCTAATTAGATTAATTATGATTTTATATAATATCAGATTAGATCAATTTAAATATTAAAAAATTATATAATAAAATAAAATCGAATAAAATTTTGAATATTATATATATAAAATTGAATCGAATTTGAAACTAGCAAAAATCCTCTCTACCTCATCTGAACTTATTGTTATCTCTATTCTTCACATAATGATAATTAATTTATATTTTTTTATATTTAAAAATATCAATATTTGAATATGACATATTAAAACATGACACATTAAAAATATAAGTTAAATATTTTATGGCAGTTCACGCAATTATATTTTTTATAATTAATTTACATAGATATATGCAGTTTTTTGGTGGATTGCTTTCTGTTATTTTCTTTCACGGACTGATCAAAAGATCAAAACACGAAAAACTCTGTTAATTACTGTAGTTTTATTCTATTGTTGAGTAACAAAGACCATAGAATTGAAGAAATAGGCATTTCTCAAATTCTAATGGATTGGTTTAAGAATTTCTGTAATTCTTGCATATTAATGTGGCTGAATCCTCTAACTTTTGCAATCATTTGTGTGTTTGTTGGTTCTTGGTAAAACTTATTTATTGAACGAAATCCACATTTGACGACACATGACTAACTTTTCCGGCATCAGTTCCTTTTTTTATTATTATTTTTTTCTGTGACTTCTCTTTTTTAACACTATGACTCACAGGTTCTGGAATCGAAGATACCAAGACACGTAATTACTCAAAAATTCAAAATATTTTAGATCCCAACAAAATTAGATTTATCTAAATTTTTTTAAATCAAATATGATTTATAACTTTTATCTTATTTTTAAAAAACTAAACTTATCCAAATATTTTATGTAAAAAATATGAATGATAATTAAGATTGTAAATGAATTAAATATAAATAAACATATGTTTTTTATTTTTTTTATTTTTAAATATGTTTAAACTGGATTCATGTTCGGTAAAAAAATTATTTTATATATTACAGTTTGACTTATTTAAATAATAAAATATTTATAATTGATTCATATTCGATTTAATTAAATTAAATAAATTTATTTTTGAACATTAAACATTTTTTTTACAAATATATATAAAAATATATATTTATGAGTAATAAACAAATTATATTCAAATAAACTTTAAATGAACATAACTTAACTTTAAAATATGATTAATATAAAAGATAAAAATATAAATTTATTATAATTATTATAAATAAATAATAAATAAATAAATTTTAAACGAATTTACTTTTGAATATAAATTAATCAAAATAGATTTTTGATTATAATCATTTCATTTAATAAATAAGCATAAAATATTATTTAAAATTATTTATTAAATTTAATAAACAAATAAAAATTAAACATATTTCCGAATAATTAGTTGAAAATTTTGTTGGTTTACATCCTAATAATAACCCTCAATCGGAACTGATCAGACCGGCCCAATGCTCCACGTATCACAATTCACACCCCGCACTGGATAGCATGACTCGCCCATCTCATCAGCGCAGCCGACTTCTCACGATGATATATTAATACCTGCCGTTACGCCTTCTCTATCCACTCAGCGCTCAACTGCCCCCAATGCCCTTTTGTTCTCTCCCCACAACTGGGCCCAAAGCCCTGTTGTTTTCACGCGCTATTATAATATAACCGAGGTGTCCTAACTCACAATCAGCCGGCTCTTAAATCATATCCAATTAAACTCTCTCTCTCTCTCTCTCTCTAATTTTTTTAGAAAGCGTTTAATTTGGAAATTTTTAAATTTTTGATAAAAATGTTATCTCTAAAAAAAGTATGATATTCGAGTTTTTTTTATTTTCAAAATATTTTGTGTTTAGATTCTTTCATTTAGTTAGAGATAAATCACGTATATTATTTCTTGTATAATTACTATAATATTATTGACATATATAATTAAAACTTTTCATTTTATTTTATTATTAATAAATATTTAAATGATAAATGATGCTTTTTGTAGTAAAATGATACTCAAATATTTTATTTAATTATTGTTTTATTTATAAAATATTATCAATTAAGGTATTTAGCACTTCGCATGTCTTAATTAATATATAAATTTAAATTATTTTTGTACATAAATGGCTTAAATTATCTTTTTATTTTTATGATCCATTTATAAAAAAAATTATAAGATCATTTAAGGCATTTTATGTAGAGAAACATCTTAAATGATCATTTAATAAAAACTATATTATGGATCATTTAAATTTAGCCTCAATTTATTTTTTTATAAAAATATTATTTATGATATTTTTATACAAAAAACATCTTAAATAATCTATTTATAAAAAAATTATAGGATCATTTAAGGTGTTTTCTGTACAATAATACATTAAATAATCCTTTTATTTTTTTAATTGAATGATAAAAAATAAAAAGAGTATTTAAATCATTTTCTGTATAAAAATACCTTAAATAATCTTTTTAGTTTTTTTAATTAAATGATCATAAAAATTTGTGGGTTATTTTTAAGTTTTTTTGTACACAAACGTCTTAAACGATCTTTTTATTTTTTTTATATGATTGATCGTTTAAAACGTTTTTATACACAAAAACTTTAAATGATCATTTTAAAAATTAATTCATCGTTCTTGAATCTTGAAAAATCAAATAGCTAATACAGTGAATGATAAAAAGTTGCATTACATGTAAACCCCTAAACCCATCAACCCATTTAGTTTACTTTTTGTTTTTTTATCTCTTTTGTCGTCATCGACCATAAACCATTTAACGCTGTCACACCTACTTTTTATAAGTATATATGTATTTCTTTTCGTAGTATTTATATTTTTCGATATAAGTCATTTTTTCCTTACCATATATTTATTGTTTTTTTGTGTTTTTATACATATTCCATCGTCACCTATGTCGTCTTGTAGTGGCATTTTGTTTGGAATAATCCATTTATAAATGTATTATTATGTGGTATTTAGTTCGGAAGAATCAACAAAAATTTTCATGAAATATTGATGGTGGGTATTTGATTCTCACGTTTGATTGAAGATAATCTGATTAAGAGATAAAGTAACAAAATTCAAACAGTACCCAATGTTTTAGAATAAAAAATTAATATCTCCATGTGGTTTTTTAAAATTTCGAGGAGAAAATTACCTTATTTTTAAATTTGATCTAAATAAAAAATTTAAATTTGATATGAATAAAAAATTATGAAAATAACCATCGTCTTTTTAAAAAATATGTCTGAAAGTGACTAAAATTTAGTTGTAGATTTTTGTATAATTTTTTTTTATTGTAATTAAGGTGTTTGGCATGAAGAAATACCTTAAATAATTATTTGTTGGTTTTATAAATTGATTATTTAAGGCGTTTAATCATTTTATATTTTAGGATTTAGGGTTAATATTATTATAAAATGATTATTTAAGACGCTTTTGTATAAAAATATATTAAATAATCATTTTATATTTTATAAATAGATTATTTCAGATATTTTTGTACAAAAAAATCTTAAATAATTATTTTATATTTTAAGGTATCGGGTTAATATTTTTATAAAATGATAATTTAAGACGTTTATGTACAGAAAACGTGTTAAATAATGCATTCATTTTTTAAAATGAATTATTTAAGGTGTTTTTTAGATTAAAATCGTCTTAAATAATTCTTTTATTTAAAAAAAAATTATTTAAAGTATTTTTGATCCACAAAAACCTTAAATAATACCATTTGACAAAAATATCAACATTTTTTGAAAAAAAATACTTTAACTAATATTATAAAATTTTTTAAAAGACATTATTTAAGACATTTTTTTGTAAAAAAAAGTATTAAATAATCATTTAATATTTTTTAACGAAAATCATTTAAGACCTTTTTTTTATACAAATACTTTAAATAATTATCTCATTTATTTGAATGAGGCTATTTAAGATATTTATAAACAAAAAATACCTTAAATAATATCATAAAATTTTTTAAAAGATATTATTTAAAGCGTTTTTGATTTAGAATCTCTTAAAATAATATTTTTTTAAAATAAAAGAGATTATTTAATATATTTTTTGTTTAAAAACATTTTCAATAATTTATTTCATTTTTTTTAAATATTAATGATAACAATCTCCAATATTTTTTTAATGATGATATTTTATAAATAAAAATAACAATCACAAAAATAATTGGTTTTTATTACTAAATGCATAATTTATCTTTTAAATATTTATTATTAATAAAAATTAATAAAAAATTATCATTATATATAAAAAAAAATTTATAAAAATTATTTAAAAATAATATACGATGAATTCTCTCAATCAAATAAATAAATTTGAAAATAAGATACCTAAAAATAAAAAAAAATTAATGTATCATATTTTTTCCAAAGATCACACTTTTCCCGAACCAAACGCCTTTTTAAGGCAAAAAGATTTCTTTTCGGTATTTTCTGAGAAACCAAAAACTCAAATATTTGCCCAATGTTTTTCAAATTTATTTTGTCACTCTCCTCAGCAAGGTCACTCTCTCTCACCGAGAAATTCTGCTATGCTTTCTCTTCGATTCTTTCTTTTTCTTTCCCGTTTCAAAATCACCTGGCTTTAGGTGAATACATATTTTTTTTTGCACTTTTGTTTTTCTGTCAAATGTTTTTCAAACGACTCGTCGTTTCATATCGTTTCCTATATGAAACGTCTTTACATTTGAATCCGAAACGCTTCCTCTTTGATTGTCTAGACTTAGTGTATTCTTTTTTCTTTCGCCATTGCGCTTGGTTTTGATAATTTCTGGGCTTAAGTTATGTTTGTCTGCTTAGAAAATGTCGGCTAGAAATTTTCTTTCTCATTAGCGAAGTATTGAACTGTACAGAATTTTGTAATGCAGTAAGCTTGGTGATGTGGAGCTGTCTGATCTCTGAAACTACACAATAAAAAGAAGAAGAAATTTGAAAGTCAATATATATATAAAACTAAAATTTAAATAAGAAAATGAGGGAACTAAAAAACAATTTTTTTTCGTCAAACTAATTCCTGCTTTGTTTTCTGTCTTAGGTTTTTAAAAGAATGATTTAATCTTGAAGGGTTTGGCTTGGTAAGGTAAAAATTTTAACTGGCGTCTCCTTTTTCCATGTATCATGGATGCTTTGGCTTTTAGGTTTCTTTCTTGAACTTGAATGATTTTGGATTATCATTTAATTATCTTGATTTAGTAGTAGACTTGAGAAGTTGAAAGGTTGTTTCTGATCAATGTAAGTTCATAATTTGTTTAGTTAGTATGCTTGCCAATTCTCATCTTTGGATTATCATTTAATTATCTTACTTGTAGACTTCAGAAGTTAAAAGAGTGTTTGTTTCCTACTCTGATTAAGGTAAGTTGATTATTGGTTTAGTTAGTTATGTGTAGCAATCCTTTATCTTTGGAATTTTTTGCATTTAATACTTAAAAAATACTATATTTTCAATTTCCTGCTGCTACTTTTCTACTTTAACTCCAGGACTGACTGTCGTTGCCTTCCTTCTCTCACCAAAATGCGAAAATGTAGGTATAAAGATTGGTGTTTGCAAGCCTTCACAACTGATAGGTGATAAAGAATCATGGCTCCAAACCCGAGAATTGTGCGGGCCTTCCGCTCGATGAAAGAAATAGGAATTAGCGAGGAAAAAGTGAAACCAGTGTTGAAGAAGCTTCTTAAACTGTATGACAAAAATTGGGAGCTAATTGAATCAGAAAATTATAGAGTTCTTGCTGATGCTATCTTTGACGAGGAGGATAGCAAGGTACATTCTCCTTTATAATCTGTTTTAGTTTAGTTTTATGTCTTATCACTTTATGTCTTTTTGATAATGATCTTGCTTTTTTCAGGTGTCAGAACCTAAGAAAGACAAGAAATGCAATGTATGTGACACATTTCTCTAACTTTTGCTGGTACTGAATAGTTTTTCTTTTTCCCTGTTTTCATCATCCATCTGTGTCAACTGATTTGGTTTGATTGTCTTACCTAGCAGGAGGCAGATATTGAAGAAGAAGGAACAGTACCCAATGAGCTTGTACGCCCCTTAAAAAGACTTAAAAAGGTTCAGTACCAAGAAGGTCTCGCATCATTTTCTCATAAAAACAGCACCTCCAGTGTGGCTGGAACCCTTTTAAAAAAGCCTAAACTTGAGGAGGATGAATTACCTCCTACTTTGCAGCTGCAGTCAATTCAGTGCAGTGTTGGAAATACAAGGACAGAATTCCTGCCTGCTTCACCTGGTACTGTTTCGCCCCAGCCTGCCTCTCGTTGTCCTGTTTCACCCCATCATGGTGGTAGGAATACTTCACCTGGTACTGTTTCACCTCAGCCTACCTCTCCTGGTCCTGTTTCACCCCACCATAGTGGTAGGAATAAAGGGAAGCAAACTGTAGAACCTAGGCCTTTGGCAATACTAGAAAGATCTGAACCAAATTCACATTCATCTCAAATGCATGTTAGCTACAAAGGAAAGGAACCTATATCACCTCATGTTGCTTCCAATGGGAAAGGCCCTGAGAGAGTATCTCTTGCCTTGCGCATTAAAGATCCAGCACCTGAGCCTAGTATATTGCCTAAGAAAAGGGTGCCTGATACTCATGCACTGATCATACCCAAGGAGGAGCCGTTTACTGATGACATGCCGCAGGTTGAGGTTCCTATTACCGTTATTCATCCAGGTAAATATTGTAATTCCCATATGAACGACATTTGTTTTTTTTCCTCTTCAAGTCACTGTTCCTTTCAAATGAATATTGATTATCCCTGCGACAATTCTCTAGCATCTAATTTCATTTAGCCCATTTACATGTTATGAAAATTTTTGTAATCTGTACTATGAAATGGATAGGCTTCTAGTGGATTGTTTATATGTTTCTTGAGTTAAGTCATGCCGCAGTCAGGAACCAGTGTTTAAGAATAGTAGAAATGTTCCTTTTAGTGGTCATTTTTACAACATTTAATCCCTTATATGTGCACTTTTTAGTGGATCTTGACGGCAGAAATGTATATATACGAAACAAAAATTGGGGACACTGTATAGATTTTACTGCACATTTTGCTTTTGGTTTATATCATTGACAGACAAGGAATTTAATATACTCGTACCATTTTGAGTTGTGTGATTTAATTGTTTGCATTTTAAAATGCCTGTATATGTTGTTTTAGTGGTTACATGTTTGTACGTCAGAAAATGATTAGTCATTATTCTGAAGTGAAGATCCATTATTTTTTATTTAATTATTTTTAAATTGCTTCAGTTGTCCTCCTGATCTTTAAGCATGTAGGTTTTTCTGCTAGTGATTTCTTCCCCGATATGCAGCTTGCCACCTTATACATTAATTTTGCTACTCATATAAGGGAAGCAGAATACTTTAACGAGGACTTGTCGTCAACCGAAATGTAGAACAATACTTTGGTTGTTGGTAGTTATTTCTGTGATTGATCCTAATCTGGTGTATATAAATCCATTTTTGAGATAAGAGAATATGCTAATTAACCATTATAACTATGACATTGTTCGGTATTAAAATTGTAACCGATGCTTTTCTTATGTTGTTTGTTTTTGTTCTATTTTCTAACCATTTTAATCTATTTATTTATTTTACTATAAAAATTGTTTAATAGATTCATTAAGCGGAAGAGATTTGCCAATTGGGGATTTTTCAACTGAAAAATCAAACTGGCAGGAACCTTCAGAATCTCTGTATGCAGATGAAATTGTAGGTAGTGGTGCTTCAGTTTCAATGAATGACAGGCGTACAATCTGTGAGCTTGCTACTGTTCCTGATGAAATTCCTTCTAGCGAAGAAATTGCCTCATCACCATTGGGAGAGGTGAAGATTTCTCTAAGCTACAATTCTGCTCTTGGAAGACCGAATTTCCAATTCCCTAGTATAGATGAACTAAGACAACTGATGGAGCAGAGATGTCTCCAATCATATAAACTCATTGACCCAAATTTTGATGTCATCAAAATTCTGAATGATATGTGTGAGTGCATCTCAGAATTGGCAACTAATTCCTCTAATCAATCGCAGGAAGGTAATGTGATTCCAGCTCTTGATGTATTGAAGAAATCTCCTGCAAGGGATGCTCTTGAAGCTGAGAGCAATAAGGAAAATGGTAGCTTGCTAGCTAGGATGTTAAATGGATCTTTCAATGTTCGTTGCTCTGCAAATGAATGTGTTGACAATGTCGGCGGGAAGGAACTGGTGGTTGTTCCACAGCATCAACTTACACCTTATGAATTAAGGTGGCTTCATGATGCAAGTGACATAACCAAGGGAGAAGAAAAAGTTGAAATATCATGGGTAAATGAAATTAATAAAGATTTTCCACCACCGTTTCAATATATATCAGAGAATCTGATATTTCAAAATGCCCATATTAGTTTTTCTCTTTCTCGGATTGGAGATGAAAGTTGTTGTCCAACATGTTTTGGGGATTGTCTCTTGTCCCAGCAGCCTTGTGCATGTGCTTGTCAAGCTGGGGGACAATTTGTGTATACTTCGGCAGGTGTTGTCAAAGAGGACTTCTTAGATGAGTGTATCTCTATGACTCGTGATCCTCAACAACAATGTCTCCTTAATTGTGCAGGGTGCCCACTTGAGAGATCAAAGAAGGATGACTTTCCAGAACCTTGTAAGGGTCACTTAAAGAGAAAAGTTATCAAAGAATGTTGGAGCAAATGTGGCTGCAATAAGCAGTGTGGCAATCGGGTGGTGCAGAGAGGTGTAAATTACAAATTGCAGGTTTGATTTGTCCTAGTCTTGTACAATTCCTGGTCCTTGTTATTGTTAGGTTGCTTTACAAAATTAAGGCATTAACATTTGAATTTGCTTTTGTAAACCCTGTGTCTTCCATGACTAATTTACTCTGAATGTTAGGTGTTTTTGACACCTGATGGGAGAGGTTGGGGCCTCAGAACTCTAGAGAAGCTTCCCAAAGGAGCTTTTGTTTGTGAGTTTGTTGGAGAAATAGTCACCATCTCTGAGCTGTATACACGGAACATAGAGAAACATGCATGTCCAGTCCTACTGGATGCTTATTGGGGGTTGAAGGGAGTTTCTAAGGATGAAGAAGCCCTCTGTTTGGATGCCACATGTTATGGAAATGTTGCGAGGTTTATCAATCATAGGTAATTGTAAATTTGTGTATTAGACTTTCTGTGCCTGAACTTTCTCCTACTTTGTTCTTCAAAAATTTTCAATTGCTTGTGCATCTATTACGACGATGTGTGTTTTTGTGACATTAGTAGTAGATTTTGATGACATTATGAAGGTTCCAAAGGTTGCTGTAAGTTGGGAGATCAGTTGAACTGCTTCTTTTGGGGTACAAACATTAGTTAAGATATTAGCACTAAGAGATATGAAAAGGTTACCGACAACATTGACTTAATCTCTATTATTGAGGTTTTGTTTTAATTATTGTTATAGGTTATGGTACATGATAGCAAAAGCATTTGAAGAAATATCTGAGCACCTTGAATAAATTGAGATTTAAAATATCTGATCTTTTTTTTTTGTTTCTTATGTTGCTAGATGCTTAGATGCAAACTTGATTGAGATTCCTGTTGAAGTGGAGACTCCAGATCTTCATTACTATCATGTATGAAATACTGATTTCTTCCACCTTCCTAGTCCTATTTGTTTTACTGGCTTCAATTCTTGGCAATAGCAAGTCTAATTGAGCATTTACTGTGTGCAGCTAGCCTTCTTTACAACAAGAGAAGTTGAAGTGCTTGAAGAGCTGACTTGGGTGAGTGATTACTTATAGTTATATTATTCTGAAGCTTTTAGTTAATATTTGTTGTGTTTCATATGGTTAAAAAAGAACAGAAAATGAAAGTAATGATCAGATTGTTGACTTTGCATGAGGATAGATGGACTTGTACTTTTTTCTTCTTATGATTCAATCTGTTATTTTAACCTAACCTTACCTGTCCTCCTTTCGTTTGGTGATAGCTTGCCTTCTTATCTGCAAGGGAGTTATTCACTTGAGAATTCGACCAGAGAACATTTCTATAAGCACGTTGATGTGGAATGATTACTGAACCATTCTTAACTTTAGTGTTTTGTCCCCTTTCCCACTCTGACTTGGGTTTGTACTTTTGGATGGTAAATTGGGGTCACATTATTATTATATATTGGCATTTGGGATTCGAAAATGAATTGTGGCTGGATTCAAAATCCATTTTTGGTTCCAAAAGTTTTAACGTGCTGCGAAATTCCACTCCAAGAAGGGAAAGGAAATTCACAGTTTTTTTTTTTTCTTTTCTCTACAGAAGTACCCATTGTGTGTTTGTTAGGCACACCATAGATATAGTCTTAAAGACTGTCTCATACTCTCACTGTATTTTAAGGCCATTAGCAGACAGTTCCAGTTAAACATGTTCAAGTGAGTATGACTTATCATTTAGCCTTATTTGGCAATCTTACCTAGTAATCATTTTATGATATGAAAATCATGCAATGCTTTATGCAATATAGGAGGAAAGTTAGTTTCCTCTCCCACCGAGGCTACTTTCAGATTTCAGCTATCATGGATAATTCATGATGAAATTAATAGTCTATATTTTCTGTAGGTTATAAATTAATGCATGATATATACGCCTTATGCTTATTTTCTTTAACATAGTCTGGTTAACTTTTTTGGCTCTAATGCAATTTTTTTTTGGGCATATGCATGCATGAGTATCATCATACATTGATGCATTCTTTGTTTGGATATATTAGAGCAATTATATGTTCTTCATATGTGGTTTGAGAAAGAAACTGGGTATCAGCTCATGCATTATCATATTACTTTATTTGTCCCTACTAAGAGGCTCTGCATGCAGGATTATGGTATTGACTTTGATGATCTTGATCATCCTGTTAAGGCATTCCGGTGCAGATGTGGCAGTAAGTTTTGCAGGAACATGAAACGTTCAACTAGTAAGTAATTGTCATCTAGAATCTTGTAGACGATGTTTTTCATTTCTTCTCATGGTGAAATAAAATTTTTGACAAATAAAATAGTTCAACCCTTTGAAATTGCAACAACAATATAAACAAATCTGAAATTCTTTACCTTTCATATGCTAAACTTTCCCCTTGGAGTATGATTCAGTGAAAGCTTTGATACTACAAATCATAGTCTTTTCACCCATCTAAGAATTGAAGATGCTTTTTATAGGATAATGCTTTTGTGAGGTAATTATAATTGTCTATGCAAGAGAAGTTGTGTATCTGGAATGTTTATAACAATATAAACTGGCAATGAAACAGCCTGCAATCTGCATAAGGAACTTTCAAGAATATTGTAATGTTTCTGATTTTTTTTTTTTTGTGGGGTGGGGTGTGTGTGTGTGTGTGTGTGTGTGCATGTCTTTAGTTCTATCATGGGTTTAGCTGTTTGGTGTTAATAAAAATGTTAGGAGCAGTTATATTAAATTTCATAAATTGATATTGTAACAAGCGGTTTTTGTTACTTGGAAACTGTTGTTGTCTGATAAAAAAATTAATGATCTTGTGTCTCTTCTTGGTTGTGTCTGTAACTACCATGGTACTAAGGATCTTCTTTCTGTGGTGCAGGATCTAAATCTACAATAATCACCAGGTGAACTGATTCTTGGTCATGGAAATGTTTTACCAGTTTCATTTTACTCGACGAAACATAGGTTTTAAATGAAGCTCAAGGTGGTTGTTTGGGATGCTTTGCATGGTTTATGCTATTTTGGTGTCATTTTCTTTTGAATTGCCTTCTGCGGCTATTTCTATGTCGTGTTCGAACTGACTATACACCTTTTGCCTAAACGTTTTATTTGCGAGCAATAAGTTGCTAATTTGATTCCACCCTGATGTTTTGTGTTTGGACTGGAACCACAACAAGCAGCATTGATTGATTTACACCCCCCCCCCCCCTTTTTTTTTTTACCTCATCCATTCATTCATTCTTTCCCTCTGTTTTGTAATCATGATTAATAACCATTTCAGCAACTTGAGGACTTCTTGCTCAAGCTATGTTGAACTGGCAGAGGGAAGTCTGATTGTCAAGCATGAGCTTTGATCACATACAAAATGACATTGCCAACTTGGTAGTTGGTCAGCTCCTATGTCATTCTGCACAAACATTCTATTTTCTTGTTTATCCTATAACACATTTCTCTTAATAAGGTGATATGAGTTTGTCTTTCTTATTTACGTCTAAAAATGTAATTTATAACTTATACTTATATTTTTTTATTTTTAGATTATTATCTCTTTTGTAAAAAAAAAATGTAATTCGGTAATAAATGAACAAATGAACAGTGGGAGCATAATTATACGTTCGTATTCATTTGGGCTGCTTTTAAACTAAACGCTGCATTTTCCCTTAAGAAAAGTGACAATTAACATTACATTACAATTCCAGGTTTATCTTTTTTTTTTTTTTCAATTATCTTTTAGGGGAAGAAAAAAGGGATAAATTTGTAAAATCGTACGTTCGTATTCCAATTTGGCTGCTGTTAAACAAAACGCTGCGTTTTCGCTTAAGACAAGTGAAAACCAATATAGGCAACTGGGGGTGATGTAGCCGAATAGTCCAAAATTCTCAAATAAAACCTAGGCCAGAGTATGTAAAGAAGCAACCCTCGCTCAGGAAAAGAGGCGTAGACAAACGGAGCTGAGCAGAGACGATCAAAATGTCGAAGCGAGGTAAATACTTTCCTTCAGTTTCCCTTATTTTCCAACTGACCAAACAAAAACGACGGTGATCTCACGAATATTTTTTTTTCTTTTAATTTACTACAGGAAGGGGAGGTAGTGCGGGGAACAAGTTCAGGATGTCGCTGGGTTTACCCGTGGCGGCGACGGTTAACTGCGCAGACAACACGGGAGCCAAGAACCTCTACATCATTTCAGTGAAAGGAATCAAAGGGCGTCTCAATAGGCTTCCATCGGCTTGCGTCGGCGACATGGTCATGGCCACTGTCAAGAAAGGGAAGCCCGATTTGAGGAAGAAGGTGTTGCCAGCTGTCATCGTCCGACAACGCAAACCTTGGCGTAGAAAGGACGGCGTCTACATGTACTTCGAAGGTCCAAATTAATTCCTTTCACCCCTTTTTTCATGTTTTTATTTTATCTTTGTTGCTTTTTTTGATAATTGATTGGTGGTTAATCTTAATGGGAAGCATATAATAATGGGAATTCGTCAGTTTTAAACAGCATGATGCTGTTGATTTTCTGATGCATTGTGTTAACTTTCTGCTGGTACATATGATTTATTTGTCTTTGTTTCAAAATTTAATTTGGGTTTGTTTATCTTTGTGCAGATAATGCTGGTGTCATTGTCAACCCCAAGGGAGAAATGAAAGGTAAACCAACTCACTCATCATCTTCATTCCATTTGATATATCCAATGATAATAATAGTGCTTGTTGAATTCTAGGTTTAAATGCCGACATTCAGCTGTTTATGATGATTTTGAGTTCTGTTCAAATGAGGTTTTTTTGCATGGTTTTTCTCTGGTTCTCTTGCTTTTGCAATGTCAGATGTGAAATCAAGTGAATATCCCTGAAAATTTGCTGCTAGTGTATCAAATTTTCTGAATCGGTGCACATTCATCAGTGACCATTCACTGATGTTGTAAAAAATGTAATTTGTATTCGTCCGGGTTAACTTAGAACCTAAGAAATGCTAGTTATCTTAGAAGTATGGTTTCCCAAACATGACTTGAAAAGATGATGCTTTATCTGCGATTTTCACGGCCATAGGTGTAATGAAATACCTTTTGTAAGGCTGGTTCTATATTATTGACATGAAGTTCAGTGGCCGAAGGTGAGATGTTGGATTTAATGTTTGAAACTAATTTGGGTTCATTGATTTGGTGTTTTCAGGATCTGCTATCACTGGTCCCATTGGAAAGGAATGTGCTGATCTGTGGCCTAGAATTGCAAGTGCTGCCAATGCTATTGTCTGAAAGATTTTCATGGTTTTGTCTGTGGTTGTAGTTTTGATGTTATCTTTCTATGATTTTCCTTATTAACATGATTTGAGAGATTTTGATCAAACAGTTGTAAGTATTACAAGTGTTTTAGCATGCTTACAACTTTTTCAGCCTAAGTAGAAACAACAAAATCCTCCCAATGTGATGCTTTGGAGCATTACATGTTCCACCGCTATACCAATTTGCATAAATCACATGATTTTCCTCATCCGACTAGCCTTAGAAATTGGGGACCGTTTAGTAGTTGATTGTTGCCATCCTCTGTGTTGACTCCCATAGATCCGCCTACATTCTTGCAAAACCTGAGGAGATTTTGTTATGGAGTGATTGGCTCGTGGTGCATAGATCATTTTGTTATGTCACTCTTATTTTATTGTTTACTAGTTTGTTGCTCGTGGGATGCATGAATTAATTTTATTTATTTAAATATTTATAGATATATATTAATATTATTTAATTTACATGTTTAAAGTACATATAAAATGCATATAACTTGCAACATGGTCATCAGTTAGGTTGCAACATGATTGTGGATTTGATTCATAGAGGTTGAATTATTATCAATTTTGAATTAAAAATTTGAAGGAATTTAATAATAATAATAATTACTATATTTTTTTCTTTTTTTCTTTATTTACATTTTCACTGTCCAATTTGTCTAAAAAGAATAAAAAATAGATGTAATAGCACTTTAATAGGAATATCCACAAGTTTAGAATGGCACAGCAAAAAAAATCTAAATGTGATATTCAATCTGATCAAAGAAAGCAATAAAGATATGCTGTCAATTACAACCTTGCTAAAGGATATACTAAATTAGAAATTTAACAATTGTAGATTGATATATCTATCTTTAAAATGTTGATTTATTGCGAATTAAAAATAGAAAGTACCTCAAAAAAGCTAAAACTTCTTTAACGTGAAAAAGATAATTGTTTGCAATTTTTAATTAGAAATAAGAGATTGTTAATAAATCAAAAGTGATAAATTTGTTTAATTTTAATTTAATAAATGTGCGATTTTAAATTGAGAAAATATATTTTTTAAATTATGAAAAGAAAGACACAAAATAATTAGTAATATTACCATTGCAACAACAACATCAACTAAGGAAAAACAAGTTTTGATTATGTACATCCTTTATTATCAATTCAACTTGTTTTTTTTTTTTTTATATTTATTTTAGAGACTCTTTTGTTATTCTTAAAGTGGTTGCTCTCGGGGTGACTATGTTGCTAACATTTCTTCATTTTCTTTTTGCATGTTTGTTTTCTTTCAATTTCTCTTAAGATTGTAAAGAGAAGCTAAGTTTCACCTGTTGATAATTCACATACATTTAAAAAAAAAAATGATGTTATAAAATCAAATAAAAAACATAAAAAATAAGACTTTCATACAATGTATCATCAAAGACTGTGAATTTATATATATTTATAGAGTCCATACAAAGCTTGCATATTTTTCTTGACTTAAAAATATAAAAAAGTGTAATTTAAATTATAAAAAATGCAAAGATTTCTTTTTATTAAATTTTAATATGTCTTAAGAAATGGTATTAAAAAAAAAAAAAGAATGAAGGATTGAATAAATGGAAGAGAAAATTAAATCATAAAAAAATGTATTGAAATACCTTAACTAAAAAGTATTGAATTATCTAAGAAAGAATTGAATAAAAAAATAATTTGCATGTTGTGGAATTATTAAAGTGGAATTGATATACCTTTATTAAATTGTGATATTGATAAAAATACTACAAAATATTGAAACAATCAAGTTGAAAGATAAAAGTAAATCATAAAATGGTATCGACATACTTTAACTAAACTGAAATCTTGATGAAAACCTTGAAAAATTTTGAAATTTGTTAGAAAATGTGTGCTGTAAAATTAAAAAAAAAAAGAACAAAAATAATGTGCCTGTTGTGGAATTCATACTGTACACCAGTTGCGCTTGCATATGGTCTTGCAGTCAAGTAATACGACCCAACCGGTTGATCGGCGGTTAGCAAAACGTCAACTGCTGGCCAGGGCCAGTAACCATGACAACGGTGACATAAGATTTGGTATAACTGGCGTCAACGACATCAACTGTTATCTTATAATTGACTATCTTGTATAAAAGTTGATTGTTGAGTGCAACGTTGATAATACATAAGAGATAGGTCTTTCCTTGCTCCACCTTAAGCTTGTACATAATGGGAAACCACATAATTAAATTAAACATCAATTAACATATAAAAATTATGGAGTACTTGCATGGAGATATGTATTGGTAATCACTCGCTATTTTGAGAGCATGGGTAGAGATCACCAGGCCGTCCATTTATTGTGCAAGCAGTAGAAACATTAGGAACAGCAATTAATTTAATATTAAAGTTTTAAATTAAGAGTTGAATAAGAAATTCTAATGATAATGCCATAATTACTAAGATTAATTATGAAATTTTAAATTAAGAGTTACGTATAAATTTAAATTAAGATAAGATATCTTTTATTTAAAATCAAAAGAGAGATGAAGGCAAAAAGGTTATCAATTATGGACACAAAAAAAAAAAAAAATTCAAACGAATAATTGGTAGTTACCAAGATAAGTCAAATAATTAAAAGGCTATAGAAAATAAGTCAAAGAAGTCAATAATCTATAATATGTTTGAGCGAAAAACTATTGAATTTTAAAAGTTATACTTGAATTTTGGATTTAATATATCAAATAAGATTAAATTTTGAAAGTTTAGGGTAGTCAAATAAGTTTTTAAATATATTTTTTGATAAATATCTTTAAATCATACGTATCAATAAAAAGATAAAATTTAATTTACGTGTAAAAATAAATTATGCACGTAAATGCTTATTTTAATAAATCTTAATTGGTAACTATATATGTTATAATATATATATATATATGTATATTTGATAATAATTTTTGTATATCATTTTATTTTATTATTATTATTATTATTATTTTTCACGTGTTCTAGTAAATGGATTCTCTGGTTGAAGTGAAGAGAAACTACACGTACCATAGAGTAAGTTAGAGCAGACACGGAAGTTTTGAGTGGCTGAGTTTAATGGTGAAGAATGTCTGAATTAAATTTATGTCTTAAATTGCATTGAAATTTTAGTTCAATTGATTGCTACATAATTTTTGCTTGAAGAGCATGATTCAAATCCCTTCGCGAAATACAAAATAAATACTAAGTCACTTATTCTATACTAAAGAAATGATCAGATAAAAAAATCTCTCATCAACTGCGAAAGTTGCTAAAACCCTCTTACCAATAATCTCTACAAGAACATTTTCCATTTTTGAAATGATGAAATCTACTAGCATCTCGGACAATAATTTCTCTATTTTTTAGCTCTGATATGATCTTAATAGCAACATGGCAATCACTGCAGATCCGCAAATTCTTAATCACCCTTATAGGAGCAGAAGCAGGAGTATTCATTAGAGCAAAAGCAATAGCCATTTTCTCGCTATGGTGAGCCAAGTTGTACTCTTTTTCCTCCTTATCCATGTCATGCAGAATAGAACTAGTGTCAGGCACATAACCCCGTAACTTCATCTCTGCTGTTAATTCTTTCAAATATAAATCAATCTCCTCCGATTGTGGATGCGCTTTATCACCCATGCAAAACTGATGAATTTCATTCTTGATTTCCAACCAACTTACACCAGGCTCTTTCTTCACTCTGTTATCTCTCATGGCTTTTCTGACCTCAGAAACATCCTGCCACCTTTTAGCAGAAGCATGAATGTTTGAAAGAAGTACATAGGAAGCTGAATCCTGAGGATCAAGCTTAAGCACTTCTTCAGCTATTCTTCTTGCCATGTCTGCGTTCTTGTGGATCTTACATGCAGATAACAAAGTTTTCCATATGATAGCATCTCCTTTCACTGGCATTGATCTTATCATAGCCTCTGCTTCATCCAAACAACCAGACCTACCAAGCAAGTCAACAACGCAAGTATAGTGCTGTACTCTAGGCTTTATTCCATGCTTCTCTGACATCAAGTTAAAGAACTCAAGTCCTTTATCTTTAAGCCCACAGTGACTGCAAGCATAAAGCAAGCTCAAGAAAGTAACATCATTTGGCTCCAATTCTTCTTGCTCCATCTGTTCAAACAACTCAACAGCTTCCACTCCTCGTCCATGAAACCCATATGCAGCAATCATCGAGCTCCATGACACAAGATCTGCCTCTTCACATTCCAAGAAAACTTTAATAGAATCTTCCAAGCAACCACACCTCGAATACATGCTAATTAATGAACTTATCACACCAACTACCGAACGTGCACCAGTTTTAATCACATCAGCATGAATCTGCTGACCTTGTCCTAATGTTGCCAACTCTGAGCAAGAACTAAGGACACTAACAAACGTGATCTTATCAGGTCTAAAACCAGTCATTTTCATCATATTATAAAGATGCAATGCACTCTCAGAGTAGCCATTTTGGGCGTTCCCTGCAATGAGAGTATTCCAAGCAACCATATTCCGAATCGGCATTGATTTAATCACCCTTTCCCCTTCCCCCAAACTTCCACACTTCATATACATATGAGCCAAAGAACTTCCAACAACCAAATGAAACTCGAGTCCGCATTTCATCACACAACAATGAACTTGCCTCCCTACAAACAAAGCTTTCAAACCGGCACACCCTCTAAGAACACTAGAAAGAGTGAAGTCATCCGGCGAGAACCCCGAAGCATGCATTTCTCTAAACAACCAAAGTCCCTCCTCATTACACTCAAACTGGATAAAACCTGCCACCATAGCATTCCACGTGGCAATATTTCTCTCAGGCATTTCATCAAACACTTTTCTGGCACCTTCCAGATCACCAACATGCATATGTCCACCAATCAAAATGTTACAAGACATAATATTCTTCCGAACCATAACATTATACAATGAAACAGCAGCTTGTAAGTTCCCGAATTTGGAGTACATGTTTAGTAAGTGATTTGATATAAACCTGTCTTTTGAAGACCCAGATGTGATAACTAAAGAATGAAGCTGTTTCCCAAGAGAAGGTGAGTTTTGGGGGATGCAAGATTGGATAAGGTTGGAAAACAGAGGTGGGTCTGCCCATATTTGAGGATGGAACCTATCAAAGGCGTGTTTTGTGAGTCCTTTGGAGCAGAGATCGGTGAGTTCTAAGGTGAAACTTGGAGCAGATTCACAGGCGGCAATTGTAGAAAGAAAACGAAAGAAACAAGAGAAACGTAAAGGTAAGCAACTACTAGGAAAATACCTACCCCTACCCATGCGACAAAGACCCGACCGGTTATATCAGGTCCATATGTTGCGACCTTATCAACTCATATGAGATTCTCTCTTGTAAAAATTAAAAACTTAGAAGTAAAATCGTCCCATAAGGAAAACTAGTTTAGTTTTCTTTCTCATTTTTTGGGCTTTCTTTAGCCTTTTGAGACTATAAGTTGGGCGGGAAAATTAGAAAGCCGCAGCTAAAAACGTCGCAGTCTTCTCTTTAGAGTAGACTCTACCTCTACACCTTTCTTTCTGTTTTATTTTCTCTCTCTTTTTTTTTTTCTTCCATGAATCCCACATCGTCCGCTCTTTAAACACTATCAGTTCCGATCGAAGCCCAGTTTGGCTTCAAACCTCTGCCGAATCCGGTCTGTCATTTCGAAACCGACATCGTTAAAAACAGAAATAAAGGAAGAAAAAAAGCATGGGATGGAATCACCCAGACATATCGTTGGAAGAAATGATGAAACTGATAAAAGGGTTTGTAGATATACTAATTTTAACATCTGGGTATCAATCATCTGGTCTTCTCGCCCATTGGGACTCCGATAACATCAAGCGAGCGTTTCAATGGGCTCTCTTCTTTGAAAAAGTCAGTAGTTAGTACCCTCTGTCTCTCTCTATAAAAACTCATTGCTTGGGTGATTCTATTTTATGTAAGATGGTGTTTGTTCAAGAAATTTGAGATATTTCCGTAAAAAAGTTCTTTTTCATTTGTTAATTGGGGCAAAGTAAATTATCTTAATTGAAATTTCTTTTACCACATTGTTTAGGTTTTTAGGCGTTTAAGCAGCTTGGATGTTTACCAAGAGTCTATCGAGGAACTTGATGCAGCTCTCTTTGAAATGACATCTCATCCTTCCTTTCCTCAGGTTCTGGTCTTTTTATTTCCTGCTTTCTTATATACTAATTGAAATTCTATGTGGTTGTATTGTTATTAGTTTCATTTTTTTCTTTAATCATGGCAGGGTCTTGCACATTTATCATCTGCTACTCTTATAAGGGCAAGAGGTTTTATGTTGGAACACTTGCTCCATAATTTACCATTGAGGGATTCACATCTAAGAGCAGTTTTGACAGCAATCATCGAGATGGATCTTAGTGACCTTTCACAGACAAAACATGATTGTCTCAATGCATATTTGAATAGTTTGACACTGCAAAATAGAAATTGTATGAGGAATTTGATTACATCATCTCCAGATGTAACTACAAATGTGGAAACTGAAAAGTCTGGCAGTGGTAATTTTACGAAACTTGCTATTCAGGAACTCTTCAGGAGGCAATCTTCCGTGTCATGCATATCAAGTATTGAGGAAGCAGTGGATGTTCTTTCTAATGCTGTAAGACATAGCAGCTGGACTGAGTCTGATTGTAGCTTACTTGGAGAACAAACAAATGAAAATCTTCCGGCTTTATTGCAGTAAGTACTAATATTCTTGCTGGTAATTCCATGTCAGAAACCACATTGCTCAGAAATATGAATATATTAGTGAGTACTTAGTTCTTAAAAGGAGATGGAATCTGTTATTTTCGTTACATCACCATTCAACTGTCTAAAAGACTATCTTTTATTCTCTTTGAAACTCATGGATCTTCCTTTTTAGTATTTCAGCTAACAATTTTCTATGCCGTAATCAGAATCAGTGAGATACACTGGACATATCAATTGCTTCTACTTTGGATCACTTTTCTTGAATTTCTGAGCCAAAATATTTTGTTTTTGTACCTAGACGTGCAGATGCATTAGTTGATGTTGTCTCATGGAACCGTTGGAAATCAAGGGCTGTGTTATATTTTCTTGATACGAGAACTATTAGATTGGTTTCTGGTTCCAGTTTAATATTTTCTGGCACTAACGCACAATGGGGGAAAGTGTTTGAGCAGCTGAATTTTTCTGAAAAAAGTAGCAACAATGATTTACATGAGGCAATCGTAAGTTTGTTCTATTTGATATAAATGATAGTGATTTAAGCTTGCTTTACCATGGTTGATGTGTACCCTAGCAGTGAGTGTCACATTTTTGTTCATGTCTATACTTGTATAGTTCTTGCTCGTATGCATTTGCTATGTTTTTGGCTGTCATGTCATTATGTCCATCTACATGTTGCAAGTGGTAGCTATGATAGATTTGGTGGCCGGGGAAATATGAAACTTTTGGTAGAAAGACACTGATTTAATGTTATATACCTCTAGATATGCTAGGCTATGCAATTGTTTGCCTTTTGTTTGTAATGACTTTGAATGAGTGATTTACATTCCAAGGTACTTTCATTTATGATTTCAGAAAAAGAAAAGCATATTTGTTTCTTTCTTTAACTGCTTGATGTTACATGATGTTTATGATAGATGTCCAATTGCTGCAATTACATTTGAAAGTAAAGGAGCTTGAAAGCTTGTTTTTATTCTTGGGAAAAAGACAGCCTAGTTTTAAAGTTGCAATTAGTTTGGGACAATTTTAGCCACAGCAAGCATTAAACTCCGTCTTGCATCTGCAACTTGATTGTAGCAGAAAAATTTTTTCTTCTTTTTTACAAGAGCACAGTTTCAGTTTTCATTTTTGGTATGAACTGGTAGTGATCAATTAATTGCGCTTAGGTCTTAGTGTGACCACTAATATCTTGCATAGCCAAGATTGGTTTTGGTCATATACTGGTAGGGTGGTGGTAGATGTGGTGTTTGTTCAATTTATATATGTGGGGATTCATCTTATGTGAGTCTTGGTCTGTTTTAAGCTCTAATTTTTACTGATAAATCCTCATTTTCCCCCTTCTTGTCTCTTGATACAGGAACTCTTGTTACTTGGATGCATTGCAAGCCGATGGAATTGCATCATTGAACACTTGATGTCAGTATCTTATGATTCTGTTACCATCTCAAAGCAATATCATGTACTTGCTAACTTGGTCTTTGGAAAATCTCAAAGTTTTCATCAAAAAGAGGGAACAATAAAATCAAAGGTATCTTTTAGGGGTGAATTGTGGAGATCAGTGAGTGTTGCATATATCTGTTTTCTTGTAGTGCAACCATCTTTAGGTACTTGTGTTTTGTTTGTGTGCTTATGAATGTATCTAGCATGCATGCATGCATATCTGTCTGTCTGTATGTATGTGTGTATGTATTTATTTATTTATTTATGTATGTATGTATTGAAGGAGCTTAATTGTGTTTGATCTTATTTTAGCACTGATTTTTTGTTTTGTTAATTTCTTTATTTCAACTTTCTTTATTATTGTAGGGCTTTTTGTTGTGATAATAAAGGTGGTTTTTATGTTTCTAGTATTTTATGTAAGGTGCTGGATGATTTTACTGCCCAGAGTTCTATGATTTAGTCCCTGATTTTGCTGAAGTCATTGGTTTTGTGCCTGCAGCCTTGCTGATCTCAACATCTCAATTGACCTTCAATATGCCCAGAGTTCTGAAAACCCTTGATTTTTGGAATGGTCCTGACTTTTAAATTCTTGGGAAGAATAAAGATCCTAAGCTTTATGTATAGTTTAACTGTATTTCTTCATACCTGTTTTCTTATTCAAAGTCACCTCACTATCCTATCAGACATGGTGTTTCTGCCATTTTTACCACTTCTTTCTTTTCCTCCTTTAACCAGGAACCAATCATTCTTGGGCTGCTGCACAAAAACATTTGTAAAAGATTTGTTTGGTTGATACTGAAAAGCAGAAAAGGACCTGTTAGCCTCATTCTTGTAGTTTGCTTTTATCTTTACTCCTTATCTATAGCATTAAAACCATTGCCGTGGGAAGGACCAAATCCTTGTAGTTTTTTTTGTTTCTTTTCTGTAAAAAAATTGGACATCTACGGTGACTATCTTCAAATTGTGCAATATACAGCAAATATGGAGACTTAGTCAAATGACTTATTTTGCCCCTAAACCCCAAGTAGTGTGCTTCACATTTTCAATTGTAGTGCAATTTGCTCCGCAAGTTTATATTTTGTATATTTGTGAATTTGCGTGTTAATGTTGTTATACTGGACTTGCTTTTAGTCTTCTAGTTTGCAACATATTTATAGTTTTTTTTGGTTGTCTAAATTAGGAAGGCGATATTCTTGATTATCTGATGGGACTGTTGGGTGATAAAATTCATCTGTTGTGGAAATCATCTCCTGCTCTGGTGGCAATTTCACTTCCATCCTGGTATTGTTAATCTCTGTGTGTGGCTTTGGATAATTTTAATCAGCTCACTTTGTCGGAATAGATAATTAGGACATTCCATACATGTCAGATTGTGAACAATAACACTTCATCTTTTATGCTTGTTTAAAATTTAGGAGATTGCAGAAGTTTAATATTAAAATTTTAATACAAGGCCTATTGTGCTATCCAACGATGCTAATGGCAGAAATAAGATAATAGGAATTAGAAACTCTTATCATTATTAATAAATTTATGATCATTGAATGTCTCCCTATTACCAACGGAAAGGTTCAATTTCCATTGGATTTTAATATTAATACTGGCCTGTGGACATTTCTATATATGAGTGCTTGTAGTCTGCCTTCTCCATGATTCAAGATGGTTGTAACTTGTATTGCAGGTCAACCTTATTTAGACTTTACTTGAGTGAATTAGAGACTCAATTCAAAGGAAATCCTTCAACAATGAGGTTTGGCATTTTTAAATCAAATTTTAATTGTTCATTATAGTGTGACACATTGTTTTGAGCCTTCCATGACAGTATTCTCATTCCAATTCCATATATCTTGTCTTGTAGATGCTGCAGTTGCATTCAAGATAGGAATGAGCATAAAGACTGTGAGTATGCTAGTTCTTCATATCATATACTCCTCATGCATGCTTTTATACAGTCTCCACGACTTGTGATTGTTTTACGTTCCTTGCTGAGTCATGTTCAGCAATACGTTGGTCTGTTGGCTAGTTGGATTGAAATGCTGAATGCAACAATCCTTCCATGCAATGCATAGTCAATCAACATAGGGACAACAGGGAACCTACTCCTGATTTTTTTTTATTTCCAGTTATCTGTTTCTTCTTTATTCAGATTCTATGCTTTATGCCAACTGAAATAGATCACTCTAATCTTGTTTAGGTATTAATTATAAAATAGATGAGCTGTTTCTTTTCGGATAATTGAAGAAATTTTAACTTTTAGAATGGATGAAGATTTGTATAAAATATCTAAGTAGATAGTGTGATGTATTCCCAGGTGAACTCGCTGAGAGAATTTGGTGTCTTTACATCTTTCATGCTTGTGGCTCTCAAACGATACATGGAACATGTGATGCTTAATAGCTGAAATTTATAATGCTGGTCTTCAGTAAGGTTCCCTTTTCTTTTCTATATCTATTGCAGAAAATGGCATTTTAGTTACATATACTTGTATCTGGCCGGAGTTATATTTTATCTAAACTTTTGTTGTTAAATATCACGTATGGTGCTAGCTGTATGTAAATTTTAGCCAGGATTTTAAATACACAATCAAGATAAATTTTAGTCTTTCAAAATTCACAATGCATAAATTTGTTTGTCCCACTTTGTTATGATCAAGCATAAAGAGAGGTTGATTTGGGTATTGTAAGAAGCAAAACCTGAAAATTGGAACTTGTTTTAGAATTGACATGATCACATATTTATACCCTTCCCTCTCTTCTCTTCTCCTCTAGGGAAATGGTAAGAAATGAGAGAGGCTGCAAAGAGGTCCATTTTAGTGCGTAAAACAAAGGATAAACTCATATTTGGTTATGTACAGATTTGCTCTAAAATTTTCAGGATAAAAGCAATGTCCACTTCTCTATAGAGAAATTTCACCAAAAAAATCCGGGAAAATTGAAAAAATGTAAAATATTAGATTTTGCTACTGAAAATGGTCTTTTTTTTTTTTTTTTTTTTTCACTAGGATGAAAGTTATTATTGTTTTACTTTTTGTACAAAGAAAAGGGTGATCAAACTTATTATTGCATAAAGTATGGTGGTGCCTGTTTTTGTTACTATTTATTTTTAACAAGCATCTGTTATCTGCCCCACAAAAATATTTCACATCTTTGTGGGCCTTTATATAAAGTGAGACTAAACCTTTCTGGCCCTTTTTGCTTTCCTCCTTTCGGCACCAGAACAGTCAACCTTAGGCATGGACGGCATAAACTTTTTTGTCACAGCAAACCTAACCTTGCTTTCTCTCTCTCTCTCTCTTTTTCTTTACCTGTAGATGCTCCGAAAGTTTACCATTCGTAAACCAGAAGAGAAATCATAAATGATAAACACTATCAACTTTTTGGAAGGCTAGCCAATTCAAAAAGTGCTCATTAGTCATCACAGACATCACATCACTACTTTTTCCAAGTTGAGAAAATGGATGACCTAGGAATGATGGCAAAGCAAAGTGGAAAGAACTTTGGGTGATAATGATTCTGATTTCAGGCAAATGGGAAAATGCCATCTAACATCTCAGACAGTGATGTTTGCTGGTAGGTATTAGATGCATGAAACGCTCAATATTTCATACTATCTTTGAAACTATATATCTTATTGCCCTTATTGCTTTAACCTTGCAAGCTCTCCTCCTAAGAGTGGATTCATAGTTAGAAGTTAGGTAGGCGCTAGCATTGAAAATTCTGAAAATGCAAATCTTGAAGAAAATTCAGTTGAAGTGGGAAAAGAAAGTAGCAAACGATGGGTATGCTGTCAAACTTATCAGTGTACAAAGAAGCCCGACTTTGTGTTGCCGCTCAAGACCATATGTCTTGAAGCAGTTTGTTTTGAAGCTCAAGTCACAGTGGAGGCAAGCTTTGAGATTGCAAAGAAGCAGCATGCAGTTCAGTTATGACTTCCACAGCTATTCTCTGAACTTTGATGATGGGTTTTCCCATGAACATTTCATACTGAATTCAACACGATGAACTTTTGGCTCTCTTCTCCAAATAAGTACTACATCTGATTGTTTTCAGTTTTTTTTTTTTGGGGGGGGGGGGTGGAATTTGATGCGTAAATAAAGAATGTTTTACCATTTTATGTGTTTATTCGGTCTTCTGTTGGCTATAACTGTTGTCTGTTGTCGCCCCGTTGAATTTTCTATGATGACAGTTGTAATTAGTTTCAAAATCTGAGATGGTAGTAGTTTCAGAGCATGTATATTTTTTCCCTCAGTAAAATATAAGCAGAAACAGTCACGCATAGTGCAATATTCCTGATTCATTCCCAGCTTTCCCTGATCTTTTGGTTGCCGAAAGCAAAAAGCATTATCTGGGTTTAAACGTTTGGTATGATTGCATATTTTCCCCTGCTTCTGAGCTTAAGCAATGGTGTTGGCTTCATTCACAACTTCTCTAAGAGTTATGAATCCTGGAACCATCACTTAAATTTCTACGTTCAATTTCTAGGTATAAGAATATTTAATTGCATCCAAGCACGTATATTTTCTTTCTGAAGGAGTCTGCAAGAACAAGAAGGGAAAAAAGAAAAAATAAACTGGTATTGTAGCTACTGAAAGGTTATATTCACTGGCCAACCATCGATTCTTCTGCCCCACATCTGCTGTCAAAAAGATAAAAGAGACTGGTATTGTAGCTAAAATGACGCGTATTTGGCCCTTCCACTATCCACTGCTTTTTCTCTTTTTGTTGACGCCGAAACCAAGACATAAATCATCTATCTACTATTCCTCTACCACTTGTAAATTGTTTTAAGTAATGAATGAAATTCACAAAAAACTAGAACTCGCGAAGTTAATTTAAGGCATTTTTGTTGTTTTAGCCTTATCTTTGGTCTCGAGTATAAATGATTACTCCGTGTTTGATGGCAAGAATTGCGGTACATATCACTTCTTTATTGGCCCTGAAATAATTGAGAAAAATTCTTAAAAAGTACCTGGCACAGTATCAGATAGGGCATCCAAGGCTGAAAGAAGCTGTGCGGCTGAGCCTCTAATGAGTACATGCCAGGGTGAAAAATAAATGGTATAGAGGGAAGTGGGAACAACATGAGTTGGGCAGCATAATTTGACTTGCCTTTTGTTTGTCCACATGTTCATTAACCCTTAGCTAATATACTGTCTTCCATTTCAATAAATCATCATTCCATGTGATTTTTCAAACCCAGATCATGGCTCCAGTGCATACCCCACCTCCCATGTGACCCTTTTATCTGCCCTATCAACGTTCCAAATTCATCACCCTCTCTCTCCCCCCCCCCCCCCCCCCTCTTTCTCTCTGCAAAATGGCAAAAAAAACTCTGCTCATTTTAGCATTCACGAGCCTCTTCATAGGCCTAGCAGCCGCAGACTGGAACATTTTGGACCAAAAATGGAGAAAAGCAAGAAGAAATAGCCTGAAAAACTACTGTGAAAGTTGGAGGATCAATGTTGAGCTGAACAACATAAGGGAGTTCGAAGTAGTGCCCCAAGAATGTGTAGATTACATTAAGAAGTACATGATTTCATCACAGTACAAGGCTGACTCTGAGAGAGCAATTGAAGAAGTGACCTTATACTTAAGCAGTTGTTGCCCTTTCGAAAGTGATGGTAAAGATGCATGGATTTTCGATGTTGATGACACACTGATTTCTACTATTCCTTACTTCAAGAAACATGGTTTTGGGTAAGTTTATATCGAGATCATAAATATTTTTTTAATGCTGTTTTTGGTTATTGTATAGTATTTGAGCTAGTCCACTGTGCTGAGTATTGCCAGAGTTATGGTACCGCAGTTGTATATAATATTGTCAAGTGAATTTGGTTACATATGAATGTGCTGAACTAAATTCAATTGGTGATTGAAATTAAACCAGGGGAGAGAAGGTGAATTCAACTTCTTTGGAGGCATGGATGAAAGAGCGCAAGGCACCGGCTCTAGACCACACACTCAAGCTCTTCCATGAGATCAAAGATAGAGGAGTCAAAATCTTTCTAATCTCTTCAAGAAGGGAAACCCTTAGATCTCCTACTGTTGATAATCTCATCAATGTTGGATGCCACGGATGGACTAGTCTCATCTTAAGGTAAGCAACCTACCAAATTCCATCATTTTGCGGTGCTCATGGTATTTCCTTGCACTTTTCTCTGTAATTTGAGATCAAACTTTACCTCAAAAAATCTCTCGAACTGTAGTTGTAACTACTAATAGTTCAGCTGCCATTTCATAGCAAACATAGTTGCATCAACGCAGTTTAAGCCTTAAGGCTCTCCGAAATTGGCATTCTGTTTTGATTATCTTTGATTTTTTTTTTCCCTTGATCTGAATATTTTGTTTAACTCTGAATAAAGGAGTCTTGATGACGAATACATGCATGTGCAACAATACAAGTCCCAGGTGAGGAAAAGATTAGTGGATCAAGGGTACCGCATATGGGGAATCATCGGAGATCAATGGAGCAGTTTAAAGGGCCAGCCAGATGCGAAGAGAACATTCAAGCTTCCAAATTCCATTTACTACCTGTCTTAAAGCTTTTTCTGAATCAATTATATGCCTCATCTGTTGCATCCTAAATGTTTACAATCTACAGATTTGTCTTAATCCAATCAAATTAAACATTGGTTATTGTTATTATGGCATCCCATTTAATCTGCTTTGTATTTTCTCGTGGTTGTTCCAGTATCCAAAATAAAAAAATCAGTGATTAATATATGTTCAGATAGTTGATCAGACACTGGAATTCAGGAGGGTACAGATGAAACCAAAAACCATGGATGGTGCAGAAAATTGGAGCTCCATAGAGTTGTATAACCTCTTGCCATAGATGCTATAGCACCAATGAATTCACAACTCTCAATTTCAATCAACATTCAAGTCTAGTGAATCAAAGCTACTGGAAAATGAGAAACTCTGGCTTCACAATCTATAGAGAACATATACTTCCAGCAAGAAATTTCAGTGATTTATGTTCTATACAAAGCGTTTTATTCTTAGCTATTATTGCAGACATTTCTAGTAATCCAGTCATTGCCTTTGTTTATGCTTCTTTAAATGAGGATTTGAGCTATAAAAGTAGCTCTTGAGGACAGGATTTTGCCAATTCATCCAATACATATTGAGTTATGTGCGCTGCACAAAAGATAAGGAATCGTGGGGATCCTGGGGGATAACCATCAACTATTAGTGAGCAGAGCATCCCACTGGGAAAATGGCGAAATGACAAAAATCTAACTGCTAGACCCTTGTTTTGCTTTTTGATGCAAAGGTGGAAATTTGGTGGGGCAAGTGACTTCCATATGGGAAAGCACAATGCCATATCCCCAAGTACTGAAAGGGTAGTTATCCTATACTAAGAATAGGAGGGAGCCCACATTTTTGGTTTCCTGATAAGTAATCAAACATCCATATAACTTGTCTATTGCAAATAGTAGCTGAAACTATTAATGAAAACTACACTTCTGCATGCTGGAAACAATTAAAAGCTTGGCCCAAAATTATAGTCTTTCTGGTACCAATTCCATTAATGCTACGACTGAAGCATTCATCAAAGGCCAAGAGCAGCAAGTTGCTGAACTCAACTCGCATATATTCAACTGAAACAAGAGTTTTCCATTCGACCACCAAATAAGTGCCTAGAATCAAAATTGCAGTGAAGAAGGAAATTAAAAAAGCTATACATGAAAAAGGGTAAAATGAAACTTTTCTGGAAAGAGGCAGTTCTAAGATATCCCAGCAGGCATGGCTGATAGACGTAACTAAACAAGCAGTACAAGTTTCCTCACAAACACGTAGGAAAAAGCAAAGCTCTGAACAGACAAATTTCAAGCCTGAAAGCCATCCCCATTAAATTTTAGATTGTTGGATTTCTCTTGGCAAAACATGTTGTATTGGACCTCATACAAAGATTCCATCTAACATGCCAACCGCTATATCACACTGTCCTTTTTTTCTTTGCCATTAACGACCACTGGAGAGTTTGATTTATTTTGTTAATTGTGCAAAAAAAAGAAAAGACAATTAAAAGAAACAAAATCCTATGGAAATAGAATACCTAATTCTTGGTGTTCTTTGATTGTCCTGTCTTGATATAATTTGTCAGTTAAGCAAACTAAAGAACCATCCTTCTTTTGACACGTGTCAACTAAAATTCTCATGGACCATGTTTCTGTCTGAGAAGCCACATCCAAGAAACTCTCCCAAAATAATTAAAAAAAAGAAAGAAAAGGCTTTAAAATTAAAAAACCAAAAGCAAGAAGAAGAAGAAGAAAATGCAGAAGCCCATTTGTCGTTTTAGCAACTGAAAGACCACGTCTCTCTCTCATCACATGAGCAAAACTAATGCCCACGTGCTACCCATCAGATATTTGCCCACCTACCTATCGTAATCCTCCACGTCTACAATATGTGGACCCCACTGCCAATTCCAGACACTGTTCTACAAATATATTCCATTCCCTCTCCAGAGAGGTTGCGAACACGCGCCACGAATGGCTCGTGAGCCCAATCACTGTTTGTTTCTTATTAGCTTCAGGGCCGGAAAGGGCCAAAATGAAGGGCCAAAAGCTCTCTTCGTCACCGTTCACTTCCTTGTTGGGCCAACGCCGCCGACGGAATTAAAAAAAAAAATGCCTATGATTCTATAATAGTTTCCCCCATAATCCCGAATTTTGGATTCGATTCTCTTTGGTGGGTTTTCAATCCTGTGAGGTTTCTATCAAGTTTTTAGGTAAGAATCGTTGTACCCGTTTGCTTGTTTTTGCTTAATTTCGCTTTATTTAGAGGTAAAAAATCTTAAATTTAGTGTTTTCTATTTAATGAAGTTTCAGTTAAATTTAATGCTTTTTCAAGATGTTTAAGGTTGTAATTGAATTAGGTTGTCTCTGTTTTTTGGGGATGTTTATGTCATTCAATTGATGCTTTGCATGTTGGGATATATGAATTTTTTTTCTGCGAATTTCACATTTTCAATTGATAGGTGAATTTCTTTTTTTTTTTGGTTTTTCTGATGTTTGATTTTTGGAGCTTTTTATCACTGTTTTGGTGGAATTTTGGGCATGGTGATTATATTTAAAAGCTTTGGATTTTTTCTTTTTGTGAAAAATCTAGTATTTTGACATAAATTGAACGGAGCTCGGGCTCACTGACACACACACTTATATGTATATGTACATGTATATGTATATAGCTCTAGAAAAGGTAGGATTGCTTAAAACATTTATTTAGCCAAGTTCTAGATGTATGAGATAAGTTTATTTGACTCAAAAGTTTGTTTTTATAAGAAGGGCTGACAAAGTAATGGTCTGAACGCATGTGAGCACTTTTTTCTTCTTCCTGTTGTTCTGTGCATCTTAATTTTGGAACCAGTGTTTCCTAAGAGTTTTCTGGGGTTGGTGTTTTTCGTATACATCAATCTCTTTATTTATTTATTTATTAGATAATGTTAACTGATGCCAAAAGTTATGACCTTTCCTTGTGGGCATTTGCAAGCACAAACAAGGGTGCTTTCTGGAGCTTTTATTGGTTCGTCTGCAACAGTATGAACTGTGCCAGTTAAGCTAATATTGATTGACCAAACAATTGACACCCTCATTTTTAATTTAAGGACAACTATGGAGGCACGACCTGCTATATCAATTGAGAGATCAGGTGCAAGGCAGCTTAGTAAGCTGGGGGTGTCTGGAGGATTGACATCATCTTTACCAGCCCTTTCAACGCATTTGGAAGAGACATATCAAAAGTTGCCTGACACTCAACAGGTGTCTGCAGAAAGGGAACTGATGACAAGGCCTCTAGTACATGCTACTCGTATACCCACCAATTGTGGGGTGGTTGGTCACATATTTTCATCATCCTCTGGATTTTCGAGTGATCTTCATTACTCATCTGCATCACAACATGAAAAGCATTCAAGAAATGCTCCTGTCATTTCTCAGTCACCAACTAATGCTGCAGCTTTGCCATTATCTCATTTGTCAAATCCAACGCTGCCTCAATCTACAATATCAAGTCATTACAATAAAGAAAATAGTGGTTCTTGGTGCACAGATCCGGGTTTTCTTGATTTTCCCGTAAGCACCCCTGTCCAAAGCAGTCAAGTAGAAAGCAACAGTTGTAGTGGTATCATCACATCAGAGGACTTCAGCAAACGAAATGATTGGCAGGAATGGGCAGACCAGCTTATCACTGATGATGATCCATTGGCCTCCAATTGGAATGAGCTTCTTGTTGACAATATTATCGATCTGGAACCAAAGGTGTGGATTTTTTCATGAAGATTAATCTTCATCACATAAACTTAATATTTTTTGTCATTTTTTATCTTTGTTCCATATTCCCTTCTTGTTGCTTCAGATGCTATATCAGGTGGCAAAACCATGCACAACCATACCTGCACAGAAACCCCAAGTACATCAGCAGCATCCTTCTCCATCTGTAGAAAGTCGGAGTGTTGCAAACCCATCTTCATCAGCAAATAATGCCCCTGCAAAGCCACGAATGCGATGGACACCAGAACTTCATGAAACCTTCGTTGAGGCTGTCAACCAACTGGGAGGCAGTGAAAGTGTGTAACTTCCGGCTCTCATGAAATTGCTTGCCAAAAATTGTTAGGCTTATGTTTCAATTTGTTTGGTATTTTCAACTTACAGGAGCTACTCCAAAGGGGGTGTTGAAGCTTATACAAGTTGAAGGCTTGACTATTTATCATGTTAAAAGTCACTTGCAGGTACATACACTTCTCTTGTAATTATTAAATAATTTGCGTCTGTATGTGTGCTCAAAGGCACTGGTTAGATTATCCTTTTAACTGGAGATATCACTCTGTTAACTGTAGAAATACAGGACAAATAGGTACAAACCAGAGTCATCAGAAGGTATCTGTCAAGCTCCCTTCAAGTTTCTTCCCTTTTCCTATTTGTGTTACTTCTCTGCAGGCACACATCTAGTGCCTGTTTTGCTTTATTGGAAAATAATTTTTTGAAAGGGTGGTTCATTCCTTGATACTTGTTCCAATATTTTCTCATAGTGACTTATGTTGGGGTTGAGGGGGATTGTTGAGAGCTACATAGTCCATCTTGTCATCATCAATGAAGTGATCATTTTTTTTTTTTTCATCATTTGGTTTAGTTGGTTCCAGAATCTCTAGCTGTCCGGTGAAAATGTATGATGCATGTCTATCGTGCACTCAATAATCCTAGCCACACATACTGATGTATTAGAGATCATAGCAATGTATTTTGATGGATGGATTGTTGAGACTTGAGAGGTGTATGGTCCATCTTGTCCTCATTAATGAAGTGGAGATCAATTTTTCTTCATTTTGATAAACCAGTTCCAGAATCTTCAGCTGTGCAGTGAAAATTTTTTTCTTCATTCGCTCACTTATTTCCATCCTTAATTTATCCATGAAAGTGGTTATCTTTGTAGTTGGCATTGATACTTTGTCATTTTCAGTTACTTCAGTTATTGGATCATAACAGATTTAAGTGACTTATATTATGTATATTGGATCTTCAATAATTCTCAATGTCAGATTGGGGGCATCACTATGTGTCTAGCTGAAAAAATGACTCTTGCTTGCAGGATCCTCAGAGAAAAATTTGACTCCTATGGAAGAAATATCATCTCTGGACTTGAAAATGTGAGTAATTTCTAATGAGTTGTCAAGGATTATGTTTATGTGTTTTTCTGGCTTAGAGGATTGCATGATTTATTGTTTGAGCATCTGGTTTCACACTTTGCTGGCTTTCATAAATTCTGATTAGTGTACTTAGTAATTATCCGGACCTTTGTTGTTATAAATGAGTTGGATGCTGCCATTCCTAATGGGGAAATATCACCTTTTAAGAATATGGTTAGTGACACAAGGCAAGGGTCTTCTAAAATTTGCAGGAACTCTACTAATTGGAAAATAATTCATGTTCAAATCTTGCAAACCATCTGCTAAGCTCATTATATGGAAAATGCCTATCTGAAACCATGAAAGGGATGGTTGATGGGTCCATTAGTTCATAGTTCAGTTCCCTTAACTGGTGCTGATTGTGCATCAAATCTTAGGTGATGTTTAAGTTGTGGCACAAATAAGTTTGTCATGTGCTTAAAAAAAAAATGTTTGCCATGAGTGTTTCTTGGTAATTCTATTTGGTGGGGAGATGAACGTGACACCCCCAATCCTACATTGGAAAAATGCATGGATATGGTATGATATATATGTAGAAATCTAAACCTAAACCTGTGAGATGGTTTTTGTGAGATAAAACTGTGAATTTTTTAGTCAAAGCGGACAGTACCTCCAAGTTGGGTGCGGATCTCTACAAATTGTATTAGAGCTGTTACCGGTCGACGGAAACTAAATGCTACATAATGGGGAGTCACCTCTAGAATCCCAACGTCTGGTGTAATCTTGGTCTTGCAATTGGACTTGGCTTGACAAGGACGTCAAGATTTAAAGGTGGGGAGATTGTGATGTTCCTAATCCACATTGGAAGAATGTGTAGATATGGTATGATATATATGTAGAGATCTAAACTTAAACCTGTGAGGTGCTTTTTGTGAAACAAAACCGGAATACTTTCGAATCAAAATGGATAATACCTTGCAAGTCGGGTACTAGTCTCCACAATGAAGCTACAAAATTTACAGTTTTTTTTCCTATTTTGTTGTTGCATTTGCAAAGATTTGATTATAGAAGATTCCTAATGGAATCCTTAATGAGCAACATACCTAATATTCAAGGTCTAATGAAGCTTCACTGTGTTGATTTGCTTAATTTAGTTTATCATATTAAATGAATTGTTCATTTTGAACTGGAACAGGGGTATGGGGATCACTGAAGCTTTGCGGTTACAGATGGAAGTCCAGAAGCAGCTGCATGAACAGCTTGAGGTATGAATTTGTGTCAGAATGGATTTGGGGGCATAAAAGTAGCATACTTTGTACTTAAATAAATCCATCTTGAAATATGCCTAGGAATCAGAGAACAGGAAATCTTTTTTTCTCCTTATAACTAGTAGAAATTATGTTTCTGGTGTGCTCTCATTAAAATGCATGGCTTCAGAATTTGAACCTCGACAAACTGATTTTAATTGTTCGGGGAAGCTGGGAGCATCTGCTGAGTATTTGCAGATTGAGGGGATATGATACCATAATCCTATTGGATTAAGGGCATTTAAAGAAACTGTTTTCCTTGGAACTCTTTTAACTTGGATATTATGCTAATTTAGGCATTTTAGACAAGGGTGTCATTGTTGCTAAGATATCACATCACACATATGTGGCTGTTGCATTTGATAAATCACTTTCTTTGTTGTAGTTTTTTTCAGCAACAACTTTGAGGGAATATATGTGCCCTGGCTTGATTACCATCAGGCAATGAAATGTGCTTAATAATTCTTAGAATGAAGACTGGCCATCTGAAATATATTTAGTAGGATAGTGGCTTTTGCTGATTTAAAGTTAAAAGACAGATTGGCTTAAGCAGTGAACTGATTACTATCACTATGTAATGCATCAATTATGCCTTGTGGAGGTCTGCACCATTATGGTCAAAGTTCTCAACGAACCCATCACTCATTGATGTTTCAGTTTTTTCTCTGGTGCCTGTTGGTGTAATGTTTATATCTTTCCTGATTCTGCAGATTCAAAGAAATTTACAGTTGCGAATAGAAGAAGAAGGGAGGCACCTCCAAATGATGTTTGAGAAGCAAAAGTCAGGTTTAGACAAGCTGAAGGTGTCACCTTCTAATCCAGAGAATCCACCTGCTGCTTCAGATGCTACCAAAGAGACTCCTGCAAAAAGTGAACTGGAAGCCTCCCAGATGGATCATGTAAATTCAGGAACTGACAATGTTAATGCAAAGTCCATGTTGGCGAGAAGTTCACAAGAAATGGGTGGAGAGCAAAAGGCACATGAAAATGGTGATCTTGAGAGAGCCAAAATCTGTGTTTCTGAATCGAGTTCACAACACTCAAAGCGTCCAAGAATGGAAGAATAAGTTATAATGGCTTTGAACTGATTAGCATAAATATTTCATGGATGATTTTAGTAGTAGGATACCCAAGTTGAGATAGGGATAAAGCTTTTGAAGTTTCAAGGCCCTCTCCCCCCCTTGTTATGTCCTTGTGGACAATTGCTTAAGCACTCTGATACTTGGGTCATAAAACAAAAGCTTATAAGAAGGTTGAGTTTGATTTTCCAGTTTCCAAACTCCTGAAGTGAAAATGAAGATGCATTAAATACTGGCTGCACAAATTGCATTATTTATTCCAGTGAAGGTGTCCCATTTTTTGGAATATAGTTGTCTTAAATAAAATTCCTTCTCCTAGATTTGTACATGGCCTTACTGACATCCTGCTTGGTACCCACCTGTCACCTCACAACATCCTATATGCTATATATATTATATCTGTTAGTATTTCCATCGTCAGAACGAAAATAACGACTTTTTTTCCAGTGTATCTGTGGATGTACATGAAATAAAATAAATGACATTGACCCCTTGAATATTTCCAGCATTTATTATCCTGGAATATTATTCTGATTTCTGGATATATAAGAAAGGAATTTTTGGATAAACTGATAGAAGCTGCTCGGGCAGGAATGCAAAGCTAAAGGAACAGGGAATACCTTGAAGTGCTGCTACGGTGAAAGAAACAAAGAAATGGATAATAAAGAGCAAAGGCTTGTCTTCCAAGATGATTTAAGCTCTTCCTGCCATTAATGTTTCTGATACAAGCAGTGCTGGTCTTGAGAATAATATAATTAAGCCGTATCAAATCAGCGGCGTGACTGAACTGGCCACCATGGTTAAATCTTTCCCAGGAAAAGGGTACTCCTCTGTTTCAATTTCAAGTAGGAATTATGATTATTTAGCTAATACTATTGGTTTAACTATGGACTCAAGAACTAGTTCTCCTGTAAGAAAACTGACCAGAGATTAGAGTAGGTCGAAGTTTATATTAAAGTTAGTTGGCTTGTTGTGTATCGGATGATGGTGCTTCCATGCTGCTTTTCGACACACTATCTGAAACTGCCGAGTTTGCGAGGAGGTGGGTATCATTTTGCAAGACGCATAATGTCGAGCCTAGGGCACCTGAGTTTTATTTCTTCGAGAAGATAGATTACTTGAAAGGCAAGGTGCATCCTAGCTTTGTAAAAGAACGCAGAGCCATGAAAGTAAGTTGCCAAACTCGCTGTTCACTTTTTTTTTTTTTTTGATACGAAGTACCAATGTCCCTCATCGTGTTAAAACAAGTAAGTTAACGAGGGTTTAAAATATTTTGCCTATGGTTTACTGTAGAGGGAATATGAGGAATTTAAAGTGAGGATCAACCACTGGTTGCAAAAGCTCAGAAGAAACCAGAAGGATGGGTGATGCAGGATGGCACCCCATGGCCTGGAAATAACGCACGTGATCATCCTGGAATGATTCAGGTAATTTGATAACAGCATCAAATGTTGATTTATCCCTGAAAATATTTAAGACCAAGTCATAGTGGAACTTGAAAGTTACTTGCTTTACAGGTATATCTAGGGGTTGCCGATGCACTTGATGTGGATGGCAAGGAGCGGCCTCGGCTTGTGTATGTATCTTGTGAGAAACGGCCCAGTCATCAGCACCACAAGAAAGCCGGTGCCATGAATGCTCCGGTGAGTACTGTTTAGTCTCTAATTTCTTGTTTGTTTCGTTTGTGAGATCAAAAAGTAGTAAATGATTTTTTGCTCTTGTTTGATCATGGATGTCATTGCCTGGTTCGAGTCTCTGCAGTGCTTACTAATGCATCCTTCATGTTGAATCTGGATTGTGATCACTACATCAACAACAGCAAGACCCTAAGGGAAGCTATGTGCTTTTTAATGGATCCCCAGTTTGGAAAGAAGCTTTGCTATGTTCAATTTCCTCAGAGGTTTGATGGTATCGATCGTTACAATAGATATGCTAATCGCAATGTTGTCTTCTTCGATGTAAATCATAGTACAGAATATGACTTTGTTTGCTTTTTTTTTTTTTTTCATTTTGATTTTGAAAAGTGGTAACTAATTCTACAATGCCGTTTTTGGTTATAGATCAACATGTTAGGGTTAGATGGGCTTTAAGGCCCTGTATATGTAGGTACACGGTGTGTCTTCAACAGGCAGGCACTTTATGGCTATGACCCACCAGTCTCCGAGAAGCGACCAAAGATGACATGCGACTGCTGGCGTTCATGTTGTTGCTGTTGCTATGGAGGATCAAGGAAAAAGTGAAAGAAGAAAGAAGAGAAAAAGAGCTTACTTGGAGATCTTCTACACACCAAGAAGAAGAAAATGATGGGAAAGAACTATGTTAGAAATAGATCTGCACCAGTCTTCGATCTTGAAGAGATTGAAGAAGGGCTTGAAGGATACAAGGAATTTGAGAAATCATCACTAATGTTACAGAAGAGTTTTGAGAAACGCTGTCGGCTAACACCAGTCTTCATTACTTCAACTCTGATGCAAAATGGTGGTCTTCCTGCAGGCACTAATTCCACATCACTTATAAAGGAGGCCATTCATGTAATTAGCTGTGGCTATGAAGAGAAAACAGAGTGGGGCAAAGAGGTGAGTAATATTATAACGAGCCCCTTGTCCCTGTATACATACTATTGTAATCCTAGAAACTTGAGGAGATTACTGACGGTGAAAATTATTTGCTTCAGAGATTGGATGGATTTATGGGTCTGTAACGGAAGATATTCTAAGAGGTGTTAAGATGCACTGTAGAGGATGGAAGTCAGTTTACTGTGTACCAAAAAGACCAGCATTCAAAGGGTCAGCTCCAATCAATCTATCTGATCGTTTGCACCAAGTTCTGAGATGGGCTCTTGGTTCTGTAGGAATTTTCCTCAGTCGTCACTGCGCACTTTGGTATGACTATGGTGGAAAACTGAAATGGCTAGAGGCTTGCTTGCATGAACACCATCGTTTATGCTTTCACTTCGATACCTTTACTCGCCTATTGTACTATTTCCAGCTGTTTGTCTCCTGACTGGAAAATTCATAATCCCAACTGTAAGTATTATGGAGATTGCTTTGTAAAACCTTCTGAAAGTGATTGATTAATTAGGCCATGAAAATCTGATTTTGATTTGCTTCGAGGTGCGTACCTGGTTTGTCTTTGGCATGTACAACTATATAAAAAGGAACAGAGAATAGGCCAATAGAATCTTGAGAATTTTTATTCCAAGAACCTTATTCTTTAATCTTGACCATTTTGTTTTATTTGCAGCTGAACAACTTTACAAGTGTATGGTTCTTGGCACTTATCCTTTCCATCATAGCAGCTGGTGTGCTTGAACTTCGATGGAGTGGAGTTAGCATCCAAGACTGGTGGCGCAATGAACAATTCTGGGTTATTGGTGGTGTCTCCGCACATCTTTTTGCTGTCTTCCAAGGCCTGCTCAAAGTCCTTGATGGAGTTGACACCAACTTCACTGTAACAGCAAAAGCCGCAGATGATACTGAGTTTGGTGAGCTTTACCTCTTCAAATGGACCACTGTCCTAATCCCTTCAACAACTCTAATAAAATTGAATATGGTGGGAATCGTGGCTGGGGTGTCTGATGCAATTAACAATGGTTATGGTTCATGGGGTCCCTTGTTTGGAAAGCTATTCTTCGTCTTCTGGGTCATTCTGCACCTCTATCCTTTCCTCAAAGGTTTGATGGGAAGGCAAAACCGGACTCCAACCATTCTTGTGCTGTGGTCTATACTTCTAGCATCAATTTTCTCACTGGTCTGGGTTCGGATTGATCCTTTCTTGCCCAAGCAAACAGGTCCAGTCCTGTGGAGTGGATTGTTGATCATGCCTTTCTGGTCCTTACAATGTCATTATTTCTTTTTGGCTGTATGCCACTATTGATAGCTTTGATTCTCCAAATGTTTTGAACCTTTTTGAAGGGATTTATATTTGTATATATAGTCTCTTTGGTTGGTAATGCAAGAAAGAGCATCAATGATCACTTATTTCATACATTATACAACATAATATTCAAAATTTCATTGCAATCATATGTCAATAATATTTTTTTCTTTGTTAGATTTTGATTTCTTTTTTTATTTTTTGATTAATCATTTTTACTCAGTAATTACTCAAACTACCCAAACTTTGCACCAAAAGCAACAAGAATACCAACACCGGCCTAGATTTATAACAGGGTGCCCGGCCTAGGTTCAGCAACGGACACCTCTTCCAGCTATGTGACTTTTGGAGCTCAATCCAAATCCTAACATTCTCATTTACTGGCCACTAACCCTCTAAAACACAGAAATAAACACTCTAGTGCAACTTCTTAAGTGGCATATATAATAGAAGCCTCCTAACTCCCTATGGCACCAGGATTCGATTGGCACTCTGCCTCCTCCAAGTTGAAACTTGCTGGTTTGTTCCGTACCTTTATACTCTTTAGGCCAGCCAGCATGCTAATTGTTGTCGTTCCCAATGGTTCATCCAGGCAAGCCTGGCTTCCCGCTGACAGTTCTTGCGCCACAAAATGAATGGGAGGTCGTGACTCTGGTGTGACACGAGCACAAGCTAAGCCCACAGCCACTACAAAAACAACATCCATTGCAATTTGTCCCGTCGGCGGTGGAAGTCGTTGGTCTAGCACATCCATTAGAAACAATTTTTGGTTGTTTGATGACAATGGTGTTGACAATGAACTCAAAAGCTCCCCTGGGTGCTTTCCCAGCATAAGCTCTAATGCTACCACGCCAAAGCTGTAAATATCACATTTTTCTGTGATTCGCATTGAGAGTGCGAGCTCTAAAGAAAACAAAGTTAGTCACCTATTAAAGAGAATAAGGAAAAACAAAAGTCATGAAAACTAAAGCCGTTAAAACATTATTCCGAGAAAGGAATTAATTAAACAATTAACTAACCTGGCGCAATGTAGCCATAAGACCCAACAACTAAGGTCCAATTGGATGAATTTGGGTTCAACAATCTCGCAACGCCAAAATCTGAGAGTTTTGGCTCACAATCTGACTCGAGCAAAATGTTATTCAAAGATATGTCTCGGTGTATAATTGGTGGAGAACAGTCATGGTGCAAGTAAGAAATGGCATGAGCCAGTCCCTGCACAATTTTCAACCTTGTAGGCCAGTCCAGGGCCTCCTCACCCTCGTATAACACGCTTCTCAAACTACCCTTCTCCACATATTCGTAGACCAGGTACATAAGCTCCTTACTAGAATAGAACCCGTATAACTTGACGATGCTTCGATGCCTAACTTTTATCATCATGCGAATCTCGTTCTCAAAAATTTGATTGATGACTTGAATGTCCTCGGACATGTTAAGTTTTTTAACCGCAACCACCTGACCTGTGCGCAATAATGCTTTATAAACATGTCCAGAGCCTCCTTTTCCGAGGCAGAGCTTGTCATCGAAGTTCTCTGTTGCTTTTACAACATCACTGAACGTAAATTTTACATTTCTTTCCCATATAATTGAAACAGAACTGTCACCTCCTACGAGCTTCAGTTTCCTCGTCGAGCAATCGGCTTCGCTGATAACATATGAGAACTCCAACGACGATTAGTGCCACAAACAATAGGCCTGCGACAGAAACACTGATGCCAATAAGAGCCCTACTGTTGTAATTTCTGGACCCACTGGAAGTTGATTTGCAACGAGTTAGTTCTTCAAAATCTCCACACAAATCTGAGTTTCCCACAAAAGCTTTTCCTGAAGCATTTAGGAACACACCATCACTTGGAACGGGGCCAGCCAAGTCATTGTAGGAGAAATCGAATGAACAGAGAGTAATCATCTTGGAAAATGAAGTAGGGAATCTGCCTGAGAGATGGTTATGTGAAACGTTGAGATTCTCCAACAACATAAGCCTATCTAGGTCTCGAGGTATATCTCCTGAGAGTAAATTGCTGCTGAGATCCAAAAAAATTTGCAAATGAAATAAGCTACCCAACTCAGATGGTATTTCGCCCGATAATTTGTTGTGGCTCAAATTCATGCTTATTAAATTGCCACAATTGGCAAGCACTTTCGGTATTGTTCCTATCAATTTGTTCTCTGACAAATCGAAGGTACTGTAAATTCAGTAAATCGCCCACACTCTGAGGGATGTCACCTGTGAGATAATTCCGCCTAAATTTGAGTTTGATCAGCGTGCTTAAATTACCCAGATGAGAAGGAATTTGCCCAGTAAACAGATTGTCACTCAGATCAACAAAGAATAGATTAGCATTAATTGCAAATGCATTCGGGATGTTAACCGTAAACAAATTCCCTTTTACAGAGAAATATTCAAGAGCAAAGCCACTACACAATTCAGCCGGTAATTCTCCAGAGAAGCCGTTGTTTGAAAAGCTCATACTAAACAACCGAGGGCTATTCTTCCCAAAATCCCGAGGAATGCTACCCGAGAAATTATTAGTGGACACGGAGAACGCTATTAGGTTGGTGATGTTAGAAACTGTGTCCGGTAATTCCCCATGCAAGAGGTTTGTGTTGACATCAAAGAGACTGCAAGGATGTCATATTTCCAACCTCTGGTGGAATTGTGCCGTTAAGATAATTATCGAAAAGCTGTAAACCTTCAAGGTTTGAAAGACTCCATATAGTTGGAGGAATTGGACCCGTAAGCTGATTTTCAGAAAGGTCCAAAATTGTCATGGTATTCAAGTTTCCAATCTCTGAAGGAATTGAGCCGGAGAGTTTATTTTTATAGAGAAAGAGGATGAGGAGCTTTGACAATAGGCCTATTTCTTGTGGGGATAGACCCCGTGAATAAATTGTTTTGAAGTTGCAAATGGATCAAGTTGGTCCAATTAGAAATGAGAGATGGTGGGATCTCGCCGACGAGAGAATTTTCAGAAAAACCCAACTCAGTTATTTTTGTGAGTTGAGACAATGACATAGGCAACTCTCCACTCAGTTGATTCTCTGCTAATACCAAAAAGGTGAGGTTAGTACAGGAACCAAGCTCCGAAGGGATCGTAGAATTTAAGCCATTTGAGCGGAGATCAAGTTTCTTGAGCGTTCTTAGTTGGCCTAAAGATGATGGAATCTTCCCTTCAAACGAATTTTGAAACAATTCAATAGTTTCAACATTAGACATGGTTCCTATACTGTCAGGAATTGAACCATTTAACAGATTGGTTCCAAGTCGAAGACCTATGAGTTTGGACAGCTTGGAAATGTTTGATGATAATGGTCCTTCAAAGGAATTACTAGAGAGATTGAGGTACTCAAGCTTGCTCAGATTGGTGTACAATGATTCTGGTATTGGACCAATCAAGCTATTCAGTGACAAGTCTAGGGAAGTAAGATTATGACAGTTGAGTATAAATTGAGGGAATTCCAATTGAAGTTCATTGTAAGCTAAGCTGAGGTGTGTCAACAAAGGCATGGCCAAGAAATCGGACGAGTCAAAAGAAACAAAGTAGTTATATCCAAGGTCAATGTACCTTACTTCTGGGAGATTGCTAACTTGAGGAGGAATGGTACCACTGAGATTGTTGTTGAACAGACTCAGATATTGAAGCTCTGTTAGACGACCTATCTACGATGGTATGGTTCCTCCAAAAGAATTGTTGCTCAAGTCCAAGACAAGGAGTTTGGACAGAGAACCAATTTCGGACGGTATTGGCCCTCCCAATCCGTTATTCGAGAGGTCAAAGCCCGTGAGATTGGCAAATGGAGTGAAATTGAATTGAGCAATGGAACCAGACATGTTTGCATTGAAAGGCTGATTTCGGACACTGTTCCAGTGCCATCGCAGGTAATGGAAGTCCAGTTGCAGAGGTTGTTGAGATTGGAAAGGGACCAAGAATTGAGAGAAGGTGGCGAAAAAAGCAAGCTGTTCTTCCATAGGACGAGTGCTTCCGCTTGTGTTCTTGCTGAACATGAGATCTTCAATGGAAGTAAAGAAAGCAAAACAATATGGAAGAGAACAAGACAGGGATTTCTAAAAGTTGACATGCTTTAGTTGCTGAGAATTTAGTAATTTAAGTTTGGGGTTTAGTTTGGAACTTCAGATGATGAAGTTTCTTATAGATAGGAGGAGAAGGGCATATATTTCCATGCCGTAAACATTCAATTTCCAAATCTTCTTCTTGGTTGCCATAAATTGGTCTACCAGTGGTAGTATTTGATTGGGAAATTTGCCCTTTGCCACTCAATAAAAGCGTGTAGGCCACAGCACTGACCCAGTTGACGAGTTGACGTTAAGGCATTGATTTTTAACATGCATGGATTACATTTTTAAAATTATAAGTACAAGAAGACTTACCACTATCATCAATTATTAGATTTATATAACATATATGATTAATTAATCAATTAATAAATTAAAATAAATTATAATATAATTTGACAATCAAACCCTCAAACAATGTAATTTGAATATTAAAATATCAAATTTCTAAAATTTCCTCTTACCATTGAATAATTCATTGACCTATTCTTTTGGTCTTAATTCCATGTTCAACATTTTCCAAGCTACCCCACCTTTGTGCGTTTCCAGTAACTTTTTCTGACAAAATGGGAGGGAGATTATATTAATCTGTAACAGGTATTAGCCAATTCTTAGGTATGCCTCACGTGAACTTTTACTTGTAAAGTACTCTAGATTTAGGTTCAACTATCATCAAGTGTGAGTTTTGTCTAATTACACGTTGATTTATTGGTTGTTGATTTGGTCTAATTTTTTATTGATTTACTGGTTGTTGATTTAATTTGATTATTGATTTTTTTTATATATATTACAAATTATTTCATTATGATTATAATTTCTAATCATACATTACATGGAGATTAAAAAAAATTGAATAATTATTTTAATTTTTCAATTTTTGCTTTTCTTAATGGCACAAGCAAACAGGTCCAGTCCTGTGGAGTGGATTGTTGATCATGCCTTTCTGGTCCTTACAATCTCATTATTTCTTTTTGGCTGTATCCCACTATTGATAGCTTTGATTCTCCAAATGTTTTGAACCTTTTTGAAGGGATTTATATTTGTATATATAGTCTCTTTAGTTGCTAAGGCAAAAAAGAGCGTCAATGATCACTTAATTCATACATAATATAACACATTACTTATTCAAAATTTTATTGCAATCATATGTCAATGATATATTTTTTTCTTATTAGATTTTGATTTCATTTTTTTTAATTTTTGATTAATCACTTTTACTCAGTAATTACTGAAACTACACTTAAATAATTAAACCCAAACTTTGCACCAAAAGCAATAAGAATACCAACACCGGCCTAGATTTATAACAGGGTGCCCGGCCTAGGTTAAGCAACGGACACCTCTTCCAGCTATATGACTTTTGGAGCTCAATCCAAATCCTAACATTCTCATTTACTGGCCACCAACCCTCTAAAACACACAAATAAACACACTAGTGCAACTTCTTAAGTGGCATATATAATAGAAGCCTCCTAACTCCCCATGGCACCTGGAATCGATTGGCACCCTGCCTCCTCCAAATTGAAACTTGCTGGTTTGTTCCGTACCTTTATACTCTTTAGGCCAGCCAGCATGCTAATGGTTATCGTTTCCAATTGTTCATCCAGGCAAGCCTGGGTTCCTGCCGACATTTCTTGCGCCACAAAATGCATGGGAGGTCGTGACTCTGGTGTGACACGAGCACAAGCTAAGCCCACAGCCACTACAAAAACAACATCCATTGCAATTTGTCCTGTCGGAGGTGGAAGTCGTTGATCTAGCACATCCATTAGAAACAACTTTTTGTTGTTTGGTGACAACGGTGTTGACAATGAACTCAAAAGCTCCCCTGGGTGCTTTCCCAGCATAAGCTCTAATGCTACCACGCCAAAGCTGTAAATGTCACATTTTTCTGTGATTCGCATTGAGAGTGCAAGCTCTAAAGAAAAAAAAGTTAGTCACCTATTAAAGAGAATAAGGAAAAACAAAAGTCCTGAAAACTAGAGCCGTTAAAACATTATTCCGAAAAAGGGATTAATTAAACAATTAACTAACCTGGCGCAATGTAGCCATAAGACCCAACAACTGAGGTCCAGTTGGATGAATTTGGGTTCAACAACCTGGCAACGCCAAAATCTGAGAGTTTTGGCTCAAAATCTGACTTGAGCAAAATGTTATTCAAAGATATGTCACGGTGTATAATTGGTGTAGAACAGTCATGGTGCAAGTAAGCAATTGCATGAGCCAGTCCCTGCACAATTTTCAACCTTTTAGGCCAGCCCACTGCCTCCTCACCCTCGTATAACACGCTTCTCAAACTACCCTTCTCCACATATTCGTAGACCAGGTACATAAGCTCCTTACTAGAATAGAACCCGTATAACTTGACGATGCTTCGATGCCTAACTTTTATCATCATGCGAATCTCGTTCTCAAAAATCTGATTGATGACTTGAATGTCCTCGGAGTCTGACATGTTGAGTTTTTTAACCGCAACTACCTGACCTGTGGGCAACAATGCTTTATAAACATATCCAGAGCCTCCTTTTCCGATGCAGTGCTTGTCATCGAAGTTCTCTGTTGCTTTTACAACATCATTGAACGTAAATGTTACATTTCTTTCCCATACAATTGAAACAGAACTGACACACCTCCTACGAGCTGCAGTTTCCTCGTTGAGCAATCGGCTTCGCTGATAACATATGAGAACTCCAACGACGCTTAGTGCCACAAACAATAGGCCTGCGACAGAAACACTGATGCCAATAAGAGCCCTACTGTTGTAATTTCTGGACCCACTGGGAGTTGTTTTGCAACGAGTTAGTTCTTCAAAATCTCCACACAAATCTGAGTTTCCCACAAAAGCTCTTCCTGAAGCATTTACGAACACACCATCACTTGGAACGGGGCCAGCCAAGTCATTGTAGGAGAAATCGAAAGAACGAAGATTAATCATCTTGGAAAATGAAGTAGGGAATCCACCTGAAAGATGGTTATGTGAAACGTTGAGATTCTCCAATAACATAAGCCTATTTAGGTCTCGAGGTATATCTCCTGATAGTGAATTGCAGCTAAGATCCAAAAACAAAAACATAAGAAATAAACTACCCAACTCAGATGGTATTTCGCCAGATAATTTGTTGTGGCTCAAATTCATGCCCATTAAGTTGCCACAATTGCCAAGCTTCTTGCGGTATTGTTCCTATCACATTTGGTTCTCTGACAAATCGAGGTACTGTAATTCAGTAAATTGCCCACACTCTGAGGATGTCACCTGTGAGATAATTCCGCCTCAAATTGAGTTTGATTCAGCCGTGCTTAAATTACCAAGGGCACTTTCGTATTCTCTAATCAATTTGTTCTCTGACAATCAGAGTTACTGTAAATACAGTAATTGTCCCCACACTCTGAGCGGATGTTCACTGTGAGATAATTCCGCCTCAAATCGAGTACGATCAGCGTTGTTAAATTACCAAGCACTTTCGGTATTGTTCCTATCAATTTGTTCTCTGACAAATCGAGGCGGTATAAATTTAGTAAATTGCCCACACTCTTAGGGATGTCACCTGTAAGATAATTCCGCTTCAAATTGAGTGTCGTCGAGCGCGCTTAAAATACCCAGATGAGCAGGAATTTGCCCAGTAAATAGATTGTCACTCAGATCAACAAAGTATAGATTAGCATTAATTGCAAACGCATTCAGGATGTTACCCGTAAACAAATTCCCATCAAACCGGACTCTTCGTAGCCCTGTACAGTTCCTCAAGCAAGCTGGCAATGACCCTGTGAAGTTGTTTCCATTTACTGTGAAAACCATAAGAGCAAAACCACTGCACAATTCAGGCGGCAATTCTCCAGAGAAGCTGTTAGTGGAAAAGCACACATAATACAACTGAGGACTATTCTTCCCAAAATCCCGAGGAATGCTACCCGAGAAATTATTGGTGAACAAGGAGAATGCTAATAGGTTGGTGAGGTTAGAAATTGTGTCCGGTAATTCCCCATGCAAGAGGTTTGTGTTGACATCAAGAGACTGCAAGGATGTCATATTTCCAACCTCTGGTGGAATTGTGCCGTTAAGATAATTATCGAAAAGCTGTAAACCTTCAAGGTTTGAAAGACTCCATATAGTTGGAGGAATTGGACCCGTAAGCTGATTTTCAGAAAGGTCCAAAATTGTCATGGAATTCAAGTTTCCAATCTCTGAAGGAATTGAGCCGGAGAGTTTATTTTTATAGAGAAAGAGGATGAGGAGCTTTGACAATAGGCCTATTTCTTGTGGTATAGACCCCGTGAATAAATTGTTTTGAAGTTGCAAATGGATCAAGTTGGTCCAATTAGAAATGAGAGATGGTGGGATCTCGCCCACGAGAGAATTTTCAGAAAAACTCAATTCAGTTATTTTTGTGAGTTGCGACAATGACATAGGCAACTTTCCATTCAGTTGATTCCCAGATAAGGCCAAAAAGGTGAGGTTAGTACAGGAACCAAGCTCGGATGGGATAGCAGAATTTAAGCCATTTGAGTGGAGATCAAATTTCCTGAGCTTTCTTAGTTTCCCTAAAGAAGATGGAATCTTCCCTTCAAACAAATTTTCAAACATTTCAATAGTTTCAAGATCAAACATGGTTCCTATACTATCAGGAATTGAACCATTTAACAGATTGGTTCCTAGTCGAAGACCTATGAGTTTGGACAGCTTGGGAATGTTTGATGATAATGGTCCTTCAAAGGAATTACTAGTGAGATTGAGATACTCAAGCCTGCTCAAATTGGTGTACAATGATTCAGGTATTGGACCAATCAACCTATTCAGTGACAAATCCAGGGAAGTAAGATTATGGCAGTTGAGTTTAAATTGAGGGAATTCCAATTCAAGTTCATTGTAAGCTAAGCTGAGGTGTGTCAACAAAGGCATGGCCAAGAAATCGGACCAGTCAGAAGAAACAAAGTAGTTGAATCCAAGGTCGTGGTACCTTGCTTCTTGGAGATTGCTAACTTGAGGAGGAATGGTACCATTGAGATTGTTGTTGAACGGACTCAGATATTGAAGCTCCGTTAGACGACCTATCTCCGATGGTATGGTTCCTCCAAAAGAATTGTTGCTCAAGTCCAAGACAAGGAGTTTGGACAGAGAACCAATTTCAGACAGTATTTGCCCTCCCATACCGTTATTCGAGAGGTCAAAGCGCTTGAGATTGGCAAATGGAGTGAAATTGAATTGAGCAATGAAACCAGAGATGTTTGCATTGGAAAGGCTGATTCCAGACACTGTTCCAGTGCCATCGCAGGTAATGGAAGTCCAGTTGCAGAGGTTGTTGAGATTGGAAAGGGACCAAGAATTGAGAGAAGGTGGCGAAAAAGACAAGCTTTTCTTCCATAGGACGAGTGCTTCCGCTTGTGTTCTTGCTGAACATGAGATCTTCAATGGAAGTAAAGAAAGCAAACAATATGGAAGAGAACAAGACAGGGAATTCGAAAAGTTGACATACTTTAGTTGCTAAGAATCTAGTAATTTAAGTTTGGGGTTTAGTTTAGAACTTCGGATGATGAACTTTCTTATAGATAGGAGGAGAAGGGCATATATTTCCATGCCGTAAACATTCAATTTCCAAGTCTTCTTCTTGGTTGACATAAATTGGTCTACCAGTACAGCTATTTGATTCGGAAGTTGATTAAGTTGCCCTTTGCCACTCAATATAAGCGTGTAGGCCAGAGCACTGACCCAGTTGACGTTGAGGCTTTGATTTTAGCATGCATGGATTACATTTTTAGTACTAGTATATTTTCATTCTTTTGGTCTTTTCAAATTATAAGTACAAGATGACTTACCATTATCATCAATTATTATATTTATATACGATATATGATTAAATAATCAATTAATAAATTATAATATAATTTGACAGTCAAACCCCCAAACAATATAATTTGAATATTAAAATTTCAAATTTCTAAAATTTCCTCTTGCCATTGAATAAGATCTCATTGGCCTATTCTTTTGGTCTTAATTCCATGTTCAACTATTTCCAAGCTACCTGCCTTTGTGCGTTTCCAGTCACTTTCTCTGCCAAAATGGATGGCAGATTTTATTAATCTGTAAGCGGTATTAGCCAATTCTTAGGTATGCCTCACGTGAACTTTTACTTGTGAAGTACAATAGATTTAGGTTCAACTATCATCAAGTCTGAGTTTCGTCTAATTGCACGTTGATTTATTGGTTGTTGATTTGGTCTAATTATTTTTTGATTTACTGGTTGTTGATTTAATTTGATTATTGATTTTTTTTATATATATTTAATTTATTTTATTATGATTATAATTTCTAATCATACATTACATAGAGAAAAAAAAAATTGTATAATTATTTTATTTTTTCAATTTTTGCTTTTCATAATGGTACAATTAAAAGAATTCGTATTTAATACACTATTAATACAAATTTTTAATTTCACAAATAAAGTTAAAAAATTGACACATGTTTTATTTTTATTTTTAATTAATTTTTTTATTTTTAATTCCACAAATAATTTAAATTTTTTATTATTAATATATTTAATAATTTCTCATTAAAAATATATTTACTTTATCTCATTTTTGTCCATTTTTTGTCCTAAAATTATGTCTACTTTTAAACATTTATTCTCTTACTTTTTTAATATTTTAAAATTATTTTTCAAGTTTTTTACTTTTCGATATTAAAATTTTGACACATCAATTTTATAAAAAGAAAATTAAAACAAAAAATATTTTAATTCCATAAAAATCAAAAAGGGGGTAATAAATCGTCAAACTCTTTATGAATTACGTACTCAAATTCATGATTATTATGAGATTTTTATGACGAGTTTTTCCTTGATAAAATTCCAGGACTAGCATCTTTTAGAATCAGTAAAATAAATTTCCCAAAACAGGGTAAAATAATTTGATTATGAATTATTTTAAATTATTATATTTGATATAATATTATATATCATTAGTGATTATAAATAGTTGTATGCGATATTATATTAAAAAATCAAGTACAAAATATCCAAAATAGTATTAAAAAAAACAAAAAAAAATTAATATTTATTAAATGAATAATTTATAAAATAGTGATATATCATTTTATAAAAAACTACAATGTAATGAAAATAATTTCAAAAAACTATTAACTAAATTCATTGTTTTTTTTATAATCAATAAATATTTATTCGGTTGTAACTAAAAACTTTTTTAAAATAAATGATCAGATAACAAATTTTTAAAATTTTATTCAATTAACATATTATTGAAATTGACGCTTAAAAATTACGAGTTTAAAAGAATTTATATCCGTAATATCATTTCTAATTAAATAAATAATAAGACAAAAAATTTAAAGATAAATTAAGAATTTCAAAAAATAATAATAATAAAATCTTAACTATATATATCGAGATGATGGTTCCATGCTATAACTAATATACACTAAAAGATATTAATCACCTAATTAACTCTAATTGTGAAATTAAAAAATTTCACTAATAATATATTTGATAATTTCTCTAATTTTAATATTATAAACTAACAATATTTTGATAATCTTAAACATGTAAATCAAATTCCTAAGGTATAATTAAGTAAAGAATTATAATTCATCGCCTATGTAAACAAACACCTTAATTGATATGTTTTATAATTATAATTTATCATCAATTAAATCGTTTGTGCACAAATTTCTTAATTAATCTTAAAAAATAATATTTTGATTAATTTAATAAACAAATATAGAACAAATTGATAATTTTCAAAATCATCTTATATAATTATTAAAAAAAATCAATTAAGACATTTTTACACTTTGAAGGTCTTAATTAATATTTATCTATTAAATTAATAAAAATTTTATTTTTATAAATCAATTAAAACATTTATGCAAACAAACTTCTTTATATTTTATAATTATAATTATAAAACATTTCGCGAATTAATCGTCTCATAATTGATTTTTTCACAATGAAGATTTACTGATAAAAACAATTTAAAAGTAATCTATTCTCTTTATCGTCATGGTAAATAGTAAAATAATAATAATATTAAAATTTATGATTAAACTTTCTTGTCTTTTCAAATGTGAATCAAATCATTCTCCATTGATCTTATCATCCACTAATTTAAAATCACTATACATAAAATTATTAAATTACTAGAAAACTTTCTCGTACCAAATACTTTCTACTAGGTAAATGTCAATGCGTTGCTGATAATATTTAAATTTTCCGTAGATTAAATATTTTAGTCAACATTTGGCCAAAAGAATATTTTAATCAACAGAAAATTTAGCTGTAAGGACCCGACCAAGGAATTAAAGCTGTTTTGTTTTTTTTTTTCCAACAATGTCCTTCTATGCCACTCATGTTGTCACTAACCAAGCTTAAAAAATCTTAATCAGGTTTCAATTTTCAAATCTCAAAACCTGTTTTATCATTTTTAAATGAAAAATTTACCAACTTTATTACGTAGGCCTACTAAACTTTATGACTTAAAAAGCAATAAAAAAGAACGTAAGTTACCTAAAGTTATTTAAATAAAATTTGTAAATTAAAAAAAAATTTAATGAAAATGTTAATAAAATATTCAAACTCATAAATTGATAAATTTTAATATAAAAATTTATATATAAAAAAATTTCTTTAAAATATTATTTATAATTTAAATTTGATCATTACTTAATGATAAAAATTTTATAAATATTTTTATTAAAAATATTTATTTAATAAATATATCAAAATTTATTAAATTTTTTTTAATTTTACAAATTCAACCTATATAATAAAATTTTTTATTTTTTAATTTTAATTTTAATTTATTTATTTCTAATAAAAAAATTTACGAATTTTATCTAGAGGTCTTTCCGAAAATAAAAATAACAGTGACCCTTAATCCCCCATTCGTTATACGGCATCTTATTCAACAATTTTGCCAAGTGGACTCGGTTTAAGTCTTTAGGGAAAAGCTCCAGAGTTTCCAGTCCCACACCACTCAACATTAGGAGGGAATTAATCTTTAATGAATTCTTCCATTTTTCTTCATTTGTTGTTACAGGCAAAAGGTTAGTAAACAATTTGAGGCCTGGGTGATATTTGACCCTTTAAAAAGTTGTCTGTTTTCAATTTTTTTTTAATTGGCTTCATGGATTTCGAGAATTTGTGTTTGACTGTTGCTGTTTTAGTTTTGAGAATGTTTAGCTGTTTGGGGTTGTTCCTACGATTTTGGGATGGAATTGGATAAATTTTTTGGTTTTGCCTTTGTAAGGTATTTTTGTGCACAAGACATGTTTTTCAAAATGTCTCCTAAATACCATTGCTTTGTTGGGACTTAAGATGCATTTATGGTATGCTTAGTGTCTGGATTAATGATAGAGCATTGATAAAATGATATGGAATATGGGGTGTGAGTCTCAAATCTCAATTTGTTATTAGGTGTGCGTCTGTTGACTCTTCCTCAAACATTAATCAAATCTCTTCCAACTTCAAAACAAACAAACACATTTTGAACGTGATTGGACGAGTAAAGTTTTCTTTGACTAGCAAAGAAGCGTTTAAAACAGAGTGAGCCACTGCTGTCAAGCCTGTAAGGCCACCGTTGGATAACTCAGGGCTCTGGCTGCTAGTTTCTTGTGGAAACTTGACAATCCAACTTATTACTAGATACAAACACTATAAAAGAAAAAAAAAAATCATGTAATTTACGGCCCAACAACATAGTGAAGAGAGATTTGGTTGGCCATTCCTTCGCCCCCCCCCCCCCCCCCCCCCCCCAAAAAAAAAAATTGTAGCTTGCTCATTGGATTTACGTCATTCTACTTCTGATATCCGGTTAGCTTGCTAACAGGCATCTTTCCTAATGGCTTACTCTGGCAAGCCTGTGTTCTTGCTGATAGTTCTTGTGCCACAAAACGCATGGTGGGTCTTGACTCTGCCTTAACATTTGCGCATTGCAAGCCCAAACTGACTACAAAAACAACTTCCTCGGCTATATGGCCTGTGGGAGTCGGGAGTCGTGGGTCTAGCACATCCTTCAAAAACACTTCTGCATTTTCTGATGACAAAGTCGATTCTGATAGGGGACTCAAGAGTTCCCCTGGATGCCTGCCCATCATAACCTCTAATGTCACTACTCCAAAGCTGTAGACATCAGATTTATCTGTGAGCCGCATTGTGAGTGCAAGCTCTAAACATTTAAGAAAAAACAAAATACAACATGTTAGCCTTCGTGTAAATACCAAGCAAATACAAGAGAAACCTGATACCAAAGCAGTAGCAAAAATTAAATTCTTAGCTTACCTGGAGCCATGTAGCCATAAGTTCCAGCTACTGCCGATCAATTGGATGAACTTGGATCCAACAACCTTGCAGTACCAAAATCTGAGAGTTTTGGCTCAAATCCTGCTTCTAGCAAAACATTACTCAAAGATATGTCTCGGTGTATGATTGGTGGAGAGCAGTCATGATGCAAATAGGCAATTGCATGAGCCAAACCTTGCACAAGTTTAACCCTTGTTGCCCAGCATAGCTTCACTTCCCCATCTGCTCCATACAATACACTTCTCAAACTTCCTCTCTCCGCATACTCATAAACCAAGTACATACGCACCCTATGAGAATGATGCCCGTATAACTTGATGATATTTCTGTGCCTAACTTATCTCAGCATACGAATTTCATTCTGAAAACTTTGGCGATTGGTAGCTAGAATGTCATTGCAGTCTGAGATATTGAGTCTTTTAACCGCAACTGCTTGATCTGTAGGCAATAATGCTTTGTAAACACGTCCGGATCCCCCTTTCCCAATGCAGTACCTTTCATTGAAGTCCTCCGTGGCTTTAACAAGGTCATCAAATTTATAATCTCTTCCTTTTATCTGTATCAACTCGGAACTTTCAAACTTACTACCTTCAGCTTCCTCATCCGGTTGATTGTTTAGGCGATGACATGCAAAAACTGCTGCGGCAATTGATGCCAATACGCCAAAGAAAGAAATAACTACACCAACAACCACCTTCACAGTATGCATTCTGGACTTTTTTCTGGTTGAAATTGAAAAACAAGGAGGTAATCCTTCGACGTTTCCACACAAACCAGAGTTTCCAGCAAAGGCTTCTCCGGATGCATTTTGGAATGGGCCAGCAGTTGGAATTGAACCTATCAACTCATTATAGGAGAAATCAAATGAACTAAGACAGATCATTTGGAGTATAGATGTTGGGATTTTACCGGAGAGATCGTTATGTGAAACATTAAGATTCTCCAGTGAAATAAGTTTTCCCAACTCCGGAGGAATATTTCCTGAGAATGAATTGCTGCTGAGGTCTAATGAATACTGCAGAAGACCTAAGCTCCCTAGCTCACTTGGAATGTCACCAGATAAATTGTTGTGGTTCAAGTTCAGGCTCAACAACTTGATACAGTGCCCAAGCGCTTCTGGTATTGTTCCTGTCAGGCTGTTCTCTGACAAATCTAAATATTGAAACTCCATTAAATTACCTACACTCCGAGGGATCCGTCCTGACAGATGATTATGGCTCAAATTGAGGTTAAACAACAGTTTCAAATCTCCTACCTCTACAGGAATTTCCCCAGTCAACTCGTTTGAGCTCAGGGTTAGCAGCCTCAACTGAGTCAACTTTCCAAGCTCAGTTGGTATTTCACCAGAAATTCGATTCCTGTCCATCTGTAGATTTTTGAAAGCTTTTGAATTCCCCCACTCTTCAGATTTACCGGAATTGATTTCGCAACGAATTAAAATACTCAAGATATTGGTAAGCACATCCGAATCATTAATGTTACTGTAAATTGGTTTAGCATCAAGACGAACTCTGATTGTCCACTACAGTTCTCAAGCAAAGAGAGCAATGACCTGTGAAGTTTTTATCATTAATGCAGAATTGTAGAGTATACCACTGCATAATTCAGGAGGCAAATCCCAGAGTAAAGCTGGTTGTTGAAAAGCTAACATAAACGCACCGAAATAATATTTCTCCAAAATCTTGTTATGTAGAATTCTCCTAGAGAAATATTATTACTATCAATGAAATGCCTTTTAATTTAGCAGCAGAATTGGTCTCTGGCAACTCCGCAAGATGTTGAGTCGAGTTTAACTGGAGAGTGATGCATATTCCTCCTGTTGGAATTGTGCATAGATTATTTCCAAAAAGCTGCAGAACTTGTAGGTTTTTTAGACTCCATATTGTCAAAGGAATTGAACCTGAAAGCTGGTTACGAGCAAGGGTTAACGCTATTAGATCTTTCAAGTTCCCTAATCTCGGAGGGAATCGACCCAGATAGTCTGTTGTTAAACAAATGGAGGAGATTGAGCTTTGTCAATAAGCGAATTTCTTGTGGAATCCTCCCAGTGCAAAAGGTTGAGTTGGAGTTGAAATGAAATCAAGTTGGTCCAATTCGAAATGAGAGATGGCAGGATCTCACCCGAGAGAGAATTATTAGACAAACCCAGCTCGGAGATTTTAGTGAGACTGGACAACGAGAAAGGTAATTCGCCAATAAGTTGATTTTCCGCTAAGGTCAGAAAGGAGAGGTTAGAACAAGAACCAAGCTCAGAAGGAATTGTAGAATTTAAACCATTGGAATAAAGATCAAGTTTCCGGAGCTTTGTTAGTCGTCCTAAAGAAGATGGAATCTTCCCTTCGAATGAATTTTCAAACAATTCCAAAGTTTCAAGATCGGACAGGAATCCTATGCTGTCAGGAATTGGACCATTTAACTTGTTGGTTCCTAGATGGAGGTTTATGAGCTTGGAAAGCACGGAAATGTTTGGTGACAATGGTCCTTGGAATGCATTATTTGTGAGATTGAGATACTGAAGCTGGCCCAGATTGGTAAAAACTAATTCTGGTATTGTCCCAGTCAAATTATTCACTGACAAGTCTAGGAAAGTCAGATTCCAACAATCAATTAAGAAAGCAGGAAAGCCCAAATTAAGGGAATTGTTTCCTAGATTGAGGTGTCTTAAGAATGGCATGGCTAAGAATTGGGACCAATCTGGAGAGGTTAATTTGTTCCACCCGAGGTCTAAGTACCATAATTTTTGAAGAGTGCTAACTTGGTAAGGGATAGTACCATTGAGATTGTTGTTGAACAGACTGAGGTATTGAAGCTCCGTCAGTCGCCCTAGCACCGATGGTATGTTACCTTCAAAAGAATTGTCGCTCAAATCCAGGTGAACAAGCTTAGACAGGATACTAATGGCAGAAGGTATTGGTCCATTAAGACTGTTATTCTTGACATCAAAGTGTGTGAGATTGGCAAATTGTGTGAAATTGAATTGGGTGAGCGTTCCAGTGATGTTTGAACTGAAGAGGTTTACTTCAGAGACCATGCCAGTGCTATCACAAACAAGGTAGGTCCAGTTGCAGAGGCTGTTGATGTTTGCCAGGGACCAAGAATTGAGAGAAGGTAGAGAGAAAAGCAAGCTATTTTTCCATTGAATCAGGGCTTCCGCTTGTGTTCTTGGTGAAGAGGCAATCTTCAAAGGAAGTAAGGAAAGGAAGAGAAGATGGAAAACACAAATTGAAAGCTTTTGAGGCGTTGGCATGCTTGGTAATCAAGTTCTACATCTGTTTCGTTGCTATTTATTAACTCTTACCTTATAGCAGGTACTGCTTGGGATTTTCTGCATATAAAGTGGAATTTCATTTCATTGGTCTCGGATTAACATATAATTTTTCACGGTAGTTATTATAATACCTCAGCCCAAATAATAATTGGACTAAATTAATACTAAAATCTATTAGTTTATTAAGACATTATTTAGTAAAAGAAAAAGGGTTGAAGTATTAGATGAAAGAAAACTTAGTTATCCTGAAACAGAAAGAAAATAGAGTTTTTTTCATCATCTTTCTTAGGGTTAGAGAATATGAAAAATCAAGTTGGAGATTCACAAACAGAGGCTACAATCAAGTTAATCCCTTAAAGGTGAGTACATGACCTTTTTTTTTTATTTAAGAAGAAATATCAAATTGATTGCTATTATTTGTAGTTGAAGTTTTGAGAGAAAAACCAAGAAAAATCATGAAATCTTTCATTAATCTTGATGATCTATTTGGGTAAATTACTGGGCTTTGTTTATTTCATGTTCTTAAGATTTATTGATGATTATTGAATGGAATTTGAAAGCTGAAAATAAGGATTTGAGTTTTTAAAGATTGAAGGAGAAATTCTATTTTTGGATAAGATGTTGTCTGTAATAATGAATTAAAATAGAATTTTATATTAATGGATAGATTATTGCAGTGATTATTATATATTATTGGAAAACATGTTGAATCTAGTTTCTAATGAAACAAACGAAAGTCAAATCCGAGTTTTCTATAAAGAGTTGCCTAATTTTAACTTAAGGATATGATGGCTATAAGACAGCAGCATCAGGGTTGAATTACGAAATTCTTCTTAATTTATATACAAGGATTTACAGATTAAGCCATATATGTTTGGAAAGCTTATTGAGTCTACTTTCCAATGAAATAAGTGAAATTGAATTTGGAGTTTCCTGTGAAAAAATATATAATTTTTATTAGAAGGTATAAGTATATGACGTGGATTTCAAAAATTGTTATAATTAATTTACAAGGAATTACGAGGTGTGCCATATATGGTTAGAAAGCTTATCAAGTCTAGTTTCTAACACATTAAAGATATCATAATTCCGATTTGGATATATTGAGATATGACTGTTTTAATGAAAAGAGATCAGGCTACCAGTATTAATTAA